CTTGGTTTTCGCTTGTGAAAAAGTAGTAGGTAAACGTCCAGAATATTGCGAGAAATGGGCGATATTTCCAGCAGATTCGTTAAGTCCTGAGAAACTACCCGATTGTTCGAGTGGTTTGAAAGAATAGCATGAGTGGTATCAATACTTTTGTGAATCACTCGGAATTTTTTCCGAACTCTTTATTGAAATACTGTCTCAGCGTACAGGGTGTGCCTTTGCCTTTCAGGAGGTAGAATTGTAATGTCTATTGGCGTTTAACCAAACACACTGCTGAGTCATAATGATGGTCAAAGTGCGAAAAACGAGTGCTCCCTTGCGGTGTTTTAAAAATTCCGCTCCCATTTTGTTTATCGAGGAGATAAATGAGCCGACTTAGTAATTTGAGGCTTATATCTACAGGTCATTTCACTGACAAGAAAGAAAACTCAAGGAACTGACAAGAAATTAGGATGACTCGTTTTCCAAAGGAAAAATAAAGTAAGCCAGGAAGTCTCCAAAATTGCATATGGAGATACAGAATTCTGCACTTTGGCCATAATCTATGATACCAATTTTTTCACTTTTGATTTTTTGATTTTATCTTTCTTAATCTCTTCCCTACGTTAATGGAGTGGATATGGAAAGGCCAAAGATGGGTTGAGTATAATATATTGATCTAGCTTAGTGACCGAGACAATAAATTTTATCAGAATTTAGGAAGTTTTTAAAATTTCCTAAGGTTTATGAGTCTCAAAGGCCGTGAAAATCTTTACTCTGAATTAACCTACTTTTTCAGCTGAATTTTAAGCATTACAATGAATCAACTTCATCCTTAGGGAAATAAAAATATTAAATAAATAAATAAACTGAAATACAAGACAACTGAGAGAAATGGGGTTACTAAAAAGCTCAACAAGTTTATAAAGATGAAAATATATTTATTCATGATACAGATAAAATTAATTTGTAAGAGCAAAACAGCAACTCGCTTATTCGTCATGGATAATAGTAAAAAAATAAATTAAGAAAATTTCAATTTACATTTAATGGCAAAGTTGGCTTACAGTACGCTACGCATAAAAATTATCAATAGTTAACAATAATAATTGCACAAAAACATTGGGTTCAAGATACGACATCCTCCAAATATTTCACTAAAAATAAAGAAACAATAAAAGTATGTTCTTTACTTAGATAAAATGTATTGATAAAAGTTGACACAAATTAGAAAACAAATTGTGAGCTAAGGGTCATGCAGTATTAGGGGCTGTTCATAAAATACATAACGCTGAAAATCAACTTTCCCTACAATTACCTCCCCCTCCCCCTCATAACACAATTGAGACACAGGTCTGCAACCTCCTAAAAAAAGTATTAAATGCTTAGTTGAACCCCTCCCCCTCCTTAAATTGGTGTATCATAATGAATTTTGTATGAAAAAACGCCGCCTTGCATTGATAACAGTTCTGAACGGTCTCGTCTTCCCAGCTCATGCAGGCTCGAACCTCCTTTCTCCAAGAGCTTTACGTATTTTATGAAAAGCCCCTTACAATAAAATACAGGGGCTAATTCATCAGAGAAGGAAGATGTGCACAAGTTGGAGAGTCTATAAATGTTTTATCAGGAGATAAGTATTAAAGATACCAATTAAAACTTTTGATAGAGAAACTGAAATATTTTGTTGGCTAGATACCTAGTGTAGACTTTAAAATACCCAGTCCAAGGGAGCCATGAGATCCAATGCATTGGATTCAACAGAACACTAAATGATTGTATGGATGTAAATGACTTCCATACATTCTTAGACCTTGTCTCGACGGCGCAACTGTTGAGGGTACTTTGTGCAACTGTTGACGGAAGGAGGTGTTGCAAAAATGTTTCACTTATGAGTGAAACTTTCATGTCAGAAACCTGGAACCTTGAACAGTTGTTTATCTTCGTGTTTTGAATTGATAAATGCTGATTACATGTGAAGTGGGAGTTTACTACGGGTGTTTTATTTCTGAGTGGTTATTATTTAGAAATATTTGTATACATTTCAGTATCAATTTTATATTTTTGTTTACAGCATATCGCTACAGCAGGAAAATAAAATTTTATCAAATATATTTTCTTTTTATCCATATCTGTGTTATGTTGATGTTTTTTGTTTTATACCTGGTTCAAATAACTCAAAATATTCAACTCCCGTTCATGATTATCAGTTCAGTTACCTCAGTTGACATCGTTTAACCTAGAAAAATTGATGTTATTCAAATATTCCCGCCTAAAAGTTCCAGGAACACATGCGTGTGCGTCGAGACAGGGAACTTCAGTTTGTGCAACAAACTCGCGACAGTTGCACCTAATTCCCTCAATAGTTGCGCCGTCGAGACAAGGCCTTACTGCTCACTTAAAGTAGGATGTAGGCCTGGACCAAAAAGTGACTTTACCCTCTTATTTACACCTGTGTTGCAAAAAATGACAACCTACTGATTTTAGCTAAAACTGAAATTACTCAGTTACTAATTTTATGTAAATCTTTGGATTCAGAAGAACGAAAAGTAAATATAAGCCACAGAGACTTTCTTCACAAAATTTAAGCAAGAAAATATTTGAGGTAACAATGTGAATAATCCCCATGAGAAAAAAAATCTTAATAATTAATGAGAATTATCATTCTCTTTTCTGATTGCATAGTACATCAAAAATGAGTTCTAAAATACAGAGTGCAGTCAAATTTCCGAGAGAGCTAAATATTCTTTTAACTGGTTACACTGAAGAGTTGGTCCTCCAATATGACACTTGACAATACTCTCCGGAAAAATTACAAAAATTATTCCTCCGGCTTACATTAGAGTCCAGATTCCTTTGTCTGTCTTGTTCAATCACCATCTCACAATGACACAAAATAGGAGAAGGAATGAAAAAGAGAAAATTGAGATTTTTAGCGCAGACCAAAGTTAAACCTAATTTCATTTCAAAAAGGCCACGAGTAAGTTTCAAAAATTTAAATTTCATTAGACTGCTGATCTTAGTAGCATATGTTTTAAACAAGAAAAGTTTCTTTAAAATCTTATAAAAAATCTTTACTCGATGCTAACTGACGGAAAAATTTTGCCTTGGGTTTGTTGTATTCTTGATGAAAAAGTCAATTGAGTGAAACCTCGTTCAGAGGAGATTCCAAGGAAAATCTGGACTTTCAGTAGAGATTGAAAAATATCAATTCTTCAGGAAGGCAGCTTTATAAATTAAAAATTTTCTAATCTTTAAATATTCAGTGGTGTGGATGAGTCAATAATTAAAAATTTGAAGCAAAATGCCTAAGTTTCTCCATGTGATCGGAGACCATAATTTGAGCCCTTGGAAAATAGTACCATCAAACCAGAGTTTCAATCTTGCTTCAGCTGCAACAGTAAAAAATGCTGAAGAGTACAATGTTCTCAACAACACTAAAAGATGTCGGATTTTATTTATAAAATCAGGGAGTCAATTCTATCAATGAGTGCTGTGGCAAGAAAGTAATGGACAAAACAAAAAGAAACATCATAATTTGCAATTTAGCACCGAAAAAAAAGCAGCATCACTCCCTGCAGTAATTTTAGAAGAGGAGAATTTAGACATAAAATCTGGAAATTGTATTGTTTTTCAAAGTTTAAAATTCTAGTGAAACGTTTTATCATTTATGAAACTCTTTCATTTGATTTCACAGAAGTGGTTGTGCGGCAATAAAACTGTACTCCTGTAAATGTATCTTTTTTTAAAATAAAACTGTAGAAGGATTGATCCATTCACAAACACTAACTTCAATGGTGAAATAAATATCAATATTTCCACAGTGATTACAAATGTAGTTAACTTAATTCCTTGATTGTCCTTTACTTTACACTTTACAAAGATTTACAATGAACAACTAAAGTAAATTTTTGATTATCGACAAGTTGCAATAAATATACAGGGATACGTGAAGACATCTCTTTACAAATGCAACAATTTTACAAAAGAAATAATAATCTGTAAATGAAAAATTTATTTACTAAATGGGTATTTACAAAATTGTACTTACAAATTGATTCCTCAATCAGTTTACTAGGAGNGGGGGGGGGGTGTAAAATATTTCTTGAAGGGTTTTTNTTTCAAAGTTTAAAATTCTAGTGAAACGTTTTATCATTTATGAAACTCTTTCATTTGATTTCACAGAAGTGGTTGTGCGGCAATAAAACTGTACTCCTGTAAATGTATCTTTTTTTAAAATAAAACTGTAGAAGGATTGATCCATTCACAAACACTAACTTCAATGGTGAAATAAATATCAATATTTCCACAGTGATTACAAATGTAGTTAACTTAATTCCTTGATTGTCCTTTACTTTACACTTTACAAAGATTTACAATGAACAACTAAAGTAAATTTTTGATTATCGACAAGTTGCAATAAATATACAGGGATACGTGAAGACATCTCTTTACAAATGCAACAATTTTACAAAAGAAATAATAATCTGTAAATGAAAAATTTATTTACTAAATGGGTATTTACAAAATTGTACTTACAAATTGATTCCTCAATCAGTTTACTAGGAGGGGAAAGAGGGGGGGGGGTGAAATATTTCTTGAAGGGTTTTTTAGCAACTCATAGTCTAGGATTCTTTCATGTGTATATTAATCATCCCTGATACGTATAGATTCACAATAATGGAAAAAATTCCTCAGAAAAGAAGCCATGTCATTCGCAGCTTTAATTAACTATAACTTTTTGGTAAAAAAATAAATAAGGCACATCTGCAAACCGAATCTACTTGGCTTTATTGCCAATTAGACTTTATTAAACTATGTTAAAACTCATGTCAGATAAGATGGAAGTTGTTGACTTTTAACTGTCTAGTGCAGAAGATCAACATACATTCCCACACATGATGGCATCGTTGTCTGTGGTCAATCCTTATTAGACGACTGCAATGCAATCGCTTGCAATCCAAAAGTAAACAACTTCCAACTCATCTGACATCAGTTCCAGGGCACATTGATGGGTAAGTTCTAAAAACTCATACAAGGGTACAGAAAATGCTAGATCCCTGGATCAAGGCAAACACGAGGAAAGAGACAGACTTTGAGAAAAATTGAGGGGCTTGGAGGACTATTTTTAAACGCTTAAAGTTTCTGGATTATATGAAGCCTTATGGTGGAAAGGAAGTTCAAACCCACATTTCGATTCGAAAAATTGAATTTTACGGGTGCATTTTTCACAGAATTCATTTCAAACCTAGATTTAGTTGAAACTACTAATATCTCAATTTTTTTCGAAAACTACACTTCTGCACCTCGTCCTCCAAGCCCTTTAGTTAAACTTCGTGGGTTCACAGATAACAACAAAAAAAAACGTATAAGCTGTGCCTATACGACCTGTCTTGAGAGATAGACACTGGGTCAAGAGAAGTGACCGAGATTGTAGAACTTCCTGTAATCTTGCATCTACATCCCAAAATAAGTAGATGTATCCAAGAATATCCATTTATTTTTCCAGAGGGAAATGAACCCATTTCGTTCCTTAACATTTTTAGGGAAAATTATTCACTCAAAGGGAATAATCCTGGATATTTTTAAGATACAACATAGCTCATTTTGTCATTTGAAGAATGAAGTAGGAGGGTGAACTTGCAATGGTGCAATTTGAGATTTGCATTCTGTGGTCAATACGCTTAAAGAACAAGTAATTGTTGAATTGTGAGAAAATTGATGCAACGCAGCAAATAAATACACCAAACTTCGGAGAAAAAGTGTATGGCTACTGGGCAACATATGCTCATAATACGATTTTAGCTTTTAAATAAATTGAGACTGTAGCTGCTCAGAAGTTTCTGCTTCAGGACAGCACATAGAGGCTAGCTTTACGCTTACTGGCTTGTCCTCAGTCAAGAGAAGCCTTGTGCCCCACTAGTTTCAATTTTTTGAGAGCCAAAACCATAGCACGTGCACTTGATCTACTAAAGTAAGGTGAATTTTTGAGTTAATGAGAAGACACTGTATTTTGCAGCACTGCTGTGATTTTTTCACTACTCAACTGTTAAATCAGGCAGTGGGCAAATTGCTTTGTAACAAGTCATTGGCTAGAGTTATACTCTCATATAAATTTAGTGTTGTTACTTTTGTACGGAATGCAACTAGTGCTAAGCCTCCATGTATCAATTACTTTTTCAAAGCCTTTCGGTACATGTGTACTAAATTATATGGGGCTTAAAAAAGCATTGCTCTAATTTATGGACACAAAGTTTTAATTAACTCAACAAAAAACACTTTGATTTTTTGATGGAATTAAACTGCACCCAGAGAGAAATATATTAAACTAATAATAAAGAAGTGTTACATGGTCTAAACATGTACAAAATTTTGATAAAATTAATTAATTTGAGAGCTAAATTTCTCAGACACAAGAAAGTTTCCTTTGCAAACTTGCTTTAAACCTGCTCGCATTGCTGAAGTAGTCTCAGCACAGGATTAATATTATAGGGGAATAAATCTTTTGCAACGAGTCTATCAATGGCGGACCTTAAATCTTTGAAAACTTTCATTGTACTGTCTACATCAAAACCACATTGCATTATAAAATCTGACCTATTGTGCCTCACGAACTTCAGTAGTCGGAGTAAATATAGAAGGAAACATGTTTCATTTGATATTAGAAGGTCTAGGAGAACATCAGGATCATGTGAGACGGTCCGCAAAAATTGAACAAAAGTAACTGATGGACTTAACGAATGCCTCAAATCAAGTGAGGCACCTGGACGATAACAAAGCCCTGTTGCAACATCCAAACAACACACCATGCCCTCAACTAGTGCATCATCTTGGTCTGAAAACAAGTGTACGACCCACTGAGCAAGAGGTGTTTCAGGATGGAATGGCAGCAAAGTTTTGACACAATTATCTAACTGCCTCAGAACTTCTTTGATACTCCTTTCTATTACGGCCATGTCAGCATCAGCATCTTCTGCTTCAGATCCAAGCGAACTATCACTAGATGATTCACAGCGAGTTTCTTTCACAGTTACAGCTACAGCTTTCAAGACGAGAAGTACCATTTTTTGCAGTAAAGGTTTGTTGCCATCCCCTGATCCACCACCAAACCTACCACTACCTCCCCTGTACGGTAAAGATTCTAAAAGTCGCCAATCTTTGATGCTCCTAACTATTAAATGGGCTAGACCACAAGGTTCTTCTGCTAATATATCTTGTAAAGCTAATGTGCTACCGTAACATAATACTTCATTAAACAAACTTAAAGTATGTTTCCAGATGACCGGACCTACTCTTGAATTTAGAATTAAAAGAAACTGATTTAGGTGAGAGTAGAATGGTTTGGTGTCACTGACAGACAAGTTTGCCTTCACTGATATGATAGCTTCCCATAAATCTAGAAACGTCACAATTGTCGATTCTTCAGATTTAGAATCATGAGATGCAATCAAATTTTCAAACCTTGTAACAATAGCAGGCCATTTTAATTCTAGAGCTTTGATACACAGACATTTAACAGGACTACTATCAGTGCAATCAGGATCTGTTATTGAAATTAACCGACAATTTGCTACTGGCCTGTCATCTGGTCGCCTCACTTCAAGAGGATGTTCTTCTTCATCTTTCCACTCTATGACTCTTTTTATTGCATCAAGTGAAAAAGCCATACTATTTGGTGTAGAATATAAAATATTATCTGTTAAACGATCAAGCCATAGCTGATCGATATTTGTTTTTCCTAATAAAAATAAAGCAGATAAGGCACGTCCTGCAGCAAAACAAATAAATGGATCATGGTGTGAGGAAAGTTCTATTAGTTGATCAACGAGCCCTTCCTCATTCCTGACGAGTACATCACAGACATCTCCAATCCGCGAGCATAACAGCCCTCGACTATTTTGTTTGATGGCTATTTCACAAACTAATTGAATGCAACTCACAAATTGTAGAACTCTGTCCCGACTCCATTTGGCTACAGCGGTAGTCCAGTATTCTCCAGAATCTTCCCCATCTGCACCCATTCCGCGGAAAGACTTGCGCAAATTCGCTTCTGAAATGCCACAAAGACACTCATTCAAAAGGTTTTCTTGTAGAATTTCTAAGTCTTGGTTAGAACTCCCATCTCCACCTTCAAATTTAGGTTTTTTCTTTGCTGGTTCTTCCATCACTGGGGCCAATTTTGGCGGGGTGTTGCCTTTTTTAATTACCATGAACGTTTTCTTTGTGCAAAAAGTAGGAAAATCCTGTCATCTGCTCGTTACTGATAAACGGTGGGCCATGTTCTCTTCATCTGTAACAAAAATACAAATTGAAGCTTAGTAACCAAATAGGGCTTTGAAAAAGTTTCAATCTCAAGGACTTGAGGAGCTCCTGGAAAAATGTTCAAATCCAGCCATGGATTTCAAAGGTTTGCTCATTATTAGTTGAGACGAATGTCAATTCCTGATTGGCTTCAAATTAGCACCACTCAACAGGTTGTTACGTGCAATTAAACAGCACCATTGATAAGTGACATGAATGAGTGGCACAACATGATGGTGACATAAACAATACTTGCCTTTTATTTCAACATACAATGCATCAGTTGCGCTGGTCTCAGAATCATGTTTTGATGCTTTAGTCTTGCAGATCAACTAAAAATAAAATAATAAGATCTGTCCAAACAGCAACTTTGTGTGTTGAATATTAACCGAGATATCGCGCCTTGAAAAACTCAATTTATGACGTCATCCACCACAGTAGCAGATACAATGTTATGTACTGTCGCAGTGTATGACGCCGTACACTACAGTAGTACAAACCATGTTTTGTACTGCCGCGGTGGATGACGGCAAAAACCCGACTTTTCACAGGACGATATCTCGGTTAATATTCAACGTAGAAAGTTGCTGTTTGGACAGACCCTTATATTTTTGGCAAATCTACAAGAATGAAGCATCAAAACATAATTCTGTCACCAGCGTAAACTGGCCCATTAGAAAGCTCCTCCTAAGTTGATGTAGGCTTCTGTCCATCAGTACATACATATGACATGGGGCCAATATGATGACTTAAATGGGATGATAAACTCCCCCCCCCCCCAAATATAAATCAGTGATTCACAGCAAAAGAGTATCTAGCTCCGCTCGAGTCATTCTGAGATATTAGAACATGACTGTCCATCGACCTAATTGATTATAATGTAATGTGACGTACACATCATGATGCAAGTTGCAATCTTTAGAGCTACAAGTTTCAGAGCCACTACTAGATGGAGCTATCAAACTTTTTTACACGCAAGGAGTCATTCATAGAGATACCTGCGGTGAGTACTGGTACTTTAGTTTTTTCGACAAAAAGAGCTGGGTACGTTCAATACCAACTGAGGCAGGGGGAGGGGGACGACGGCAGAAAGGGCATTTCTTGGTTGCAGTGTCTCAAAACCTCGCTAACATTTCATCTATTATGAATAAAGCAAATGTATACAACTTGCCGTAATTTTACTGAATATTCTCTACGATTTTACAATGCTGATAACGTAAAAAAACGTAGAAAGTTCACCCGATAGTATCCTCTCTCAAATAAAAAGTTAGCACTGGAGATTCTAACACACTGCACCCAAGTAATACGCTTCATGCACCAAGTACCTCAACTACTCATTTCTAGCCATTAGTTTGCTGTTGTGTAAGAGTCTACTGAGAGTACATAGGATCTTAGAAATAGAACTTAAAATAATTTCATTAAAGAAAGTAAATCTTTGGGAAAAGTATAATTCGACACTTAAGTTCTAGGTTAGATTGACCGATTGAGTCAAATTTCAGGCAGCCAAATGAATTTTACATTGAGAAAAACGATATTTCCTGATGAAAGTAAAACTAACCTAGGAAAATAGGGCGAGCACGGATCAAGCCAGCCAAATGAATGTAAAAGGGAGGGACTGAAAAAGGGTCTAAGTTTCCAGCTTCATTTGCAAGTTCTCCCAAATATTTTGACATGCATTTAGTCAAAACTGTCATGATTAAATTCTGAGGAAAGTGGAGTTACACAACGGAAATAGGGGTGAAACTGTACATTTGAAACGTGAAAATTCACATTTACCCAGGCCACTCTTGGCCCGACTGTTCACCTCCGTAAAATTTACTGACATTCACTTGTGCAAATTACAGCATGGCTAGGCATGAGAAATTGGTATCAGGGTATTTCAATGCTGGCGTGCTGATTGGCAAGCAAAATATTGGATCATTGCATAAGGGTGAAGATGGAAATAAAAGCTTTCGAGTCCTAAGTTAATCACCATAACATAAAGTACTTACAGCTTTGACAGCTATAAATCAATGTCTTGACTGGTCACCTCTCAGGTTGTGCATCACAATAAGTAATGGGGCTCAATCTCCAGCGCAACAAGTAGATGGTGTCATGCCTGCATGAACACTTCTCTCCTCTCACCAGCGTATTAATGTCCAGAGTGTTCTTAAAGGTAAGAACTGCTGTCTTTCTTACTAACTCCACAAAAATAAAGCCTCTTGTTGGCAGTAGAGAATCTTGAGGGAACCAAAATATTGTAGGACTCGCGGTTGAGGGAGGATAAATGAGGGCATGGAGCAAACTCTATAATTAGTGTAAAATGAGGTAGTTATGTCTCAAAACCACTGAGGAAGTCTAGTGGGTTAGTTCCACTGTTAAAATATGTAATGTGATGGCTTGAAGCAATTACAGTAAATATGCAACAAAGTTTTCTTCTTCGAATGATAGATAGTGATCAACAAGTTGTCTTGATAGGGTATGAGACTGATATCCCAATCAAAACAATAATCTATCAAAGCGCAAAGGTTAAGTTGAAAATTAAATCCTACGGTGCGAACAAAATTATTGCAGCTTACCGTTTTCATTCGAACATCCTGAAAGGTTTAAAACACTCCTTTCGACGAAATAAATGTGATAAACAAGCCTAAAATAAGAGTTTTACACGAAAGGCTAAAGACCAGTAGTTGTCTTGGCAAAACAGACTTTACACAAAGAGACATACATGTTTTATTCTTCAAATAGAGGCAAACTTTGTAGAAACGCTTAGATGACAAAAAATAAAGACTATACACCAAGAATCAGACAATTAAAAATTAAATTTTAAACACTTTTTTTAATTCCCATAAACTCACTGTCAGTTCAGCGCCATCTTGAACAATATGACGCTGGTATGCGGTGTTGCCAACTATGCCTGCGCTGCCAGACTTAGTAAAAATAATGTATTACTGCTACCCTTGCCGCAGACCTACAATTTAACTAAAAATTGGTTCAAAATCCAGATTTTGACTCGCAAACCTACGATTTACGCCAAAAATTTTCTTTCCTGAATCCTCTTTCGATGGACGTGTAACCAGATGAAGGTTCCCATTTAAAACAAAAAAGTTGTGTCCGCAGCCCCCCCCCCCCCCCCCCCCCCCCCCCNGTTGAGGCACCAAAAGTTATTGGATTCACATTGATCCATAAACATCCCCAAATTTTCGGTTCAAATTATGGATTAAGTAAAATTGAGGACTTTTGCGGTAAAAGAGCGTATTAGCCTGTCATTGATGCCAAGGTTGTGCAATTTTTTAACGTTTGCGGCAGATGAAATTCATTCTTATTGTTAGTCAATTAACTTCCTCACAATCATGCAAAAAATCTCGGAGCAGACTCAGGGAAAAATTCCTGAAAATTCGGAGCAGAACTGTCGGGTAAGATACTTTTTACAAGAGTCCTTACGTCGCACAATCGATATGCTGGGTACAGAAAATGAATTTCTTGGTTGCGATGTCTCAAAATCTCCCGTTACATTTCAGAAATTATAATAATTAAAATAAAAGTAATGAATTCATGGAAACTTCGACTGCATTTCCCTTGTGATTTTACAATGCTGAAAACTAGAGTACCTTTATAGACACTGAAAACGAAAAATTTCTGAAAATTCACTCAATAGTTTCCTCTCTAAAGTATGAATTAAGTTGAGATTCTGAAACATTGCAACCAAGAAATGCCCAACAAATGCCCACTCTGCACCCAATGCCTCAATCTTTGGCCTCAATCTTAATAGGATACGCCTTTTTAAATACGTCAACGCTTTTTACCGAAAAATGCCTTGATTTTAGAGGGTGGACTTTGTTTGAGGGAATGAGGGTGCAATTTTGGAGCACCCTGTAGAGTGGAGATCAATGATGTCAGATTGTACTCAGTTTTCCCCATTATTTTTAGCCTGCAAGAAGAACCCCATTCAAGGTGTGGCAGCCATCTTTCGTTCGTTTTGCATCTATTTACTTTTTCACTTGAAGATTTGCAGGTTTGTACATTGTTAATCTGTTTTGCAGGTTCCGTGCTAATTTAATGTTTATCAGTTCCCTTCGTGTTCTTTTCGCTGGAATTCTTCACTGAGTTGTGAATGTTACGCCCGAATCCATCACTATTTTCTCCTAACATCTTCTATTTGTTTACAATGTACCCAGTTCATTGATAAGCGTATTTTTGCATTTTATTAATATTTCACTTCAAAAATTGGAAATTTTAAGTTGCCCTTGATCCCTGTGTGATTAATTTCATCCCATTGAAGCTTTTCCGTTACATCGGGTTTGGTGGCTCCGCCAGCCGTTTTCTATTTTTTCATTTCTGTCTGAGAGGTTAGTTGCCCTTATATTATTTTAAGACTTGCTGCAATGCCAAGGTCTTGGAATTGCTCAGAGAGTATTTTTACTTTGTTCACTCAAATCCATTCCTTTCGTCCCTTATAATTCCTTGAATCATTACTCCTCTGTGAAATCATTTTGATTCTCATCCCTTTTCAAATCGACCTCCACTGGATATTGCTGCAAATATGACTATGGCTGGTCGGCTGGATGTACGACACATCACATTGAAAGATTGATGAATTATAGGCAGGGTTTGCCTAAAGGAACAATATCGCAGTCCACGTAAAGTTGGGCACTAGCAGTTCAGAATTTAGTATTTTTCTATCAATGAAACCCTACCTTCAGGTACTTACATCAATGAATTTTCTCGTGGAAAGAGATGTGCAACTTTTGAAATCTATTACGTTTTAAATCTAATCTGAAAATTTTATGCATGTGACAGCTAAGATACAAACGCGATAGACATATGTGGCTCAAGCCTGACTCCTCCAGCTCTTGAATAGCTCAGAGGAACTCCGTAATTTTGTGGTCATGTGTTTTTTTATAATCAATCCTTACTATCTCAGAAATTAATGAAATAGGTAATTCAATATCCAGTCAAGTAATGTATTCACTTCCGTCAAACTGAAGTGATCCAAGTGTATTTGTTTTTTTTTTCTAATTTCAGCTTTGATAAGTTTAGATCTGAGCAGTAAATGTATCCATTTTTTAATAATGCATTACCCCTTCTTAATAGAAAAAATATGGTTAGTATAGACACCTCATTACCTTTCTAAACTAAATGGATTCCTCCTCCCTCAGTCACTAAAATTTTGAGGGTAAATGTTAGTTTACAGTTATGTTGAAAATTTCCTTGATTTCATTTTAAAAAGTCAGCGTGCATTGTAATCCTACAAAGTGCAATATTTGTGAAAAATCAGCTTACATGTACGCAAATGCATCATCATCCGTTTCAATACCTTTATTTTGAAAAACCTACCAACTACTTACAGTCGCCAAAGTGTGATTGCGCAAGGTGCACCTCAAGATATCTGCACTGGAGATAGAGAGTGTTTGATATAATGAAATTAACTCCTCCCAAGTTAACACTGCGGACAAAGATTTAAAGTTTTATTCATAAAAGACCAAATCTCAAAGATATGGTTTCAGCCAAATATTCTCTTACAGTATGTACGAGGGGCTTGAAAGACAAGGTGCATTTGTTCAGTTTAGAAAAAATGAGTTATTAATGATTTCAACTAAAACCAGAATTAAAATATATCTCGTGAAAAATTCACCACTAAAATCAAATTGTTAAGCATCAATTAAGTTTGAATCTTCTTTTTGCCATAGGGCTTCATGCCATTTTGAAACTTGAAACATATATTTATTGAAATAGCAAGAATTGCACTTATGCGCCTTGTCCTCCAAGCCCCTCATAAGTGTACTCTTCATGTATGCTGTATTGCCTTTAAATGATTAACAGCATAAAATGAACGATTAGTTAACCTCAAGACGAGCAGACCTAATTTTAATCAAAATTGTAGGTTGATTCTATCCTGAATCCCCCAGATACCTAGACCTGAATTAGGTGAACAGTCAGGCTCGTGCAGTGCTGAATGAACTTTACTTTGCAATAGGAACTACATTATTTGACTCATTTGTAAAAGCACTCATCTGCATATGGAACATAATGACTTATATGTTGTTTCTGAAATGAGTGGGAAATTGTAGTTCCTAATTGCATAATGGAGGCCAGTCGTACTACATTTTGCAAATTGGAACTATAAATTCTAGCCCTGTTTAAAACCAACGTATGTGCCATTTGCTTCCGTATGCACATAAGTGTTTTTCAAGAAGAGCCAGAATTTATAGTTCTAAATTGCAAAATGCTGTCCAGTTATCCTTCTATTGACTGGCAATCTACTTTCTGCCTCCACTCACTACTCAAGCTCCGTCCGGCGCCGTTTGGTCTCTAGACCAGATCATGATCCTATCAACAATCAATAACAAAAACCTTCCTGGATAACTCAATTCGTCTGAGATCTGAATAGAATTATTACACAATTCAGAAGTTTTTTAGCTACCAAACAACCTTTGTATGTGTTGAAATTATTAAAAACACAAAGGAGACATGTGTATTTTATGTACTTAAAACTAAGTGGTGATGATTAGTCCAGGCGTAGGAAAAATGGTATTAAGATTTTTATTTTTTTTTCTTTTTATCATTGGTTGGTTGTTCTTACATTTAAATGTTTTTAGGCAATAATTTAATGAACTGCCATGTATTTTTTTTTTTACTTTTTATAGGATGTTTTGTGATGAAGCAGAGGAGACAGACTGAAAAAGAGAATGACTGAGGCTTTATCCTCCTCATCAGGTATAACTACTTCGAGATTAACTTTTGCCTTATTTTTGGACTCTATAAATTTTTAGTTATCTTTTTCGTTTTCTTTTTTTTTTCTTACTTGTCAAGACCAAATCTTTTTTTCAAATAGAAACTAATTAATTGAATTAATTAATTTTATTATTTTTTTAATTAATTGAATTAAATAGAATCAGCCTAACTACATCAAACGGTTTACAGAAGATTCGTCCAATGAAAATTCGTCCACAGGGTGGTTTTGTATACAAAATATGAATATGTCGTACAAAAAATGTATAAGTTTTTGTTGTACAAAATATGATTAGACCATTTACAAAGTTGTAAAGGACAAAAAAGGTCCTATCAATAAAGTCCAAACATGATGCGTCCATTGCTGGCATGTTCTCAAGAATACAGTAAAAAAAATATGCAGAGAAGTAAGTAAATTTTACTCAAATTTCCCTCTATTTGTTGGAGGGTTCTACTGGTGGTCCAGCATGAGGGGGAGGAAGCGCAGGAGGTTTTTGTTTAATTTCAGGTGGTATGCAACAGCATACAGGTCACAGAGTGGTAGTGATACAAATAAAGACGGTGCTTCAGTAATGGCTTCCCCCTCTGAGTTTTTAACATTTCCATTAGTTCCTTTTTGTTCCAGTAATAAATCACATTGATTTCACTAAGCATAAGAATTTAGATCCAATACTCCACACGACAAATAGTAATTTAGAGGCGTTACACAATATTTTATACAACCATGATTTAGAAACTACATACTCAAGATTTTCTGACCGAAAATTTAACTTTAATGGAAAAAATTAATAGATCCGTTTCTGTGGGAGCGCGTTGTCAACTCGCATCTTCTTTCTTTATATGATTGTTATTACATAGATTTTTTTTAAAAAAAATATTACAATGCAACTTCAATTGGACATTTTTTGTTGGACACGTTGACTTCCCACAAAGTGTGCCCTGGACTCATTTTATTGGGCCTAATCTTTTTGGACAACTTTTTCTAGACACATTTACGTTGGACCAATTTCCATTGGACGAAACCTGTTGACAATGTATCAAACATTGCCCAATTTCTTATCATGTTTCATTTTATCTCAAGAAGACCTTGAACATTTTGCCTTGAAATTTTGTGATTGTATTCTTTACACTATGCTTAGATTCCCAAAGAATTTAAGGTCTTATCCTGTCCACATTTTTATAAAAAACTGAGACGATAGGAAATTGGGCAACATGAAATACAGATAGATTGTTCCTGTTAAATCTGNTCCATTGCTGGCATGTTCTCAAGAATACAGTAAAAAAAATATGCAGAGAAGTAAGTAAATTTTACTCAAATTTCCCTCTATTTGTTGGAGGGTTCTACTGATGGTCCAGCGTGAGGGGGAGGAAGCGCAGGAGGTTTTTGTTTAATTTCAGGTGGTATGCAACAGCATACAGGTCACAGAGTGGTAGTGATACAAATAAAGACGATGCTTCAGTAATGGCTTCCCCCTCTGAGTTTTTAACATTTCCATTAGTTCCTTTTTGTTCCAGTAATAAATCACATTGATTTCACTAAGCATAAGAATTTAGATCCAATACTCCACACGACAAATAGTAATTTAGAGGCGTTACACAATATTTTATACAACCGTGATTTAGAAACTACATACTCAAGATTTTCTGACCGAAAATTTAACTTCAATGGAAAAAATTAATAGATCCGTTTCTGTGGGAGCGCGTTGTCAACTCGCATCTTCTTTCTTTATATGACTGTTATTACATAGATTTTTTTTTAAAAAAAATATTACAATGCAACTTCAATTGGACATTTTTTGTTGGACACGTTGACTTCCCACAAAGTGTGCCCTGGACTCATTTTATTGGGCCTGATCTTTTTGGACAACTTTTTCTAGACACATTTACGTTGGACCAATTTCCATTGGACGAAACCTGTCGACAATGTATCAAACATTGCCCAATTTCTTATCATGTTTCATTTTATCTCAAGAAGACCCTGAACATTTTGCCTTGAAATTTTGTGATTGTATTCTTTACACTATGCTTAGATCCCCAAAGAATTTAAGGTCTTATCCTGTCCACATTTTTTATAAAAAACTGAGACGATAGGAAATTGGGCAACATGAAATACAGATAGACTGTTCCTGTTAAATCTGTCCAATTAAAGTAGAAGTTAAGTAAAAGCACTGCATGTATTATTCTATGAGATGAACTGTAACATGTAAGAGAAACTTACGAGAAGCTGTAAGTGAAATGATAGCTTTTGATAAAACCGGATAGTACCATATTACCTCATATAATAAACAGATTAATCTGTCCTTTCTTGAGATAAGTTTTCCTGATTGCGGGAAGGAGAGGGGATGCCAATCCTCTAGTCATACCCTCGCTATGAATTAAAACCTAAGATCTTTTATTGAGTGGCAGAGCTCACCCCTCCTTCGCTCGTCAAGATTTTTTGTATAAAGAAATTAAAAGAAACACACAAGTTTGTGGGAAATTTTTTTCCTGAAACCCAGGGTAGAAGGGTGCATTGAAATGCTAGTCCAGTGCCGGAGTTAAAAATTCAAATTCAAAACAAGTTCCAATACGTACTGGGGTAGTGTTGGCACAGTACAGGAAATAGGAAAAAACTAAGCAGCGTACATTCAGGTACTTACATCACGTTTTCTAATTCAGATGATCAAAATTAATTGCAGTTGTTTGAAATTATTCGCCTTTGTTTATTGCAGCAGGTGAGCGGAGATTAAAGGAGTTGGAGGCTCTGTTTCTTGGAGGGCCTATTCAAGGTCGAGGTCAATGTTTCAGTATTGAAACGCTCCTCGACATCCTTCTTGTACTTTATGATGAATGCACTAACTCCTCTCTGCGCCGAGAGAAAACGGTCTCTGAATTCATTGAATTTGGTGAGTTGCAATTTACTACCATTTCTCTAGAGTACCTATATTGAGAGAGTATGGCCACTGGGGTTACCACCTCTGATTGGCTCAGCCATCTTAGGCTGAATGGAGCCCTTAGGACCCAAAAATGGCGGACGCCATAAATTAATGTAATGCAAAATGACTCAAAATGTAGTTTTCTTTGCTTATCGTAACGAGAAATTTACCCAAATGCACTATCGCGACATCTTTACATATTTTTAAGGCTAATCGTGTGCAATTTTTGAGAAAAATTATCGTAGATGTAGTAAGGTTGGCAGCAAGTACGGTTGGTGGTAACCGTCAAAAGTTGGCAATGACCCCCCTCCCATCCTAAAAAACCAAATCAAAGCACAGCCATTTTTGGGTCCTAAGCCTCTCTATGGGGCCCAGTGGCCATACTTTCTCAATATAGGTACTCTACATTTCTCTTCCTGATTATAGGAAGTAGCAGCGAAATTCCAGGCAAGGTTTGAAACCAGGAGTCATAATATGTTTCGCCTTTTCAAAATTTTGTATTTAACAAAGTTAAAATTTTGAAAATATTATATCGAACACAATAAAGATTTTGGAAATTTCATGTCAAACACAGTGGACATATTGAATAAATTAAGTGTTATGGAAAGCTCCTGGTCATGGATCTTCTTACCTATTTGATTCCTCTTCATTATTTGGATAGAGTTAAACAGAACAGTCACATCTGTATGGCGGTGTTTCAAAATCTCATCTCCTATTTTAATTTTTTGGAAGGAAAACAACCAACATCCTACTTGAAAATTATTGTAATTTTTCTTGGCCCTATGAAGGGTATTTCAACAAAATTTTAAGAGGAAATTTTTATGGTTTTTTCCCCCCAAAAATTGAAATAGTAGATGAGATTTTGAAACACCGGAATATAGATGTGACCGTTTTGCTTAATTCTTTCCATTTCTGGAACCATTGCACTAAAATATATTTATCTCATGAGTATCTCTCTTACTTACATTCAAGGTTCACGTTATTTTACCTCGGCTTTATCGAACTTAATTTTGCTGTCTCGGATTCTCATCATAGTTTTTTTTTGCTTTCAGTCAAACCGGTAGCAACATGTGTAAAAAACCTAAGACTCTCCCGAGATGATTTTGAGATGGTAAAAGTCATTGGGAGGGGTGCTTTTGGAGAAGTGTTTGTGGTGCGGATGAAAGGATCTGAAAAAGTCTTTGCCATGAAAATATTGAACAAGTGGGAAATGCTGAGGAGAGCAGAAATTGCATGTTTTCAAGTAAGTAAATTTCAAGCCTTAGTTCCAACCTCAGATGATTGTAAATTTGATGTTGCATACTGAAGATGAAAAGACTCAACCATCATACCCTAAAAAGTTTGGCCTATGATAACAGTCTATTGAAAAAAACAGTATCGTTTTTGAAGTGGGAGGCTTAAAGAAATGCTTATTTCTTACGCAGATTGTGAAGTTAAAAGTGTACTTCAGACTTTCCTGAATTGCTCTTCGTGATTTTTGAGCCATTTTCTATTTTTTATAAGAAATTATGCTTCTTTTTCCTCTAGCCAAAGTTTTCAACAGGCCCACCAAAGGTGGCTCTCCCTTCAATACGGACTCTGTGTGAATCTTGAGTTCGATTAGATGAAGGTGTTTTTCAAATTGATAAAGTTCTGTTTTGTTACAAGACAAACTTTAAGGTGTATTAATTAAAAACAAGACATATGCGTTTCAAAATTTGTATGTCATTGTTTAACTTGATTTTGATTTGGTGGAAAGGAATGCAGGTTAGAGGCCTTGGCTCTGTGATCTAATAAAATTTTCCTCTTGTATTGCATCCTTTCCCTCTGGTAATTTTATTTTGGCTAGCTGACAAATTGCATATCATTTTGGTTGTAGGAAGAACGAGATGTCCTAGTGTATGGGGATAGGAGATGGATCACTAACTTGCACTATGCATTTCAAGATGAAGCAAACTTGGTAAGTAAATACCTTCTACATAGCAACAGTTTCTTTGTGAAAAGATGCAGAGCCTTACAATGCAGATGCAATTTGTCATCTTCTGCACAAAGGAACATATCAACGGACTAAGTCAGCAATCACTTAACTCGCTTTGCGACATTGCAGACTTCCTGTCATACTTTATTTTTTAAATGGAAAACTACTCAATGGCAATTCTTTAAAACTGTTGTGATTTTTCTCCTCTGCGCTAAGAAAATGCTGCATAAATTTCAAGGAATGATGTCAATTTTTTCTCCTCTGAAAAAATAACATAGAGGGGGAGATTTTCAGACACCGCAAACAAGATATGTGATTGCGGACTTATGGTGTCAATATCCCGTCTATGGAAAATGTGGAAAAGCTCCCAAAAGTGTGGAAGTAGGGAACGTTTTGAAGGGTCCGAAGTTGAGAGTCAACAGAAAACAGAAGAAAACAGTCGTTTTTGGGAAATTTGGTGGAAAACTGATGGGAATAATGTGGAAAAGCGGTCTCTGGGTGCGTGAAAATGTGGAAGCTTGGAAGATTCTGCTCCTTTGCGTCTGCGCTGTTTCAGTATTTACTTGATAATTTTATGTGTTCATGGGAGAACTATTATTTAACTTTTTTCTGTAAATTTTAGTGCGTTTTCCTGCAAGGGTGAAAAAAAATTACTGAAAATTTTGTGCAAATTAGTGTGACAATTTTTTTATTCGTAAAAAAAAAATGGAAAAATTTCAGCAAAGAATATTGAAATTGTGCCATCAAAATATGTTCTTTCGTGCCAGAGGCAGGTCAAAAAGGAAGTAGTGGAAGGGATATTTCTGGATGCCATCTTAGCTCTCTTGGTGATGCGAGTTAAATGGGGCTCAAAATATACAACTCTGAGAGCTGGCTGTATGTGGGATTGGAGCGTTATAAAAATCTGCAAAAATTTCTGTTAAGTTAATACTTCCTCTATTTTTCAAAGAATCAAAAATAAAGAACTTAAATAAGCTCATTGCTCCAATCTTATCTTGAACTTCTCTCTCACAATCTATATGCAATCTCTATACAATCTATATGCAATAATCTCTGTACAATCAGTATACTTACAATCAATACATATAAAATCATAAGTGGAAATCAAATACCAAATGTGTCCTATCATATCTGATTGATGGTGTTATTTTCAGTATCTTGTCATGGATTATTATTGCGGAGGAGATCTCCTAACCTTACTCAGCAAATTTGAAGATAGACTGCCTGAAGACATGGCTAGGTTTTATATTGCAGAAATGGTCCTTGCAATTTCATCAGTTCATGATCTAAGATATGTACATCGGTAAGTAATTGAAGGTCTAATCAAAACCATGAGATTGGAATACCGACCTCATTCTCACATATTTCAGAAAAATATTAAAATTAGCAAGACACTTATTGTAATATTTTCACTGCTGACCCAATACACAAGTACCAAAACACTAGACCATTAGGTTTTCAGCATTGTTGCTGGCGGTCTGGAAAACCAAGGTCAGGGATTTTATGGCGACCAAAAAAAATCAGCAAATTCGCAGAAAAAGCCAGGAAATTTTGCGAGGCACATTAAGCAGAAGTAAGTGTACTTTTAATGGACATAATCAAGATTAAAATTTTATTCAAATGTCAGGGAATCTGAAAATTTTGGAGTCAGGGAAAAGCACAGAGAAGTCAGGAAATGTGAAGATGAAGAAATTATGGTCACCCTGTTTTTAGCCGACAATATCAAATTTCTCAATGTGACATAACTTGGTTTGACTGTGTCGGAATCTTTTTATGTTGTAATCTTTCATTCATGAAGTGAACTCAAATTCAAAATTGTGCTAAATTATTCATAACACTGCTAGCCCCCTCCTCCCACCATAATCACTTCATGTTGCAACGATCGGTAACATGCTCTGACATTTTTTTAAAATTATTAATGGTGGCCTCGTCATGAATACAGGTTTCAAAACTGACTGGGCAGAACCATTATGCAAAACCTGCTTTTATATTACCATTAAAATTTTAGAAGAGTGTCCAGTTTATCAGAGCTAATTAAATCCAGCCTAGAGCCAAATTATTCCTTATGCCATTGCTATGCATATCGTGAGAGATGCTTATCAAATTATGAACGGTATCATGCTGGTAGCATTAAAATTATCATGGCTCATCATGGCAGTACAACATCAGTACTTTTGTCATCCGTTCATTCAAATTGCCTACACAATTTTTACAGTTTTATATCAAGTCATCCTTGATCCATCATAATCTCTGATGCTCAAGTACAATGTGTATGATTCTTGTCTAATTTCTGTTCTTCAGGGATATTAAACCTGATAATGTACTCTTGGATGCCAATGGGCACATCAGATTGGCAGATTTTGGCTCTTGCTTAAAACTGAGCGAAGATGGAACTGTTCAAAGTAATGTTGCGGTTGGAACTCCTGATTACATTTCTCCAGAAATCCTGAGGGTAATTCGTGTTACTAACAATTTCACAAATAATAACTAAACATAATAAGATGTATAAGATCAAAAAAATTGAAAATCTATTGAAAGGAAAAGATATAAACTTAAAAATGAAATAAAATTCATAATTCATAATAATTAATAAAAAAAAAAAAAATTGCAAAAAAGATATAATGCCTATCGATGTTCATCATGGTTCTCAATAAGTATCTTAACTAAAAAAGCGTGATGAAGATGTAAGAAAATTTCATAGGTGAAGTATGTCTCCGAAATTAAAGCTGTGATGAAATCTGAGAACAGGACCTTGTTCTTTTTCTCGCGAAAAAAAAGTTACATTTGGGAAATGAAAACTTGTCATGCTGGTACCAAGCGGGACTTGTCGGTAATAGATAAGTCTGGCTTCTTAATCCTTTGTGACAAAGCATCGAGTAGGGCAGGAAAATAAGCTTGGTGACATCTTTTAGAACAAAAGGTCAACTTTACTGAATCCTGCAGTCTCTTAGACTACTAACCTCACTAATTCAGAGTACTTAAAATTAATTTTCTTGAACTTGCTAATATTCACCTAAAAATCTGATGTTCCAAATGAATGGCCAAAGTGCAAAACCTTGTAGCTCCGTTTGCTACGTTGCAGACTTTTCATCATACTTTATTTTTATTTGGAAAACTAGTCAACCTGGTTTCTTGAAAACCTCCATGAATTTACCTCCGTAACCAAAATATTCTGAATAAATCTCAAGCATTAAAATTGACTTGTTTCTCCGTGAAAAAATAAAATAGCGGAAATTTTGAAACTTTGCAATGGAGATAAGTGGTCTAGCTCTTGGGCCATCAAAATGTTGTATGGTCTAGAATGGTATGTCAAGGTTGCAAAAGTTGTTACTTGGAAAATGGATTATAATTACCTATTGTGATGAAATTCCTTCCGATCATTATCCATTTTTCATTTCATTATTCAATGTTAATAATGTTACCTTGCAAAGGAAGAATCTAATTCATTGTTAATTTCTGGAATTTTCTTTTCATCTTGTAGGCAATGGAAGATGGTCAAGGTAGATATGGACCGGAATGTGATTGGTGGTCACTTGGAGTGTGCATGTACGAAATGTTGTACGGAGAAACTCCCTTTTATGCAGAATCATTGGTAGAAACATATGGAAAAATTATGAATCATAAGGTACAAAATTTATGAATTCAATTCCTCTCAATCTCTTCTGATGACAGTTTAAATATCATTACCACGTACAAAAGACTTCATGGTGTTTAGGACCGGAAAAATCCAGTAACAGCCGAACCTCATCAAGGAATAATGAAAACTTTATGGAATATCAGGGAAAAATTAGAGAATCTGTATATGAGGATTTATCTGTAACAATAGCGGATGTCGAGTTTTCATATTGTGAGAAAATCGCGTTTGAAGTTTTTGAAGCTTTGCACTTTTCCGCTTGTAGAACCGAGGGGATTCTTATAAAGATTTTCATAAAGAGCAACTCTTCCAGTAAAAAACACTTGTCTTACCATGTATGTAAGTGAAAAATTGAAGGAGTAACAGCGATTTGAAAAAAATGTGACATCCGCTATTTTTACTGCAAACACTTTTTTATGCATGAAACAAAGTTTTCAGGAAGGGTAAGGCTGGTAAAACGATTGAAATGAACCAAAAGTAAGTCAATGCTGAGTCATTTAACAAAATTGAACAAGAAACTAGATCGTTTGTAACTTTTACAACAAAAACAAGGGAAAAATTCTAAAATCAGTTAAAAATTCAACAATTCTGGCGAGACGGTCCCGATAAGTATAATTTGAGTGTCAGCTAGAGCCCATGGCCGGTGAGCGGGCAGTTATCGCAAGTGGGTTCGAATCTCCACAGTGTCCTGCCGCGCCGGCCGGGGAAAACAGTGGATTCTCACATCCGCTGTTTTTACAAATAACATGTTTTTCAGTTCATATCTTGCCGAAAAATTGTGCTGGAATTCTGAAATTTTGCACAGGCATTCTTGGAGGCTCTAGATTTCGAAAAAAGCGTTTGCCCTAAAAATGGCCGATGTCAGCGACCGCCATTGTTACATATATATCCTCATATATTTCTCAACTCATAGCGGGAATAAAATGAGGATGTTTGGCAGAAATAATATTTTGATACTATTCCATTTTTCCAGATGAGGTCAAATGTCTAATACACGATAAGCGCATGCAGATATCACAAATTTTAGGTAAGAGATTATCTAATGGTTCCCGTCCAAAAACTAGGATTTTTTGTGAACTGACAACAATTAAACTGTTTTCGTATTCTCTCTGTATAACTGTACACTGTCTCCTCTAATTTTGATCATGCTTAAATTTTGATTTTTTTTTTTTTTTTATTATTTTTTTTGCAAATTTTACAGAATTGTTTTGATTTTCCATCTGATTTACCGGTGGAAGTAACAAATGATGCCAAAGATCTTATGAAAAGACTGATTTGTAGTGCAGAGTATAGGCTAGGTCAAAATGGAGTGGAGGACTTCAAGGTAAGATATAGTTTTATCCATCTGAAACTGAAAAAAGTGATAGGAATCAAAATGGATGGCTGTTGTTTCATAGCAAACAGGGCTAGAAAAATGTCTTACCTCAATTGATTTTTAACACTTTAAGGTGAATCCAGGGTTCGATTAGGGATAATTCAAGATTAGAGGTAGCGCCACCAGTCACCGCTGAGAATTTCACTTTCCTTCGACGATTACTGAAATAATATTCCTTAAATTACAAAAACCAAATCCACAAGATATAGATTATTTTTTGCTTGATTTTTTGAGCCAAAAATATTGGCAATTAGAATAACAAACGCTGAGAAAGTACGGCTGAAACTTTCTGCTCAGCGGCGGCGGCCGAGCGCGCAATGGAATCCCTTATGTTCTGTCTCTCTTTCTCCCGTTGCCGCAATGGGAATTACTTTCAGCTGTAGTTAAGACTTTATTTTTGGGAATTTTGAGAAGATTTTTTTACTGAGTGTTCCTTAAGTATGTTGCTATAACCCCTGGATCTCCCATATTGATTAAGTATTATGGTTTTTATTATTTTGGCAAATATATACGGCTATTCTGAGCAGCGCGACGTGGTGGCCAAATCGCGAAGTTCCAAGCCTGGATTCACCTTAAAATATCTTTCCAAATTTTTGAGTGTTGAACTGTTGGACAAGTGGCTGTGCCAGCAAGAGAGCTTACTGCCATCAAGTGAACTTTTATCCGAACACTGCTGCTAAAATCCTGGCAAGGCAGTGTCAACTATGTGCAGTTGCGTTGGACACACAAGCTGTTTAGACAATGAGATGGTAAATTTGCCATTGTGCGTCGAAATCAACATTAAGCTAAAATCCTCATTTATGCCAAGAGATCAAGCTCATCCAAGCGCAAGCTCATCAAGCTTTTTCCTCACAGAGAAATGCTCTTTGGTGCAACATTAGTTACAATTAATCAGTAAGGCAATTTTGGACACGCCGCAGGAATGATTTGTTTCATCATCAGCATAGCTTAGCACCCTGATTTTCTGCTTCCAAGCTCAGAAAGGTTCTGGGAACCAAGAGTAAGCGATTGAGTAAGCAACCATGGTGGCTGAAGAACTTTCTGCCATCTGGTGAGCAATTATCCAAACAGCATTACTAAAGCTGCGGCAAGGCAGTGTTCACTTTGAGTTGTCACAGTTCAAAGCACATGTTGTTCAGACAGAAAGGAGGTAGTTTAGAAATTATGCTCTCAGATTTATTATAAAGCTGAAATTCTCTATCATGCTGTACAGTGAAATGTGAAAGCCAGACCAAAATAGTCGTCGGCTTGACATCATATTCTAAAATGTATTAGTACTAATCATCTTGGGTATGATACCTGGCTCAGTATGTCATTATATTTTGATTTTTTCATCTGTAGAATCATGCCTGGTTCCTGGGGATTGACTGGTCCTCACTACGGGACAGCACAGCTCCCTACTTACCTGAGGTATCCAGTCCAACTGACACTAGTAATTTCGATGTTGATGATATGGATATCCGAACATCAGACTCTGTTCCGCCCACTGCCTCTAATCCTGCTTTTACGGGTCTTCATCTACCTTTTGTTGGTTTTACTTTCACCCAAGGAAGGTATGTAAACCTCTATGAAAGATTAATTAGGAAAGCACCAAGGGGATGAATTCGCAGTTGACCATTCATCATCCTTTTACCCCAAAATTCTAAGAACGCCATCGTCCTTAACTTATAACTTCTGTTTTCTAAGTGTGACAATGAATTAGACTACATTTTGCAACTAGGAACTAAAATTTCTGGCTCATTTTAGAAACAACATTTGTGTTATTAGTTTCCCTCTGCAGATAGGTACTTTTAGGTATTGGCTAGAAATCGTAGTTCCTTATTGCAAAATGCAGTCCAATTATTGATGAAAAATAAATGAGAAATTGTTGCCTCTGGTCTCTTTTCCTTTTTAGGGAAAATTAGGAAACTTGGGTCCCAGTAAAATTATGTTTTCTAGCAAATTTTTGGACCAATTTTCAGAATATCAGGCTTGTATCACAGCTGAACAATTTGCCTGTTGTGCTTTCCTATTGATTTAACTTGACTGGTTTATGCAGATCAGAAGACATAGATGAGGGAACCTTACTTTTTTTTACAACTCTCGTATTTTTCCTTTTTTTTCAAACAAGTGCAATTAAATTTTGATCCCAAAAGGAGAAAACTATCTTTTGCTTCCAATGATCATATTTGTCTTTAATCATGTTTGAAGTGATCAATGAATTTAGTTCTTTGCTGGAGGAAGAAACATCTGTTAATTGTTGTTCAATTTTTTACAGTCGAGTGGGTGATCTAGGTTGTATTACATTCAGTGATTCTAACATACGAATGTCAGCTGGTGGTAAACGAATGAGACTTCACGAGGATCAATTAGGTGAGCTAATTTTACTTTAATTTTATGTGGTATAGCATTATTTGAACTTTACAGATGGATTAGTCCAGTACATGCTTGTTATTTCAGAACTGAACCTGAACTCAATGGGTCATTAGACAAGGCCTGAACTAGAAGAAAAGTCCCAAGTTCCCTTGGAAAAATCTTAGGTAGAATACTTCTTGCAATGGGAAGTTTAGAGATCCATTCCTGAAAGTAGTATCAACAAACATGTCAAACACAGGTCAAATGAAAATTGAATATATAAATGACGTCATTTGTAATTGTGCCATTTATCCAATGTTGATTGTAAATACTTATATCTGATCTATGGAGAAAATGTGAAGGCAAAACAAATTGTCCCATCCCTCCTTCTTAGCTGCCCACACATTATACTTTTAATTTTTAGAATACTAAATAAGGATGATCTGTAAGCTCACAAAAAATGAATATTTTAACTTCACTCAATAAATCTTCATGGAAATTCTCACCCAGTGACTTTTAGTTAACTTTCATCAGTGACTTTCATCTTTTTCATGCAATATAGACAGCATGTGTATTGTGTGTTCTTTTTTTTTTTGAACAAGAGCAAAATCTTTCCTATCAACCTAAAGGTGGGCGTTTTCCACAGCTCTTTTATACCTATTGTTTGCTTCGTTTAATTCCCTTTCAGTAAATTTTCAATTTCTTTTGCGTAGATTGTAAAGCAGAGCCACTGAACAACGCCAGGAAAATCTCTCCAACCTCAGAAAGCACCGGAACAAATTTGAGGAAACTACAGGATGAAATAAATACTCTAACCAAGAGGAACTGTGAGCTAGAAAGTGAACTCCAGGATTTGGAAGGCCATGAGCGTGTACGAGAACTAGAAAAACTAATGCGATTGTTGAAACAAGAAAAAGAAGAAGTCAACAAAGTTCGTAAATTTTTGTTTTTTTCAAACTTACAAATAGCAAAATCTTTCCTACCCCTTTGAATGGATTACTAGGAAACTGGACAATGTCTAATTTAGAGCCTCATCTTTCGTCTTTCCCAATCAAGTAATCAAGATGTTGTACGTAATCGTTGATTCAATGAAAAATTCATGTATCAAATCCTAAGCAAGATTTTATCGGTTCCAGGAAATATTATTTTAAGAAAATTTGCATGTTCAATGCATCGGAAAAACCAAAAATGAATGAATGGACTTATGATGAAAGCGACCACGGCTGCAAAAAGACACTTCTGCAGTGAATGACATCACACACCTTTTTCGGAGGGCAGTATCTATCTTAATACGTAATGAACTTCAAAATAAGATGCATCGACAGATCTTATTATTACTAATCTACAAGCTTAAACCATCAAAACGCAATTCCGTGACCCGAGATGCTGACCGATTAATAGTGAAGGTATTATTTTGTCACTCAGTACGTCCTTTTTTTTAGGTCAGTCCCCTATTTTTACATATCCACCTTAGATTGAGTTTTTCATAACTGATATAGTTTGCTCAATTTTTAATTTTGTTTTCAGGAAAAAGTAGAAGTTGAAGAAAAACTGAAGTTACAAGAAAAAGAGCTGAAAGATGCCGTCAGTCAGAAAAAAATTGCTATGGCTGAATATTCAGAAGTATCCGACAAGTAAGAATTCTAATATTCCTCCGTTTCTTCTATGGCTAAGTAAACTATTCAGTCCTGGTCAAGGGTGTCAACTGAATGAGCTCCTCCTTGATTATAGTAAAAGCTCATTTTATTGGATACCTGATTTACAGGATATTGTAGGTGAACGGATTTTTTCCAAGTTCCTGTCATTTTTCCACCACAGCAAAATGCTAAATTCCTTTCACTCAGCCAAATTTTGATTCACTGGATATTTTGATACTTCATTTTATTATATGTATCATTATTCATATCATAGTGAAACCTCGCTAAGACGTTTTCGATCAGGATGTTGGGAGATTATCGACTGAAGCGGGTTGCTGACTTAAACGGGTTCCGTCTTTTTCCTATCCGCATATTCGAATTTCGCATTTCGAATGCTCAAATTTTGACAAATGCTTTCTAATGCTGAAACATAATGTACAGATAGCTTAAGGGGTTATTTTAGGCAGTATTTAATCAACTGCAACTGATCAAGGGCGCTACATTTTTATTAAGAGCATCTGTTGGTGACTTTGCAAGTCGGACAGCATCGACGGGCCGCCAACTCACCTTCTCGCTACTCGGGGCGTGCACAGACGATGCTACAAGTGACACTGCTCAACAAACGGCGGTGGCCGCGTGCGGGCAAGATTCCGTGAACAGTGTGTACTGGGTAGATGGAGATTGGATAGAGTGGGAGACACGCGATAGGGAAGGAAGGACCTGCGGCGCTTGCAATGTTTTGATGCACCATTTACCATTCATTGTGCACACACGCACAATAGTTAAAAGTCACTCTGTGAGCGCAGAGGGTCGCGCTCACGCCTCATTTGCATCCCTGCAAACGATAGCAAAGGAAAAGCAAAGAAACTATTATGAAAAAATTGGAAAAAACAAAGGTAGGCTTCGCAAAAATGAGAGAAAACCTCGTTTAAACGTTATTTTTTTCAGTTGGGACCAAAAATTGTATCAGCTTAGGTGGGTTTCTGACTTGTGCGATTCCGAGTTATCCGGACTTTTATAGCATTGTGGTATATGGGCTATAAACAGGACTAGGTGCTTGTGCTGACTTAAGCAGATTTCCGGCTCTTACGGGTACCGTCTGTATTTCTGTCCAGAAGTTTTGAATCTTTCAAAGAAATTTGCCGATATGAAATTATGTATCATAAACATAGATTCAGAAATGTCTGTGTAGAATTGTCATGTGTTTTGTGATAGAGTAGTTGTGCAAAACATTCTATCACCACATACAACACTTACCATTTATAAAAAGTTGTAAACATTGTTCAAACCTTTTATACATGTACATTAAAATTATAAAATTGATCCAGCTAACAACATGTCCAGTTCCATTATCTCAACCCATTTGACACGAGTTCAAATTCAGTTTCACAGTGTTACCTAGAGAACTCAGTTTCAACCAATCTACAAGTTGGCGATTAAAGTTCTAAGAAATGGGAGCTAAACCTTGCATGAAGTATTCAGTAATTAAATCCTATTTGAAATGTGTAAGATAGTGATTTTAACATTTTTACGTTTTTTAAACACTGTTTTCTCCCTTGTTTCTTAGATTATCCGACTTGCGGCAACAGAAGCAAAAACTGTCAAGAATCGTGAGAGATAAAGAAGAAGAACTGGAGCAAGCCATGCAAAAAATAGACTCATTGCGTCAAGATATGCGGAGAGGTGAGAAGTTACGTCGTGAGCTGGAGGCTCGGATAGACGAAGCCATGCAAGAAGCTACCAAAGAAAGGAAGTTACGTGAGCGTAGTGAAGAGTATTGCAATCAGGTGAGCTTAACTTTTTCAATTACAAGAGGTCCTCCCCCTCCTACGTACGCAGGTTCTAGTAAAGGTTCTTAAAGTTCCACTGTTAAGACTCCAGTAAATGTGAAAAAGTAGAATAATGGTTTATTGATCAAAAAGAAAGTCTACATGTACCTGTGGCTTGGTCATCTTTATTTGTCTATTTAATCTTTTGGGACGGACCTATTAACTTGAAGGAGAGGGATGGAAAGCAAGGCTGCGTTCAGTGATTGTTAACAATTAAATTGGATTTAAGAAAATCTTAATAAAAGGAACAAAACAATAAACAAGCAGTGAACTTCATCTCAGTGTGTTAATAAGGCACGTAATTGATTGATGTATAAAATTTACTGCTTAGTATTTACATCAATTAAAGCAATATTGAACCCTTTTTCCTACAACTTAAAAAATGTTGTCTTTGAACTCTAGGGCTCATATCTCCCTCAATTTTTGAGCTTCTGGGGTCAAACTGATGCCAAAATTTCCAGATTTTTGCCACCGTGCATTCGCTTAAAGCTACAGACAATATTCTACCAGAAGATAAAGTCCTTTCTCACAGACCTGTCAGAATCTATCAGTACAACTATCATTTGAAAACCATTGAGGACCTTGTCTCCATTAACTTAAAGCAAGATATTGTGATGATTGCACCTATTTCTCTCGCAACATTAATTTATTTCATTATTATTTCTCTCAGTTGAAGGCCGAGTGGAAGCAACTAAAAGAACGGAGAGACACAGGAAGTGGAGATGGATCCAGTGCTATATCACAGCATAACATTCAGGAAATCAATAGGTAATTTTAACTAAGTACCTTAGTCCTGAATGGAGGGTTTAGTAGAATAATGGAATTTTAAATTGTTTCTTAAGATCGTTGTTTAATGTGTGTTCGTTGTTGTGTCAGTTAAAAGGAATCAGAAGTCATAAAGATGAATGAAAAGGACACTTAAAAATTGTCTTAATATTATGTATATTTCATAAGCAAAGCTTCTTAGAGTAGAATGGATTATTAGACAGAGCTTGAATTTAAGCATCATGCTTATGAAAATTTTATTTACACAATGCTGCTTGCAGTAAAAATTTCTTAAATGGACCACTAGACAAGATACGAATTTAAGCATTCTGATACATGTTTCTTAGTCAGAATTTCACAAAGCACGATTTGCTAAACGAAAATTACTTAAACCAACTCCTAACAAAGGTATTAACATTTTTATTTCACATTGGTTACGAGAAATTTGAACTGCCCGCTCACAAGAAACTCAAAACTCTACGTGAATCAAATCGGGCACTACAACGGTTTCAGCAAGCTTCTCAGTTGAGCAATGTTCATGTCCCACCAGGTGTTGTTAAAACTTTAAAAGGACTACGTGCAAAACGGGCCATTTGGGGCTCGGGGCCGATACCTTTGAGACTTGCCCTATTCATTCACCTAACAAAGCCCCATCTTTCCTCAAAGTTTCAAGCCCCCCAAAAATTTTGGGGAGACTCGGCGGGGGGTCAAAGTTAAAAACCGGCAAAATTTTCGCGAATTTATTTCTCGAAAACCAAGAAGTTTTGGAAAACGCGGTTTAAACGAGCGTATTTAGCGTGACGAGAGCTTTCAGAAAATGTATAACATCATAGGGTTTTGTCAACTTCAGCTCGAGTTATCGCCTCCGAAGCGCCGGAACACTCAAAAAAGACCCCTTGTTTTTTCACGTTTGGGCCGATTTAAAAAAAAGCCATTTTTTTATTTTGATGAAAAACTGATATGTTGTTCCTGACTCTCTGTAGCCCCTTTAGCTCTTTACCGCATGCTGGGGAAATGTTTCGGTCGCGAGTTATAAGAGCGGAATGGAGCGAAGGTCGGGAAAATCTGCTATTTTAAACTGCGCGCGGCGACGGACGAGGAGACATGTGGCAACAATGCGAGGTCGGCAGAGGAGTGTGATTCGCCGAACTGAGTGGGAGGGGACGTTTTCCCTCCGATCAACGCCGCGCGCGTAGTTTAAAATAGCCGATTTTCCCGATTTTTTCCCCGAACATTTCCCCAGCATGCGGTAAAGAGCTAAAGGGGCTACAGAGAGTCAGGAACAACATATCAGTTTTTCATCAAAATAAAAAAATGGCTTTTTTTTAAATCGGCCCAAACGTGAAAAAACAAGGGGTCTTTTTTGAGTGTTCCGGCGCTTCGGAGGCGATAACTCGAGCTGAAGTTGACAAAACCCTATGATGTTATACATTTTCTGAAAGCTCTCGTCACGCTAAATACGCTCGTTTAAATCGCGTTTTCCAAAACTTCTTGGTTTTCGAGAAATAAATTCGCGAAAATTTTGCCGGTTTTTAACTTTGACCCCCCGCCGAGTCTCCCCAAAATTTTTGGGGGGCTTGAAACTTTGAGGAAAGATGGGGCTTTGTTAGGTGAATGAATAGGGCAAGTCTCAAAGGTATCGGCCCCGAGCCCCAAATGGCCCGTTTTGCACGTAGTCCTTTGCTATAGCTTAGCCAAAGCGTCAAGATTGAGGTTACCAGATTTGTATATCGTAGAGACTGTCAAGATAACATCTAGCGCGCAATGTGAATCACATAGAGCATTGAGTTTTCATGAGCGGGTGGTTTGAATTCACGCATCAAGAATCATTAAATATCTTCATAAGGAGTTAAGTTCGGTAATTTTCGTTGTGTGTATCGTGTTTTACATGAAATTTTGGTTAAGACACATGTATCAGAATGCTGAAATTCGTACCTTATCTAGTGGTCCATTAATCTCCTAGCAAGATACCCACGTTTTTGTCTGTGGAATCAGCCATTCTGTTCTTAATTTTTGTCAGACGACTAATGTTGTCTCTTTCCTTTTTTATTATCATTTATTCATAAATTCATAGTCAACGTATAAACTTCCTTTTAATCTTCTATTTCAGATTAAAAACTGAATTGGAAACTCTAGAAGTTGAATACAGTGATAACTTGTCACAACAACAGGCTAGACATAGAGAAGAAATTAATAATTTAAGGGAGCAACTTCTTGAGGCTGAAGCACGAAAGGAAGTCTTAGAAAAAGAGGTAAGATTTTCTATTCCTTCGCAATGAGGAAAAAAATTTATGTATTGCTTTGAAGATTTCATTTTTATGCTTTTGCTTGTGAGGCTCAGCCAGTTGTTGTATTTTCTCCACTCAAGTCCTTATTGTCATCAGAAGAATTGGCTGTGTAGCAACCAGTGGAATGAAAATTTGTTATCTGTAAATATCTATCTTTCTGCATCAAACTGCATTATGTGCCAGCCATATGGACACTTATCATTGTTATGGAAGTGCTAAAGAAGGAAATGATACGGCTGCGCTAATGCATCTTGTCAAACCACTCTACCCACATATTTTGATATTGTAGAGACTAACAATGAGACAACGCTTGTGATTGAATTCGAGTGCTTCAAATGTTGCAGTTGGGTTAGAATCTGTTTCAAAAATTGTCTCATTGATTGTGTGATGGTACTAGAGTCCTTTCAGTCATCCTATTTGTGGAGATGAAATTTGAAAGACCAATAACCTTTACCATAGATTAATTTAGACGAGCCCCTGCATCACCTCAAAATGATAGAAAATGGTCCTATTTTTTCGGTCTCTTTTGGTTTTTGTTTGTGAGAAACTCACACTTACAAAACACCTTGACAAATATTTTAAAATTGAAGATTGTCACCAAGAATATTGCCCTAGGGAAGCATCTCTGACAATATGTTCACAGGGTGTCTACAGGTCTAGAAAAACGAGTATCATTAGGGAATTTCATCAGGTGAGGAAAATTAGGCAATAGTCAGGGAATCTAATCGAATGAAGACCATCAAACTCAGGGCTTCTGGCTAGAAATCAAACCTGGGACCTTTTGGTTATAGGACCAGTGCTACAACCAGTACACCATGGGAGGTTGAGGAAACCCTGGGAGTTTTGATCAATTTTGTCCGGGAAATCCTGGAAAAGCCAGGGGAATTTTATCCTTCCAAGTCTGAAGATACTTTGGTTTTTTTGGCGATTCACTGGTGTTTTCTACACTATTCTTTTAGTTCACCTATCCCTCAGTTATCTAACTAAGAGGAAGCTTTGTCATTTTTCGTTAAATATCGTCTCACAGGTTGCTGCTGCTAAAGAGAAACTGGATACAGCTCGCTTAGAAAGTATAACAGAAAATGAAGAAGCTCTCGCTACTTTAGCTCGTAGGCATGATTCGGAAAAAATGCGTTTGCTTGAGGAAAATAAACGGCTTGCCCTAGATGTAGATACTGTAAGTTTTTCGCTTTCCTTTACATTTTAATTCTTTTCCTCACACCTGTAATATTTCATCTAAAAGAGTCTTTATCCGCATTGCTGAGATCTGTGGCTCATTTCTTTTTACTGTATCTGTGAAGCTTCCATCATGTGCGCGCCAATTTCCATCACACAACATTTATCATCAGATCACTAAAAAATCAAATTTGCCCCTTAGTTACTCTTTAGCTTCCCACAATAGTGCCCTCCAAATAGATTTGAGCCCCTCAGATGCAGTCAATTACTCTAAAGATATGTTCAAAAGATTCTGAACCATGTCGGTTTGATAAGGTGGACCTACACTTGATTAATTCCCAAATTTTACTTTATACTGCTGCTGAAAAATTAGATGATAATTCAGTCATAATGAAACCAGCTTCTTTTACCTTTTGTTCTCTGTAAAGTTTTGCTTTGCCCTCTAAAAGCATCATTGCATATGTGACTACTTCTTTGGAGCTAGTTACACTACTACTATTTTACTTTTAAAAACACCACTGAAAACACCAAAAATGTTATGTTTGTACTGTACAAATTATTTTTGAATTTTAATTCATTTTTAATTTTTTTTTTCAAATGAAAAAATTTAAATCTTTTGAAAAGAAGAGTAGCAAAGGGGGAGGGAGGGAGGGAGGCACAAACCTTTGGCGGGAACATCTGTAAAACATGATGAATAATAAAACTTTGATGATGATGATAATGGAGAGTCTTTGATTGTGAGTCAGTGAGGGGTAAAAATAATATGACAGTAATGGAGGGAGATATCACTATCCTTTTGGGGTCAAGTCATTCCCATTATTTTTATTGTGGCCATACACGGATTTTTGAGTTTTATGAGTAAACATTCTTCTAGGATTTTTACTTTTCTCCATTATTTTACCTAAAATTAACCCTGCTAAGCATAATTATTATCAGAGTATTTCTATATTTTATTGCTTTAGCACATATGTATTTCTCTTAATTTAGAAAGCAGCTCAATATCCACATAGAACTAAACAAAAATTGTTATCATTAGTGTTTCTACAAACTGTAATCAGACTCATCTTCTGATTGTGTCAATAATACCTGCTCAGTTGTCAATAATTTGGACTTTGCTCCTTTGGACCAGTCATCCTTACAATTTATACCTTATTCTCACCATCATATGATCAAATTACTAGATTTCTACTGTTTTGGCACCGTCTTCCGGCAATTAATTTGAAAGAAACTAGTGCTATGTAAATGTCCTCTGACAATTGTGACATTTTTTTTCTTAGCTGTTCCTAGCATCAAAAGAATATCTGTGTTCACCTCTAGGTACGTCACTAAGTTTTCCAACTGCAAGATGATTCCACCTGAAATAGTAGCTGTGTTTACAGAGGTCCTCTCTTTGTTCATGTTTTCATTCGTTTTGTTTTTCCTTTTTATTTTCCTTTTATTTAATTATTTCCTTTTGCCATTCTTGTGACAGTTAAATGCTGGTCGCTTGCAAGAAACAGAAATGGGCAACAAGAAAGAGAGCATTGCTCAGTGGGAAGCTCAAATCTCAGAAATCATTCAGTGGTGAGTACCTCTGCATTCTTCTTTGCTTAGTGTTATGAATATTGCCTGCATCTATCCTAATATCTTCTTATTCTTTGATGGCACTCACTCCTGCAGAAAGGAAGACTTAGATCCAGTGATTTTCTATTGAAAGCAATCAAAATTTACGATTTTTATCGATAGGCTGATCCGTAAGACAGAAATAATGTCAGTTGGCAGTGCTCAACAAAGCAAAATTGGACATATTTCTGCCAACTAGAAGTAGGTGCATTAGACATGAGCCCTGAGACCCATGAGAATATATGCATAACAGGGCTCACATCATAATGCACATAGTTCTGTTCGGCAGAAATACGTCAAATTGTGACGGATGGTCTGCAAATCGAGAGTTGCCAACAATACATGTGCCTAGGAGTGAAGCTAACTTTAGATGGGAAGTTGGATCAGGCCATTTGGGATCGTAATCTCAAAGGAAGGAAAGCCATCGTCATGCTAATCGGGCAGCAAAGCAGTCCTCCAACACAGTTGAGGTAGGTTTAGGTAATTGGGAGGTGGACCCTAAGATCAAAATAATACATTAGTCTTCTTTTTTGGAGCTCACATTTTTCCATCATTCAAATACTTCTTAGAAGTGAATAATCTCAGGTATTTCTTTTACTCTTTATTTGTTGGTCATGATAAATCTACAATAATACCATAAATGATACTGTTGATGGAGCCTCCTCCAACCAAGTTTTATTTTTAATCTAGAGTAACCAAAATCCTTTTTATATATTGGCCTCAGCTTAATAGCATAGTTGCAGGAAAGAAGATTCTTCTTTGTGACTCCCTAAGAATATTCCCAGAATTCCTTAAGGAAGGAGGGGATTTCTTTCCTGCAAGCAATGAAGAGTTCTAAGTCATAACGACTGACGCAGACGAGATCTTACGCAGGGAGGGGAATGCATCAGCAGTCTATCCTTGCCGAGGAAATTGAGGACCCCTAAACTTTTGTCCTCGAAGTTTTTCATAGCTCTGAATTTCTCTCTGTCTCAGGGTCAATGATGAGAAGGATGCAAGGGGATATTTGCAAGCGCTTGCAACTAAAATGACTGAAGAATTGGAATATTTGAAGCACACGGCAGTGTCTACTAATACTGTGGTAAGGATTTTGTATACTTGTGTTTAATTTGTGTCACAATTCTGTTCAAAATTTCCATCGAATGAAGCATTTCATTTACTTCATTGTTAATTTTAGTAACAACCTTACGGCAAGTTATTTTTTTAATATCATTAACAAAGAAACAAATCTGGACATGCTTCCAAAAGACCGCAAAAAAGAAAAACAAAACCTAGTATGTTGGAAAATGTTAAGATACAAAAAACATACCTCTTTCATTGTTTTAATTGATGCCAATGTAGTCAACTCCCACTAAGTGATAAGTTGCATTGGTGAAGAAGCACCTGAAAAGTGAGCAAGATCAGCTGGTCTCTCTTTTTTGCCCATTTACATTATGATATCGAATTTGCAATAAGTGAAAATCTGCTAAATGATGAAACCCGCTAAGTGAGCAGTTTGATTCGGCCGAGAACTTCAAAAATCTTGGATAAGTTTTCTAAGAAGTGAGAAATTTTCTGTTTTGAAATAATATTGAGAATGGATCTTAAAAGAATTTCCATGAAAGCAATAGCAAAATTACTTGAACAAAATTATTACTGTTCCATATCTTTGTTTGGTTTATTAATTTTTTTTAAACTTTTCTCATTGTGTGCAGGACAAAAGTTGGCGAAATCGAAGAAGTCAAAAACTTGAAAAAATGGAGTTGTTAAATCTGCAGAGTAGTCTTCAGTCAGAAATTCAAGCCAAACAAACTATTGGAGACGAACTGAGCAGAACGCGAGCAGAATTAATCGCCGCCCAGAAGTAAGTTTATTTTTCTCACTTTATCTGAAGAGATGAGGAGAAAGAAAACTACTGATTCTTTTTTCAATATTGTTAAAATCACAGCTCCTGATCATCAATCTTAATGAAGAATAAGTTTGTTCAGTAATTTTTGACTCTTTCATTACAAAGTACACAGCATTTTCGATTAGCAAAATTGCATCCTCCTAGCTGCATTTTTTTCAAGACTCAGCAAACTTCACTCAAAAGTATTCTGTTGTACATATAGAAGATCTGGACTACAACTTTAGACACTCTCCATCAGAGTGCGTTCTGATTTGTTTACGTGGCAAACCAATTCCTGTTATGGGGCATGCGCATTCAGAATGTAGCCCGGTAATAGAAGGGTTAAATTTTGTATCTCTAAAAAGTAGAGAGTGGACTTAAATCATGGAAATTTTCCCGCCCTTTTTTTTTTTTGTTTTACCAATTTGGATCTTCCTACACACTAAAAATTTTATCATTTCCCTTTAAACAATACAGCCTTAACCATGGAAAAAAGGTGTTATTAAGAAAGATTTTCCTTTTTGAGGCAGACAAACAACATTAATTTCTTCATGTATTTTTCAGAGAATTGAGAGAATTTCATCAAAGGTTTGATAATTTAGTTGTTGATGTGAAAAGGAAAGAAATTCAGCTAAAGGAACTACAAGCCCGGTTAGATTCTGGAGAAGGATGTAAGTGACGTCTGTCCATTTTTGGTTACTCGCTTAGCGTGCATGCTTTTTGCACCCTTCAGTTTTTTTGTTTATTTTTCTGAAAAACTATGCATGTGTACATTGCTTTGAAAGTTTTGTATAACAAAAGTACCAATATAGGCATCATTTTGCCATGTCTTGCTTGGTTGGTTCACCACTTCTAGGTTTTTCACTGAGATCTTAGAGACCAATCAGAGAAAATGCAACCTGAAGGAATTTGAATGTTAAGTCAATGACGTTTCAATTTTTGAGAGAGAAACAATACTCATGGTGCAGTAAATAATACTTACTGGAAAAGTTTTATTCCCATCCAATACAAATATTAACAAAGTTTGCGCAAAATCATTTCAGGCAACCAATAAATTTTCAGCACTTTTAAAACTGTCTCCGTTTTTATACTACTCCTTTAGGGATTTAGGAATGGGAAATATGGGGTAATTAATCAGCAAGTATTTCAGTAATTTCACCGTGCCAAAAGGGTACAGATAATTTTACTCTCCCTATTCTTATAGGTACTTTATGTACTCCCGAATCAAAATTATTCGCCTCCTAAATTACTCCTCTGGCGATTCAAATGTGATAGTCCATTCTTTGTTCATTTATTTACTTACGGGTATATACTTTTAATTTTTTCACATTGTTAAGTTTTCTACTAATTTTTTTTTCTTTTTTTCTTTTAGAAGATTATCTAGTCAAAATTTTGAGATTGTTCTTTTTAAATCCTCTATTGATAGAAGTCAATATTGGCTGTAGTACATATCACTAAATATTTGCATTAGATGAGAAAGCTGCATGCAGAGCTCCTATGTTTTTATTTAGATTTATTTCCTGAATCTATAGTAGCATGAAGTCCATGTAGGAAAGAGCTGTTCAAAAATTTACTACCGAAATTTCAAAAATTTTAAAGAAACTCGAATTCTGAATTTTTTACCCTTGTTAATTTTTCAAGGTTTCAAAAAAAATATCATTGATCATCAGAAAGGCTTGAAGGTGCAAATCTGTTTCTGTTCTCTCTTGTGAACCAATCATCTCGCGAATTGTTAAATTCTATCTGAAGCTAATCTTTTCTCAGCTGCAGCTTAGCTCACTCTCTCTTCTATTTCTTTGTAGCTTAGCATTTTACTCTTCTCAAACTTAACTACAACATGTTTCCTAACACCTCCTTTTGTTTTTTGTAGATCTTATTGTTTGTCGTTTCTCCATATTGTTTTTTAGTGATTTGATTAATAAATTTTCTTTAACATGAAGTTCGAAAGTGTTATTTTCTGAATTCTTTTCTAAACATGAAACTCATAACTTCTCCTCAATCAATTATTGTGAATGTACCTTTTACTTTTGAACTGTTTATAATTAAAAAATGTATGAGTATGCTTCAATTTTTTTTCTGAAAAAATTCAAGAATGAAGTTCACAATAAATTTATTTATCGCATAATGTATTTATTTTATTGTTTTTCAAGGAAATTAGGAGTGTTTTTTGCTTGCTGATAACTTAACTTTTCGCTTTCTGCTTAATTTAAAAGCCTAATTAATTTGTCTATGCCTAATAATTTGACCTACACAAGAGCTTTATAACAACTTTCTTCATCTTCAAATTTTATTGCAGCATTTTTGCATTTATGACTATTACACCATAGAATGATTTGTTTTAAGAATTCATGATTTTCATCGTTTGATCTCTAAATATTCCCAAAAAGTTGACTTTTGATGACTGTGGTTATGAGTGTTGTTTTACAGCAAAAAATCAATTTCAACACTCAGAGAAATTAGTTCCAAGACAAAAAGCATCACTGTAAATAATGAACATAATTTGTTTTACATCAATGCACATTTTAACCCTTAAACAGGCCTAGGAAATGATTTGTTCTCTTAATTTCTTAATTTTTTAATTTTTTAAAGTAAACTTCTCCCAAGTTTTCTTTAGAAAAATGACTATAAAATGTACTACTTAAGTTTTTCAAAGATAATAGACCTCACTCATCTTAACCAATGAAGCAGTGAGTTGGTGGCACTTTTTTTTAAATTACTTTTCGGAAAGCACAAGTGAACTGAGCGTATAGGATTTTTCTAGATTTTTTTTTTTTTTTTTACCTTTTATAGCAAAGGAGCTCCTTTTTGAAAATACAAAAACTAAAACCGGTTAAGAGTGATATATTTTACGGACTCTGATGACATAGTCAGGTGGGCTGAATGACACTCGCTGATTGGCTGAACTCATTTCCAGGCAATGCCTTGCAATGTCAACTTGACTGTCAGCTTTTGATTAGTCAGATTTTAATCAGCTTCCCCCCTCCCCCCTGGATTGATTTTTTTGACTTTTTAATGAGCTTTTTGGTTTTTTCTTGAAATTTTATGTTTGAACAAATTTACCACAATGCTGCAAAAATTCCTTGCCACTGCCTTATTGATGTCATTTTCACAGTACCTCTTCCTTAAATATGTGTATAACTTTTCTTGAATAGCCAATAATTTAGTGTCCAATAAGAGCATCACCACTCCATGAGTGAGTATGAATTTAGCCCCCTTAAATAAAAGTGTTCGCCATCAACAAATTGTGTAAAGATGTAATTCCATTGCTGGTATTTGCCGTGAGCCAAAATTTTAAGAGAATGAAAGTTGTATTGCTTATTTTTATACATATGAAATAATTATATGCACCTCATTCTCTTGACAGGCTCATTAGCAGTCTAGTTGATGTCCTTTGTAGGCACGGTTCCTTCAAAGTGGAACGAAGTGTTAGAGAGATTTTGTCCAGACTATTTGATTTTTGATAGGCATTTTTTTCTCCGTGCATCTGCCATGATACTGAATTGAATTTTCGAGCTATGTATCAAGAAAATTTTACCAATTCAAATTCATCATAATTATCTAACGTTGTATGGATTAGAAGCTAAATCTGATATTTTTTTTTCTCCAAAACGCTGTGTCTAATTTTGTATTACTTCTCACACACTATTATTTATCTATTTATTTATTTATTTATTTTTAACCATGTGTCGTTATTAAAGAGTAAGGCACATTTTGCTATAGATTTTCAATCTATTTTTGCGTGATAAATGTTCACTATTTTGCCAGTGTATAAAGTGAGGCCTGAAAAGTATTAAATTTCCATTTTTCTTGATATCCAGCTTGAAATCAAGAACTATTGTTCTCTTTTGAATTTGTTTTCTTTTCTTGATGGGTATTTCCTAAAATTTATTTGAGATCCTTCAAATACACTTAAACCTTTTTATTCTCAGAATTGTCTATTGAAGTGTGAACAGTTTTTCCCCGAGTACCTATTAATATTTTGGAAGATAAAAATTTAGTTTGGGAACGAGTCCCCCTTTGTCTTTTGGAAAGATCCTCCAGGGTTTCTTTTATTTCTTTTATTTTTTTCTTTCATCTCTAGTATTTATTTTCCTCCGTCTATTTAAATCTTTTTTTTCTCTCTCTGTCTTTTTCTCTTTTTTTGGCAAGATAATGAGACGGTCAATGAAAAGGAATGACTTTTGTTTTTTGTTGTTAATTTTTATTGTTTTATCTTGATGTAGACAAAATGCCACTGTTTATCGGTGTGACAAGCTGCCTGTGGGGGCTTCTTCTCCTCATTTTTCGTTTATATTTCTGACTCTACGTCACCCTCTTCTGCTTCGGTAACGTAATTTCAGTAACTATGGGCCCTGTGTTTCACTCGTTTCGTTTGCTGTGTTCTTGCTCACTGCACCACTCCTTTTAACCTCCTCGGTGATGAAATAATTCCATGCAGCCCAACCCCTGTTCCCCGTGTACAAAGATTCCCCTTCATTCCAGTTCGATAGTCTTTTGCCAATTTCAACTTTACTGTCTAAACATTTTCTCCTATTTTCTTTTTGTTTTCTGGCTTTCTTGTGTGCAGTTGAGAGAAAAAATCTCGGTATGTTTTCAAATTTCATCAGTTTAATGAATCCTTTCAAGTACAACCTACACATATCTTTCTCTATAATAAGGGCATTAGCAAGGATTAATTGTTGCAAAATTAGCTTTATTTTTACTTTTTCAACCATAAACAATGGAATAAATATAGTTCTTCTCTCGCAGTGAAACGCGTACCTCTAGCGCTGCATAGCTATAAAGAAGAAGGTGCTTTCTACCTTTTCAATTTTGTATAAGTCGATGTTTTAAGTTTTCCTACCTCCCTCTCCCCCTTTTCTCTAAAGTAATTAAATGCTAATAAATAGAAACAATTAATTTTAAAGTTTGCTTCCAAAGTTTGAGAGTGCCTGATTTTCCAGTCTTCAAAGATCAGAGCTTCTGTCAAATACGTTGGCTTTTGTTCACTTTTAGCCATTGTGCGCTTTTGACTGATTCACATATTTCGGCATGGCATAATGTTGTTACCTGAGGTCAATCCCTTGTTGCCATGGGATGGCAGCAGCGCAGCAATCTACGAACTGAAAGTGAATAACTGTCAACTTATTTCATGGGAGCTCTAGTATCGTTTATTTTCTGTTCGTTTTCATCTTTATCAGTCGCAGCCAATTAATGATCTTATACTCTCAGTGGCCAAGAAAAATATTCTCTGAAACTACCAGTTGTCTTTGTCTGCCTTTATTTCACCAAATAAATATAAACTTTTCGCTGTACTGAAAGATAAGACTAGTGGACTGGTTTTCATATTATAAAACAAAGTGAAAGGCACAACTGCATTTACATATCACAACATGTGGATTGTGGATGTGTGCTCAAAATTTCAATAAAAACCTTTTTGTGTTTTCTTCTAATGTATCGAGCATTCTTATAGGTTTGAATATAATTTGAAACTTTCAATATAATTTACAATTTTCAATGACTTCAAATATTTATTTAAAAATTCCCTCTGTTTATATTTATGAGATATCTCCTTCGTTAATTTTCAAATTTTTATTGTTTCACTCCTGAAAAGTGGCCTTTTCATCCAACACATCAGATCGCTTTTATCACAATTCCATTTGATAAAAATTCATAAAAAGTGCTGTCTTGTATTTTTCCTCTTTCGAGTTCCGTTTTTGCTCTGACTGTGCCCTGAACAATTATTTTCTGGTTTCTGGAAGTCTTAATTTAATTGTTCCCCAAACTGTGTGTTTATTTAATTTTACGTCTATTAGGTACTAGTTCTTATCCTAAATTTTCCAAATTTTTCTTTAAACTGTAACTTTTTCATGAAAGTAGAAGAATGTAAGTTCTGCTCAATGGATTTTAAACTTCGCGATATTTAGAACACCATATCTTTTATTGCCTCCCTCCAAATCAATTTTATCTCAATTGCCCGGGCTTATTTCTATTTTTTTTTACTCGTGTGAAAAATTTAATTGTATATTTTCTAGTGAGTCCCTCTTACAGTGCTGCAGATTGTTCATTTGTGTGCATTCTCAATTGCTTTACCCAGCCTAGAGCAGTTTGTGCGTGTTTGCCTGTTTAATACTCTTGCTCATAAAAGGACCAAGGGAAAAAAAAATCAATCCTATGAATTTTCTCTATTCTTCACCCATTTGTTGGTTTTTGTAGGGAACTCTTTAATTCAGAGTTTTTCATTTAACACGGAAAATCACTTTGATGATGATAAAGCATTCCCTTCACCCTATTTTTTCCTTGTTTCAAATTCTGCATTGAACATATTTTTTTTTTTCGTTTTGTTACATCTTTCCGGATGATATCAAAGAAATGTGGCTCCATAAATATTTAAAATTGTTTGTCATAATGAGGAGCATGTTGAGAGTAGCCTTTAGTTTTTTCCCACTAGAGATCAACGAAGATCCAAGCCATAACTTCTCAGTGTTTTCTCACCTTGGACATCATTTCCCAAGTTGGCTAATTTTCCAGTATCTTTTTTTGACATGCATTATGAATTACAGAAAAAACTAAAATTTTTCACTTTTGCTATGATTTTCATCTCCATCATCTTAGTGTGGTTTGGAAGAGTGCGGAAAATTATAATGGAAAGTCTGGGAATCTATTTTTGTATTGCTTTTCGCCTGCAATCTTGTCTGATACAGTGAATATTTGGTGCTTCTTCTGCATTTAATTGAGAATTTTTCTTTCCTTAGCGTAAAATTTCAGTCGATTTTGTCTTCATATGGCACAGCACAATATTGAAGATTGAATGCCAAAAGTAGAAACATTATCAAAGAAAAATCAATCTAAGATTTTCATTACTTCTCAACGTGCGATTAGAGGCAGTAATATTCAACAAATATCTGCCATGAATGTGACAAGTATCGCCTTTTAATAACTTCTTCTTTAGCAATGATCTCTTTAATCATTGGACGCAAGCAGACTTAATGCGACCCTCCTTTCCCTGAAGAATCTCGAAAGAGATCTCTTTTAAAATAATATATTTTTCTTTACATTCTACTTCTTTGTTTCATTTTTTATTTCTTGCAGCTGAGACTTTATTTTTTTTGACAATTTTTTTACAATCATTTAGTTTGCTCGGTCATTGGCATTAGGCAATATTCCTCTTTTCTTGTCGATTTTTTATCATCTCTCACTTGAAAAAGAAAACTCTGTTGTTTCAAAAGAAATTTTAGACACTATTTCTCAATAGGTATGGCAATGTGCTTTTCAGTTTCATCATCGAAAAGAAAAATTTCATGAAGTTGTTTCCTAACCTATTCTTATTGAATTTCTTTCACAGTTTTAGAAAGACCTGGATCTCAAATGTCATACCTAGATCATTTTTTGAAGGAGTCCTCTGTAACACGACAGCTCCGAGACTCCATCACAAGCGAAGAGGGTAACCTAGATGACAACCAAACTCTATCTGTTGCAAGTAGTAAGACAAATCTTTCGGATATGAACATGGTAATCATGAAGTCCTTTTTTTTCGTTTTATTGATACCTCTCCTGTTATTCTTTTTCATTTCTTTCAGGTTTATATTTATGAAATACTAATCTGCGCTCTTCAGCATCTACCTCAGTCTTGATATCAGACGGCCGCTGAGCCTTGCAGGAATATATGTAGAATTTGTCTATAGTACTGAAGTTTTAAACTGCATTTGAAGGACTTTTTCGTTATGTTCCTTTGTCTTGTATCATTGAATCTAAAAAAAAAAATGTGTGTCATTATCACCATGCTTTTTACCCATTTATCCGAAAATATTCTTAAATTACTGGACTTGAAGATAGTGAAAATATTTTTTTCTGAGTTTTTAGGAGGATATCCAGTTAACGGAAGTCTGTAACCAGCATTGTCAATGAATGACTATGTTTTTTCTTTTCAGGAGCAATCAAGTCTGAAACTTCAGCCTAGAGTATTAAGTAGCAACATGATGATTGCTAAGTCGCATCAGTTTCTCATCAGGACTTTCTCTGCTCCGACAAAATGCAATCACTGTACGTCTTTAATGATCGGGCTAACTCGACAAGGGGTCGTTTGTGAAGTCTGTGGTTTTGCTTGCCATACTACCTGTTGTGATAAAGTACCTATAGCCTGTCCAGTTCCTCCTGATCAAAGTAAGTTGAAGGGCAAGTACAACTAAGAAAGTTAACTTAAATCTCTCTTGGAGTTGTAATATTTTAGGCAAAATATGGAAACTTATCCCATGACCTTCAGTCAGACATTGATCAGAAGCAGTGTTCCTTGGTGCTCTGCATGCGAGGTCCCGATGCTCTGCCACTCTCCCTGCTAGCGGCTGCTTTGTCATTCTGTGACATCAGGCGTAAGGACTGGTTAAGATAGGGCAGTGTTTATCCAAAAGCTTTTGGTCTGTACGTAGTTGGTGCCAGTATAAATGAGGGTTGTAATTTCAGCATTAGATTTGTTCCAGGGAAGCCTCTGTTTTCTTTTTTTCCCCTTTCTCTCTCTCCAAAAATATTATCACGAGTTTTTGTTGTTTGATCAGGGTGTCTACAAGTCCGGAATTTCCAAAAAGGTCGAATGAAGTACAGATTTTTTAAGAGCTGTCCGGAATTACTGAAAAAGTACGGAATTTCGGGAGAAGGTCCGGAATTTTTGTCACAATTCGAGCAAGAAATTCAAATTTTTGAACATTTTCGAATTTCGTCAATTGAAGGTACTGAAAAAGTACTGAATTTCTCCTATGAGGAGGTACTGAATTTCTTGGGAATGGACTGGAAAAGGACAGTAGAAGTACTGATTTTTGGCCAGCCTGTTTTAGTAGACACCCTGTTGATGGATGTTAACTTTTCAAAAACCGTCTTTAACTTAAAGGATTTTTTTTTTATCACTCTTAATTTAGTTATTGCTTATCCTTCTATACTAAATATAACTTTTACCTTTCTTTTTCAGCAAAGCGACCTCTTGGCATTGATCCAACCCGTGGTATTGGAACTGCCTATGAAGGCTATGTCAAAGTACCCCGAGCAGGCGGTGTCAAAAAAGGATGGGTTCGCCAGTTTGTTGTTGTTTGTGATTTCAAACTCTTTTTGTACGACATATCAGCGGACAGGAATGCCTTACCGTCAGTGCAAGTTTCTCAAGTGCTTGATATGAGGGATGAACATTTTTCAGTCTCTTCAGTCCGCGAGTCAGATGTAATTCATGCCATGAAAAAAGATATACCGTGTATTTTTAGAGTGAGTATTTTCTGTTCTTTTTCTTTTTTTAAAAAAAAAATGGGGTCAATAAAATCTACACTTCAGAATTCAAAATGTTAGGCTACATAATTTGACCTCTCTCTTTGGTCCCAAAAGTAGCTGTGCTTACAAGAATCTAAAGCCATTTTAGAAAAATCTCCTTTATAATACGCTCTCAAAAATTTCAAGTTTCGATATAGTGCTTTATCTGTCTCCCACTGTGTCACAGTGTATGTTCCCTGCCTCAGAGTAGTTTCTTTGAAGGGGCTCCCACATCTCACTAGTTTTATTAATTTTCCATTTTCCTTTGTATCTTTGATAGATTTTATTTGTACTTTTACAGATAACAACTTCTTTACTAGAGCCAAGTGAATTGCAAAATCATACGCTGATGTTAGCCGATACTGAAAGTGAAAAAAGCAAGTGGGTCGTAGCATTAAGTGAATTGCATCGCATTTTGAAAAGGAATAATTTACCAAATACCACAGTAAGTTATGTCCACAATTTTTCTTTAATTTTACATCACCTCATCACTTCTAAAATTTTGCGTCAGAAATCAAAGGTGGCAGATAGTGGTAAACAAGAAGTTAATTTTGAGGTGTGTATCAATCAAATCTTAGGATGCGAGGCAAAATGACAACCTCAGAAGAGGGGTAGTGAAAATTAAAGAATTTTGAATTGGCTTTTTGCACTCCTTGTCTGTGCTTGCTTGAAATTTTACTGGGTCATCAAGTAAATTCTGTCGAGTTATTGCTGTATGAACTCCTTCCCAGGATCCTTACATCAGATAGTCTGTCATTATACCCCTGGTATGACATATCAGGCCTAGTAGATCAATGGATCTTGATGTTCCCTAAAGTTTCTACACAGCCCCTGTTCGGACTGTTACTCCATCTATTACAACAATCTATTTTGCATCAAAATTTTCAGAAAATACTTCCATTGCCAAGGATCTAAGGATCACTGTATTCATTTTTCTTTGGGTCTTTCTTATAATTTCTTTCCATGAATTACTAGAATCATCTGCTTGACCTTCTCTAACAATTTTCATGTATTTTAGGTGTTCAAAGCTAAACAAGTCATGGACAGTACTCTTAGAGCTGTGATGTCTGGTGCCATAGTGGATCCGGATCGTCTAGTCATTGGCACAGAGGATGGACTCTTCTGTCTTGATTTGGACCACTCAGGTATGTTTCCTAGTATCATTGTCTCAACCTTTTTTCATGACCATTTTTTTTTCAAGATTTTGCTCCTATACCAGAGAAAACCCTGACTTAAATACTCACAAAAGTGAGCGTGTCTAGCCATTACAAGGTTTCTAGCTGTCTGGAAAACCTGGAAAGTCAGGGAATTTATGCAACATGGAAAGTTGAGAAAGACATGGAATTCTCAGGAAAAATCAGGGAACTTTGCGCGTAGCATTTCTGCTGAGCAACTTCAGCCAGTGCCATTGAAGAGAGCACAAACAACTTTAGAAAGTCTTTTCCCGCAATTTGAGTCTCAAGAAGCTGAGTTTTTGTCCATGGTTTAGCTAAAGTGAGCATAATCAGAAGGTAAGAAAATCTAAGAGGACATTTTAATCGAAGGCCAGGGAAAGCCAGGAAAAAGTCAGGGAATTTGGAAATTTTTGGAGCCAGAGAAAAGTTAGAGAGTCAAAAAATAAAGAAATAATGAAAACCCTGCAACTGGTCAATCATCTGTCAATCCTAAGTTGAATCGTCTCTCAATGAACCTGTCAAATCATCTGCTCTCTGAGAGCCAAATCATTTGTCTATTAATTAACTATTAGAGTTGTCTTCATTTCACCAACCAAATACTCCATTTTATTGATCAGGTCAATTACCCAGCTAAATTCTAAACTGATCAACCAATCAAATTGTTTGTCGATCGACAAATCAAATCATCTGTTCATTGACCGGAAAAATTATCTCTCAATTGATTAGCTGAATCTTGTGTGCAATCGACCAGTTTAATCTGCTGGGCAATACAGGATATTCAAAAAGTTTGAAGTTGAGGAAAATCCAAAAAAGTCAGGGACTGGAAAAGTGGAGAAATTATGGAAACATTTCATTATTAAAAATTTACACAATCCAGTTAAATTTTAATTCATCGTGTGGGGAGATTCTGCACTTGTAGTTTTTTAGTAGCAACCGTTGCTAATATTTTATTTTACTGCATTGGCTCCTTGATATTCCTCAATCTTTTTGGAGGGCTTCAGAATCGATGTCAAAGTCAAAGCTGCTTTTCTATTCTTGTATTAGATATTAACAACCGTCATGAATGTTGATGCCCCTGCTTTAATATGTAGTATTTAGTTTGATTTGGCAAATTTTATGTTTTATTTTAGTATGAATCGAGAAATACGCTATGCTCCATACCTTTTTTTGTTGTGCATTCATTTATTCTTTTAGGTAAACAATTATCTACGTTTTGTTTTAGAGATGGCACGAGTTGGTGAAGGAAAGAAAGTTTTCGAAATGGAGTACATAGAAAAGGAGCAACTTTTGCTTGTACTCAGTGGAAAACAAAGACATGTTCGACTGATACCAGTCAGAGCATTAGATGGTGATGAAGTAGAGTGGATCAAAGTTACCGAAAGTAAAGGTTGCATCACTTTTGCTGTTGGTCAGTTGTCAAGAAATGTTCACTGCTTGTGTGTTGCAATAAAAAGACAGGTTTGTGATTTTGCTTCCGTCCAATATGAGCCAGGGAAAAGTCTATCTTTACTTCTGGGATAGATGAAAAAATCATGATCACTTTAGGTCGCAAGACTTGAAGAATAACATGATAAGCTTGAAGGCTTAAGTAGGTTTCAAAACTTGGAGCAAGGACCCTGTAGGATTGGTATCAAAACTGAGAGATACCTTGTAATCGTTGTTATACTTTTTGTCTGTACATTTTTCCCAGACAAAAGCCTTTTGAATCAGGAACATGTTCTGCAGGACGCCATTCTGTTGTGAGCAGGTGATCGCAGCGTGGTCTTGCGTAAGATCCTCGTAAACTTAGAGGATTCTTCCCTCTGAACTAGGGGTCCGCGAAGCTTCGCATTGCTTCGCATTTTGCGAAGCGAAGCGAAGCTTCGCTTCGCTTCGCAAAACGGAGCGCGAGGTCGGGAAAAGCGAAGCGAAGCGAAAATTTCGCGGTAATTCAAATTTTCGCGCGCTTTCGCAATTGATGCCGAATGCCGATGATTGATGGATACCGTGAGCCGGTTCTTTGCGCATGCGCTTGCGGCCGTCCCGCATTATTTACGTTATTTAGCGCCGTCTCTCGTCTCCTAACCTCAATTCCATCATATTTTTCCTTATCACAAACGCGACTCACTGACTTAAGTAAATCGTTTTTTCATAACATTTGTAACAAATGTTTATCTTATTTGTTCCTACGTCTTATGAGACTTTTTTACTTTGTGTTCTTGTTCTTGAATTGAATATAAATAATAAAATTTCTTAAGAAGTTTAAATCAATGGTTTTTAAATTATATTTACCACAATTTTTTAGGTATTTCTTTGTTTTACATTAAATTAGATAAAAAAAATTAAAAGGAAACTAAAAATAAAAAGTAAAAACAGTTTTTATTTTTTATCATTCCGTGATCATTAAAGCAAAACCGATGACAAATTTAAAAAAAAAAATCTTAGATCTGCTGGCATCTCAATAAAAATTCATTCTTAAAATTTAAGGGAAGAGGGGGCAAATTTAATGAATGTATTTTTCACGTATTTCCCAGTGTTCAATGAAATTTACCACTGCCGCACGCTGAGTCGCGGCTCGCTGGAGTAACCGCTACGAAATTCCGCGGGTTGCATCCAGCGTATTTGAAGGGGTTTTTTTGTCCGCTTCGCTTCGCATTGCTTCGCCTTTGAAAATCGCCGCTTCGCGGACCCCTACTCTGAACCTCAACTTATCCATCGCTTGCTTCAAAAGTGAGGTTAAGCCAACAATTGAAAAATAACACATAAGGCGGCTGAAACCTTGACAAATAAGTATATTTTTGGCGTTTTTTGACCCCTTGCGACTAGGCAGGGCTAGCCGCTATTCCCAGTAGTGTGAAAAAATCGATTTTTGGCAGATATGTGTGAGCCTATGGATTTTTGTGAAGTCCAACAACTGATAATAGCAGTTAGTTGCGAGGATCCTAAGCAAAGTCTCAGCACTAGTAACTGCTCACGGATTTTTACATTTGCTCTTATGGGAGTCCAGGGTCCTATAGAACTGGTCCCTGTTAGAATTAAAAAGTGAGCTCACTGACAGTCTGAAAAGCACCAGTTGATTTACCTCCCTCAGGATATTGCATTTTGCAAAGTAAGATTGTAATCCATTGCAGTATATATTCCCATGACAGTCATTTTTAAGTATCATTGTGGAAAAGTTCAGAGATAGTGTCCCGAGCTTTGGACATTAAGCAGTAGAAGAGTTTTACCGCAGAAGGGCATTTGTATTGTGCAAGGTACCTCTAATCCATCTTATGTGTGCAACATGTGAATCAGAAATGCAGATTTCGTCGTTTACGGTGCCTGTCTTCTTACTTTCACTCAACCTTCAATATATTAGAAAATTTCCAAGTTTTAGTACGAAAAAAATTCTAGGTACAACATATACTCGTTAAAATCTTATTTGCTGGTAGAAGGACAGGGGTGCGTAGGAGAGGGTGTCTTAAATTTTAGCCTCTAGCGCCACACAGAATCAACAGATGAACATACAAATTTAAGGATATGTTCTCACTGAATCATTGATTGCTAATAAAAGAGAGCATCGCCTAATCCCCCCTTGTATGAGCAATTGCTTCAATTATGGCTTACTGAACTGATACTATAATATCTCAACCATATTTTTATTTTGATCCATGTCACAGAATACATCGCAGATAATAATCTATGAAATAACGCGGACTCGTCAAAGGCACAAAAGAATGAGGGAAGTTATGATCCCAACTCAGGTCCAGACAGTGCAGGTTCTCTCAGAAGCAAGGCTGTGTGTCGGATATCAATCCGGTTTTTCAATTTACAATATTTCTGGTGACCATTTGGCTATGCGTAAGTTATTTTGGATCCTAATCTTAAATTTGATGTCACTAAGCTGTATAAAACTATCTACATCAAGGGTTTTAAAGAAAGAGAAATTGACTATAGTTTAGGACTGGTAAGAATAGAAGGATGTCGTTTTAAACGGACAGACAGAAACTAGGAGTACTTAGAGAAGATGCATGTTTTTAACCCACCTGCAGATAAGTCCATTGTACCAAATGCGACTCTTGCTCATACATCAAAATGGGAAAAAAAAGCCCGTGGAAGTTGAACTAAAGTTTACTTAGAAGAAGTGATTTATGTTCATTAATTGCACTTCGTACAATTTTTAATTTTGTTAAAAGTTCACTGATGAGTAAAAGAGATTGTTAATGAGCAATCCCAAAGAATCGAATAAACTCACATGGGACCAAGTTTGAATTTTTCCCCCTATTTTTTTATTTTTATCTGAATTATTTTTTGTGATTTGCAGTACTTAAATTGTCATTTGCAATTTTTCTAATTTTTACGATGATTTGTTTTCCAGCACTGATTGGAACTGATAATCCTGTTGCTAGTTTCCTATCGTACTCAAATTCAGAAGCTCTGAAATGTATAGAACTCCCTCGTGGTGAATTCCTTCTTGTCTTCCAAACACTTGGTATTTATGTTGACTCTCAGGGTCGAAAATCTCGTGATAAAGAAATCATGTATCCTGCATACCCTATTGCAGTCAGTAAGTTATTTTCTCATCATTCAATCGTCCTCATGATTTTGATCCATTCTCTTGTAAAATAGTCAGGCCACCATTGCAACAGTGCCATAACTTCCCAATGGCGCTCAACATCATCAGGGTGCTTGAAAAATTTGGAAGTCTAATGTACCTTAGTATGGAAATTGCCACAGTGTTTAAGCTAAGATGAAAGAGAAGGGAAAAATATATCATTCAGAAAATATTGGGAAATAAAAGGCTTATTAAATAGGAGGAAAAGGAACTTTCCGCATCTCTGTGCCATTGCATTTTTAGGTCAACAGAGTTATGCAGGTAGAATTAAACCTAGTTTCTTGAAAAATCACTTCAAATAAAAAGCTGAAATGAAAAAAAATTGATCAGAATTTTGCAATCATTGTGGAAAATACTTTAAACGCAGTCCCTTAAGCTTCTCTGTTTAAAAAAATAAGAATCTCTTGTGCATGATGTTTCTTTCGATTATACACAAACTGATTGCGGTGGACGCACGAGTTGTAAGACTGTATGTTGGAGTTTTTTAGCCAATGTGCGTTAAATTCAGCATTAAGCTGATATCTCACTACAGAGAAAAAAAGCTCAAACGCAAGCTTAATTTTTCCTCAAAGAGATACGTTGTTAGGTGCAACGCTAGTAACAATCATTCAGGAAGGCAACTGCAGACGCGTTTCGGCCTTGTTGGGCCAATCCGCAGTGCAATGCAGCCTCCTGAATTTTCTGCTACCAAGCTCCGAGAGATTGTGAAAACCAGCCCGAGACTTGGGCATGCGGACGCTGGCGGCAAGTAAACTTGCACCATCTAGTGAGCGATTATCCAAACAGCTCCTCATATGCCTTGGCAAAGCTGTCTTACTCAAACTGACTGCGGGGGATGCTTGAGTTGTATGACGGTTTCTTTCGATTGTTTAATAATCATTTCCGTTAATTTTTTGCAGGTTACAGTGATGGATATCTTCTTGTCTTCAGTGAAATCCATGTCGATGTGTTCAATGTTGAGACAGGAGACTGGGTTCAGACTCTCAACACCAAAAGGGCTCTGCCACTTGACACTCACGGCTCTCTTGCAATATGCCTTGTCAATGATTTAACTCACCTAATCTATCTCCACAATTTGCACCAGCGTAAGTCATATTTTCTACACATTTCTCAAATTCACGAAGCATTCTAAATGTGCATCCATAGAGCACTATCTTAAATACATTTAAGTGTAAGAAATTATTTTGTTCTGATGCTCTCTGTTGTCTAGGAAAGACACCTAAGTGCTAAGAAAGTAAGTTGTTAATCAAAACCAACAAAATAGATTTTTTACTGAAGGGTTTGGATCTAAATATCAAGGCAGATATATTACGCTCTCTTGGAAACTACTTTTTATTCATGAAATTACAAAGTCACATTCCCATGACACTGTACACATAGTTTATCTACACTAGTTAAAGGTGTGATGATGCTATTGGTGCATTAACACGTAAGCATATTATGAGGAGCTGTAATCTCCTCCTTCTTATTTTATTGCGACTCTTGTTTCTAATTATTTTAAATGTCTAAATTCACCTGATGTGTTCTCTTCCCTGCTTTGCAAGACTGTTCTCACTTTTTGTGTATGTTCCTTTTAGGGGAGCTGCTGAACCTAACGACTTTCGATGCAAGCGGGCGTGAAATACCAAGAACCCGAAGAAGATTCTCTTTGCGTGAAGGAAACCGTGCTTCACGGGCGTAAGTTTCCCCTTTCTCATTTACCTACCGATTGAAATTTCATACTGATACAAATTAATTTCATAGTTTTTCTTACAATACTAATTCTGAAGCCTTAGCAGTAGTAACTGTTTGCTCAGGTAACCAGCAATTGGCGGACTTTAATAAAATGCGTCCCGATATTGAATTGTTCTTCCTCTCTCAATTCTACACTTTTTATCCTCATTTATGTAAGACTCAATGGCTGTTTGATAAGCCGGAGTAGATAATAGAAAGTTGCTGTTTTGACATATCTTATTATTTGTAGCTAATCTACAAGAACCAAACATCAATACACGAATCTGTGCCCAGCACAACTGACCCATTCTTAAAAACTTATTCGATTTTTTTTTCTATGTTAACAGAATATTCTGTATAAATTTCAAGCTAAAAATTTGGCTTGTTTTCCTTGAGAAAAATAAAATAGGAGCGGAAATTTTGAAACTTCGCGATGGAGATATGTGGTTTTGTACTTCGGCCATCGATGTATTCAATTCTCCCATTTTGTAAATTTTCATAAAAATATTATTATTCTTTTGTGCTTATATTTTAATTTAATTTTGAATCTATATTTTTCGACAGTCCTGACAGGAGATCTAAAATGATATCAGCACCAAGTAACTTTAACCACATCAGTCATATGGGTCCTGGTGATGGTATACAGGTACAGCGTCTTCTGGATTTACCCACCACAATTGAAACCGCTGATAATGCTCCATCACCTTATCCCAAAGTAAGTATGATTTTCATCATTTAAATTATAAGAAGTCCAAGAAACTAGAGTTTTTTTTAGTTTGGATTCATTGTAAAATAGAGACAAGTTTTAGTACTTCTTTGAGGCCTCTACAGTGTACAGTATGACAGTAACTTTTGTCCATTTTACCCTGCTCTCTGGAGTTTGCAACTGAGATCCCTTTTGTGGGAGAGAAACCATTTTGCATCCCAAGGAAGAGTCATACAGCTTGGCTTTCTTTGGTCTGGTTTTTTAAGCTCTTTTTCTGATTGAATTATTTGTTTTTATTAATTACTGGAAAGCCTCAATGTAACAACATTCAATGGATTGGCTAAAATCATAGACACTTCAAAGCTCTGTTTAAAACAAAACACTAATAAAAAATTTGGATCCACGTTCAAGGTTCACTTCCGTGAATTTAGCAATGTCAAACGCAAGCTGTCCATTGCCTGAAATAATCTCTGTAAACATTTTGAGATCGACTCCTAAAATGTTATGAATCTTTTTATCTTTCAGGCTTTGCCTGCATCTCTTGGGTTTCATGCCTATTCCAGCGAATTTTGTTGAAATGGGTCATATCTCTGAGCAACTATTTAATCTCACTAATTCTAATTTTTTGATACTCTTTCTTCCAGGTCTTACATGCTCCTCCAGTGCCATTGAAAATGAGTCACCCTCCTCCGAGACACCCCCCACCTAGAATACCCATGCATCCTCCCCATAATGGTTAGTAATAAAAAAAATGTCTCCAAATTTCTCCATAGGACAATCATCAATAAGCTGTCAATGATCCATATAATTGTAATGCCAAGTTTATCCAAGTTTTTTGGTGGTTGTATGGATTGATTTTGGCATGACAAGTTTTTTGGTTTTAGAATTTTAGAAAATCATCGAAACAAGTAGATTTGACAGCATCCAAAGGGAAGCCTGCGATGCCATATTGAAAACTTGTTTATTTTCTGTTCTGAGAGTGGGTCTCGTCAATTTCGTGTTCTTAGTTAAGTTTTTCGTTATTTGGAGTTTTATCAATTTTTTAAATTCATCTGATAGCTTATTGAAACTACCAGGCTCTGCCAGAACCTCACTTTGAACTGCGTGGCAAAGACGGTATGACCTGCGACGTCACTCGATGGCGTAGATTCTCAGCGCTGCCATTTTGGCACCTTGTTTGTCCATACCTGTAGTAGAGTGTACCTTGGGAAATACGAGACGTTTGGAACGTAAGGCCTCTCGTTGTTTTCAAATCATATGATATTTTTACTTTTTTGTGGCAAATTATAAGTACTTTTGCTTCAAGACCAGTCGTTGGCTATGAAACTTAAGCATAACGACCTATTGCTAGCAGGTGCAGCAACTGGTCTCTCCATTTCCATTTCAAATGTAAAGTACCTTTTCTGTTATATTTCTTCCCGCCCTATATTTAATGTAAAATTGGGTGGGGTATGTTTTTAAAGTGCTCTACTGCTCTATTTCTTGTTTTTTCCTCTTTCGTTATTATCACTAGTGTTACGTTTTCAATTAGCTAATTTTATCTCTCTCTTTGCAGGTTCCTCAATTAGGAGAGCACCTGCTCCACCTCGACCCACTCCTGACAGCGTATCATTGTATCACGACTTTAAAGTAAGTCATCATTTTCACCATGTTTTTAATCTTTGATTCTCTTTGGCATTTTTTTTTTAAAAAAATGTAATGAATAGAAAAATTATTCTGTATTCATCACATTGAGAAAGAATTCTAAAGACAGAGATATTGTTTTCTTTTGAACCGGTCTAGAGTTCAACATAATAGAGCATTTATTGCCTAACCTCTGCCACAAGGAGCATTGACCCCTTTTTTTTATGATCATAGTGTCGATCTGTCTTGAGAATCTTTTTTTAAAGTTGACATATTTTGTATTCAAATTTTTTCTTGATCACTACCTACTTCTCCCATTTTAATGTCCCAGTTAAATGTATTTTTTGATTTTATTTTTATTCTGTATACCATCTGAAGATGGAAACTTTAAAGTTGTATCTTTAAAATTTACTCTAAATTAAGCTCTGAAGGAATTAAATCATTGCTTTTTCAAGTGCTAGAATACTAAATCTATTTTTCTTTATTGCCTATGCTCATTTGATTCACATTTCGTCGCTTCTCTGACATAAAGGTATATCTTTATTTCTACACAAGCTCCAAAACGCATAGAGTCACACAGAGAACAGGGCTCACCGTGAAATTGAGGTACACCCTTACGCTAGAGGAGGGAAGAATTTTGCAAATCCTTTGCTTTGATCAGGTTTAGATATTGGGCCTTTTCTCTCTTCTTTTCTGTCTTACTCATGAGTATTTCAAAATTGAGAAGAAACAGAGGATTTAGATACATGCAAAGAAATAATATAATCTGGTTACCACTAATTAAAATGGTCAAATCTTTTGAAAAAATTATCAGAAGTCTATGGAAAGTCTTCGAAAGCAATTTGTTTTGGTTTAGAAAGGGTAATGCTCATGTTGCTGCTTCGGAGAGAAACTGCCACTGTCCTTCAATCGCAAGGTGGGTAACTGCTGTTTAATGTGTTTTAATGAATCATAATCCCCGATAAAATTTTTGGCTCTTAAATAACTACTCTAAATGCGTGCATTCCCTTCCATTTCCTCCTTTTTTCATGCACTAAATTTTGTTAATCTTTTGAATCCATCTTACTTTGAGCAATTTTTGTTTCTTTGTTTGATTCCAGGATCAAAATACGAGCCCTCGCCACTCTATTGCCTCAAATAATAGCAGTAACCCGAGCACTCCTCCTAGCCCTGGTCGAGATTCTAGTTGCGATAGTTAGACATAGATTTGTTTAGTTTCTGAAATTCAATTCAAATAAACCAGTAAGTCATTTCAGAATGTCCATTTTTGCTTACATTTTTTTGTCTCCGTGTATTTAAGTTGTACATTTTTGACATTGAATTGATTTGTACTTAGACTTGAGCGATGTTAGAATTTTTTTTTCTTTTTCGACCTGTTTGTCGCGTACAGCGCAACTTAGTTTTTCACAGAGTCTTTTCTCCCACTTTTTCAGTCTCTCTCTATGAATTCTGAATTTGAGCCATGAGCAAGCTTCACTTACTTGTTGGCATGATCAGTCTGTTGCATCTTTCTTTGTAATTTTTTTATCGTACTGTGGCAGAAGATGAACTGAGCGATAGCTCCTTTTTTCCGCGTCTCTTAAGAGAAGCCAATATCAGAGAGCTACTCGGCTCTGCTCAGAGGAAACTTTCATAATTGGACTGAGTTAAGCAGAAAGGAACCAACCCACATTTTGGAAAAAATTGAGTTATGAGTGGTTTCAAACTCAACCACTGCTCTACTATCTATCGCCCAAAATTCAAAGTTTTTGTTGGAGCAACTTTTGCAGAAATTGAACTTGAAGTTTATCTTTTACATTGAGTCTTATGCAGGAGCCAAACTTTAAATCTCTTTTTCTCAGTTCGATCCCGATGTGGCTTGGTTCCTTTCTGTTTAACTCTGTCCAATTACTGTAACGATTCCAATCTCTCAAAATGTATCCTTATTCCCAAGTCTACAAATGGATCTGTTCTTAACTTTTCTCAGTTTTCTAATAGCTTCCCATACTCCTGGAATGATGACGAAGGCTGTTGCTGTTTTTTCAAGTCTCTCTTGTTAAAAAGATTAAATGATACTTTTCTTCTTTTGCCATGATTAATTGTACTTACTTTTTTCTCTCCTTCTATTCACAGAGTTTTTGCCATACAATGGAGGTTTCTTGTGGATTCCAAGAGTCATTTTTGGAGATTTACAGCTGGTTTGATCAAACTACGTGTCTCATCAACCGTTAGATTATAAGGGTTTATTTTTAATCCTACTTCAATCCTTAATTGTTAAACCTCAAGAGGTCCCCTGTCATCTGTTGTGATATGAATCGATTTTTTCAGTATGTTCTCCTTCAGAAATAGCCTCTGAACCAATTACATGCATGTAGTTTCTTTTTGAAGGAAAGTTTGCAACAATTGCAAATCCAGATGTACGATTTAAAGGTTTTCAAATAGTTAAAGTTAAAAATTACATTTTGAAGAAAAAACAATAGAGTTTGGTGGATTATGCAGAACAAAGATGCATTACCTCTCAGTTCTTTTTAATGAAGAATTTATTAATTTTACAGATTATTAAAACAATTAGATGCAAAACCTTTTAAATTAAATACAGTTTATATCAAGTTTTCTTTGCCCATAGGAATGGATAATCTCAGTTGCATAATTTTCCCAAAGGTATCTAAAGAGAACTGATATTTCTAGAGTGTGTCTGCAATCAATTATGTGTCCTTATATTTCAATTAATGGAAACATGAAAGCGTGATTTTCATCATTGTTAATAATGAGCACCCAAGTGCATTACTGAGTTAGAGCTCCAAGGCTGTAGCTTTTACTACATCCAATAATTTAGGGGAGAGGTGTGAACTTTTTTCCATGTCCAAAGCAGTGCACTTAAGGAGGCTCCAAGATAACACATTTTTATTTAGCCTGATTAATGAGGAGCCAGTGCAGCAGGCCCTTTAAGTATTTCATTCTTGGATCCATTCTTGGACTTTTAGTATAGAACCATCTTTGCAGATTGAATTGTTCTTCCATTTAATGTTGTATCCTAACACTGAATCTAATTGTGAAATAATTAGAAAATGAATCAAGTATTCTTAAAAGTTTTTATGTTCAACCATCGATTGTGCATAATATGTATGTTTTCAAGACCAAAGATTCTAGCGCTTAGTTAGGAGATGATTGTGCTCTTTTTTAGACTTTAAAATTGAAAGAATAAAATTTGATGAATTTTAATAAATTTATTACCATGTATAACCAAATCTATATTAGAAGTAAATGTCATGAAATGGCAGGAATTTATAATATTCTCACTTCTTACAGCAAAATTGTTCTGAACTTTGGATAATACGTAGCACTAATAGGCATTTTTCTCTCTTGTTCCCATTAAGTCCTGAAGAGAATTCAAATCCTGCGGTATTTATACTGTTTCTGTTATATTCAACTACTTTCCATTGTCGTAGAGGAGATTCAAAACATTGAATCAATATTTGAGGTTGACTAACAAGATAAGCTGCTTTTAATGCTTTGTACCGTGAAGTTGAAGTTTGTTGTCTCGCGAATGTCTCTTCTGGGGCCGAATTTTGTTGGCAAGTTTGCGATGCGCACTAAGTTGAGGCAAAAATGTTGACTTTGTTATTCGATTGCTGATTAATGGTTTGCACACTTGAGGAACGAAGGATTGTTCGATCCTGCTGTAGAAAAGTGCCTCACTTGCTTTTAGCTTGAATTTAGAACATAATTTTCCCGAATTTTAATAGATTTTAAAAGTTAGGTTCTGCAGCTTGCAGTCGATGTAGCCATCGAAATTCGAGCCCTCAATGGCAGCAAGAGAAATCTGTAGAAGAAGCTAATTACTTTATTTCAAGAGGTTTTCATTGTTTTTTAGACCATTAATTAAGTATTTAAACAATGCCAACCATGGAATGAATTACAAGAGAAGTAATGGAAATTTAAAATGATAGTTGCATGAAGAATTGTACACTTCGATTTATGTTGTATCCTGTCTTAATTCTAAAGAAGCAGTTTTACCATCATATCAAGAGGTCGTAATATACCATCTTTATTCCCTGCTTTTCTTTAGTTTTTAGGAAAAATCCTCTGTCCTATCACTTTTGTTTGTATTAATACTCCCTAGACCTTTTTTGAAGTTGTTAATTGATAAGTATGACAAACTATTTAACCCATTTCATTTCTTGATTTTTTCTTTCTTTCTTTTTAAAGAGAATTTAGAAAATAATTGGGCTCCATGTGTCCTCTTTAATGTTTAAAATGTTGTCAAAATGAAGACCTGCCATTCATGATCTGCAATTGAACCACCTATTTATCTTCAGAAATGTTTATGTTTACCCTTGTATTGAGGTATCGTTTTTTTAGTTAATCAATTCTATTTCAGTGCTCAGCACCAACGATGAAACTATGTCAAGTGGAATTCATTTCAAACAACTGCTGAAAGTGAGACATTTTCTTTTCTTCGTTGAAATTAAATGAACACTCCTTTCTGCAACTGATTGAGACGATGAACACTCTAATTCTATAGACTAATCCTTTTTTTCTATAATTTATTTTTATGTATACTAGTTAGAAGAATTTCTTTTCTTTTTATTAATCATGAGAAGCTCTCTCTCTTGTTTAAAGTTTTAGATATTCTTTATTGAATAAATGCGCATCATTTGTTCTATGTTTTTTTCTTTTTCTCTAGTTTTGCAAAAAAAGTGGTGAAAACTGAAAAAACTAATTAAAGTTTTTGGATGAAACTTGTTACTGATTAAATCATCCTGTAAAAACGCTTGTAGATAGAAGCTTTGTATATTGCTTCAATTTTTTTTTACAGTTTTTTTAAAAGAAAATCACCTACATAATTAGAACTGTCAAAAGCTCTATTGACCAAAAATTCACAACTTTGGTGTAAGTCTAAATTTCAATTATGTTTTAAAATTTTTAGGAACTGCCATTTTAAAATTTTTAGATTGCCATGATGACATGTGAAACCTGGATAAATCGTCAAAGAATCTCTCTACATGTGTGAGTCATCTTAAAGTCTTATCAAACCCCATTGTCTATGTTCTCTTCAAACATAAATAACGAATAGATTTTGTCAATGTTTCAAGAAGATACAGCAATCAGTGGAGCTGGTTTTTGTAAAATATAAAGGATCCGTCCTTTATACAAGGTTAAAAGTTTAATCCAGTATTTTCTTTTTTATCTCTCTATTGGTCAAAACTCTCTGTTAGATTTTGGTCGGTATTTGATGCCACCTCAATTAACATGTAGCCTGTGCAATTATGATTCATCAACTCTGTATGTTGTACTAAAGGGCTAAGAACTTGTATCAAATAAGTTGGCAGTTGTTTATTTTCCGTATGTGAGCGGCCGAACTGCCGTTGTCTAATAGCAATCAAGAATTGACCGTACGCACCGCTATATCAAGCGCAGCCTCTAGAATCGGTCTACTGCGCATAACGGTCAAAACTAAAGAACTGCCAACTTCTCTGACAGGAGATCTAGTCTTTTACTAAAACTAAAATGTGAAATAAATTTTACAGAGAAAATAAACTACTGACTTCAATCATGACTTTGAATTTTAATCGATTTGTATATATGTACTGTATTTTTTAATTGAATCATTTGATAAAATTGATAATTTTTTACTCCTGTTTTTATCCTTTTCAATTATTTCTGTCAGTAGACCTGTAAATTTTCTCAAGAAAATGTTTGCAATGCTTACACTGTGTTACTTTTCATCTACATAAATTTACCAAAGATCTTATTAAATATGTATTTATTCTTATCAACGCCAATGACCAACATCTCATGCATCCATTTGCAGTTATTTTTTACGCTAAAATGATTCTTAATTTTAGAATCTAATTTCAACAAATCATAAAAACTGTAACTGCTCTCATCTCCACTGTTTTTAGAAACCATGAAGTTTCAAACTTAATGAAATGCTCAACCTATTGTTAACAATTTTACAAATAATATATTTTCCTCCCATTGAATTTTCTTATACCACAAAAGTTTTTTAATTTTGTATTTTACTCTGCCGTCAAAAATTTATGGAACTCAAGAATTTTGAAGAGTTTGTTTTTAATTGAAATGTGGAATATTGTGAGTATCTTATATGTCAATTTTTCCAAATAAGACTTTTCTGTAACTTTTAATTTGGTGAGTTGTGACTTCTACACATCAGTAGGGAACATAGGAGAAAACCTTGTGGGAGCCCAGACTTTTTGAATTATCAGCCAGAACATAGCAATGGCCAAAGTGTGAAACCATGCATCTCCATCGCGGTGTTTCAAAATTTTAATTTTTCGGAAAAAAACATGCCAACTTCAGAGCTGGAAATTTATCCAGAATATTCCGCTAATAGATAAAGAGAATCAAAGAAGTTTTCAAGACATCATATTGACTAGTTTTCCAAAGAAAAAATGAAGTATGACAGGAAGTCTGTAGTATTGCAAACGAAGCTATGTGGTTTCGCTTTTTGGCCATTAACACACAATGTACGCCTATACTATAGTCAGTTTTAGACCTAATTTTATTCGAAAAAGATGATCATGCCACATCTCTTAAAATATATAATTTTTTGTCATTTTCAATATGATTTCAAAGGAGTCAATGCTGCAAACTTTTGATGATGAAAACTATTGTGAAAGCAATAAGACATGTCTCCCTATTTTAAACTGAACAGATTTTTAAAGAATTAGTGCAAATGTACCCAGGGTTCTATTTTAAAAGTAGAATATCCATCTGAAGACTGTTAGTAGTAGACAATAAACTTTGATTAGACTAACAAAAATCTTGGAAATTTTGCGATAAGCTCTTTCGGTTTTTGTCATAATCTCATTATTTATGTCGTGTATCAAGCTTTTTTGCTTACAATAGATTTTTGAAACCTTGAAAAAATGATTTTTAATTGTGTAGAAGGATATTGTTTTACGTTTTTCATTCAGCTCATTTGTATCCTCAGTTGGTGAAGTAATGAGTTTGATTGTAGTCAGAGGTGGTTGTATGCCTTGTTGAAATCAATGATTATGACACTTTTCTGCAGCTGTTACAAAGATTAGTAAATGATACATTGGTAGATGCAAATGTCTCCCCAGCTCAAATACCGATACTTTCTTGAAGAAAGCCCATAAAAGGAAGAAAATCGATTTAATTTAGATACTTAGACTATTTCTGAAAACTTTAGCAGTGTCTGAAACTTAATGATTGTATAACTGACTTCAAATACCATCAGATTGTTTGACAGAATAATCTTGGTTATTCTGCCATTCATGTTGCATAATGTGTACCCCTTGATCCTGATAAGCATTTAATATTCTATGCTGTACTCTTGTTACTCGCCTTTTTACTTTCCCACTTTTTTTCTCACATCGATAGTCATTACCTACTGTAGTCTATTTAATAGTCGTTTTTTTCTTTTCCTTGATTTTAATATTCACTATCTATGTTTCCTCTTTTTTAATTTTTTATTTCTGTTTTCACCTTTATGAAGATTGACAATATAGTTAAATATATATGATACTCTTCCTAGATGGCCTTTGTTTGTATTTATTTATTGATACTCTCCTTCCAATTCAGCCAACTATCTTCCAATTTCGGTTTTGTTCTTGTAACAAAACGAGCTAGAAGGATTTTCTACAGTCCCTTCCATGAAAACAAAACTCATTGAAAAATAAGTATTAATATAATATTTACAGAGCATTTACAAAAATGCCAAGTGTTTTTGGGCACCTATGAATTCGCATGCGTTCCTCCGATGAGCCGAAGAATGCCACGCCCAATCAGTGAGTGCAAAAACACCGTATGACCAGAAGCAGTTGCGCTCATTACTATGGCTTTTGGATTCTATCTATTTTATGTTTTACTTATTGATGTAACATCTAAAAAAAAGGCCTTTCATATGACATTTTGATACCTAGGTAGGTAATACATATTTTAAACCCATTTTCAGCTATTTAATATTCCCCTATAATAGCTATTTGAATAGGTATGCATCATATTATGGCTAGCTAGGGATGGCACCTATACAAAATTCAATTTTAAAAATATAAGATTATTCAGTTTTGCCAGAGGCAGATTTGGAAAAACGTTTGGATGCTGTGTTATAATTTTGAGAGAATTTCCTCAATTTTTCGCCCAGTGAAGTATCCAGTTTTTGGAGTGTCAATGCATTATGAATAATTAGGTAAGATCATGTAGGATACATTGAATCAAATATGATGCAAACTAAGCTGTTAGAAAACCCTATACTAGCATCGGCTGTTAAAATTTGTTTTAAAAAACTTTTAAAAGAATTGTTAAAATTTATGAAGAAGGAAACCCTTTTTGAGATTTTTTTTACGTAAATTCAACAAAAGGCAAAATTTAGGCATATAGTAAGTATTAAAGAACTCTTTAAAAAACGTGATTTTTTAAAACAATTTTTTAAAGTAAAAATTATGTTAAAAAAGCGTTATAAAAACAGCACATCACATTCAACAGTTTTTTAAACTATAATTGTACCTACTCAAATTTGGCCTCTGGTAAATTTTAAGTTGAAAAAAATTCCTGAAAAGTTTTTCTCCTTTGTTAATTTTAGGTTTTATCGAGAGTTTTTTTTTTAAACAAATTCACACGGTTTTGAAGAGATTTTTACCTACAACCCTGGCTATTAGGGAAGTGATAGGTGCTAGAGTATAGGTGCCAGGTAGGGAGGAGGGAGATAGGGGGCAAAATGTTAAAATCGAGAATCACTGTCAAGTGTCAATTGGCGTTTCTCGGCCTCTTGAATGCATCCCCATAGTTGAAATGTTGTGAAATTGCACGCAGATAAATTTCATGAAATTTTCCACCTCTGTCCGTAAACTGGAGTGTGTTCATTTCATTGTACGTCAGGTTGCCTATATCCGAGTGAGCTGAATTGAAGAATCCTATTGGCTGGCAGATAATACAGACTACAACTCTGGGCAACGATCATTGGTTGTCGCTATACACGTCGTAGTAGTTATTCTTGCCTCTAGTTTGTTTAGGTGCAATGTGGCGAGATTAGAGTGTATATATCTATTCTTTCCCGGTTATCTGTTATCAGCATCAGCGGAATGTTTACGTGTAGTTCTCTTCTTTAAACGCGTATGTAGTGTAGAGAAGTATTTTTTAAGCTGAAAATGATGATTCGTTTTACTCGCCACAGAGCTCAGAGCCTCAATACAGAATTGTGATAAATTTTAAAGTCTCCTGGATCGACCAGTCTGCTTGTCTGTAACCAAGCGGCAACATTTTTAACATTGTCCGGACTCTTCGATAAAATAGTTTTTATTTATCATGAATTTTTGGTAATTTAAGCTCATTGACGTATAATACAATCTAGACCGCGCATTGGGCCCGACTTTAGGCGGGGAAGGTAAGACAGCTAGGAGGGTAAAGACGCGCCTTCAGCCTAGTTGATACCGCCGGATATACGAGCTAAGTGTACCCGTATCAGGCAACGGCACTGGCAAGACTGGCATTTCCACGAATTCCACCATTGTCTCGCCGGTACACTTGCTGTGTGTTGCTGGGTTGCCTATCGTCTCGCTTGAATTTCGTAATGCGCGGTCTAGATTGTATTATACGTCAATGTTTAAGCTACGAAATACCTCGTACTTTCTTGCCGGAATGATAACTTCGAAGTATCTTTTACTGATCATCTTCTATCTTCATTGTGTAAGGTGCTCTTTAAAACCCGAAACCAAACATGATGACATTCTCCCACCATGCAGTAGTTGCAAAGTATTGGTTGAATCTTTCATGAAGGTAATTTTTTAACAATAGTATCTTTTGTCAATCTTTTCATCCACACTTGGTTCCTGATGATGTATCTTATATCCTAATAATTTAAATTGTAAATTGATGATTTTAACAACATTTTGACGCGGAACATTTAACTTGGCAATTATAAAAGCTTTGACCGGGTGAGCATTTTTTTTGGCTTGTTTTAGCCTACAGCATGTGTGTCGGTAACACGATGCTACTTTACTAGCAGGCCCATTATTAAAATTTGGTGTTAATCGGGCAGACACAGATGACTAAGGTGAAATGGCCTAGTGTAATCAGTGAGCTATGTCTCATTGCTGTTTCATCCTGCCCATGTCGGGTAGAATTGATATCATTCTATTGGGAAATAAAGAGGCGTCTGTAGCTCATCATTGATTCTCTTCAACGCAGGTACAACAAAGTAGCAATGAGACATATCTGACCATTTACACTACGCCAAACCATCTTTGTCATGTATGTCTGCCCGACAAACACAAAAACTCAATAATCGACCTGCTGATGAGATTGAACTAAAGATGTCCTCAGGACAATAGACGTTTTTCGTTGTGCTCTGATGCTGGATTCTGTTGGTAATTTAATTGATTTCTGTTTGTTGCATATATTTCAGGCTATTTTCCAAACAATGCAATTAACTTTACAACTTTCCTCAATATTTTCAGGGAGTTAAGAGGACCTCTCGCGAAAATTTTGCTGGTGGTGATGCAGCTTGGGAAGAAGAAAAACTTGGCACCTATGCAACTAGTGAGGTTCGGCTGATAGAGATTCAGGAAAAATTGTGCTCCGAAGTCGGAAGAGGAAAAGACCAGGTGTGTCTTCGTAACATATTAATTACAAATTTTTCTTCTCAGGGTCAGGGACTGAATTTTAACGTTAGTTTTGCTCTGAAATACAGCATCCATTTTTCAATCAAAACTATACAAATGGCCAATCAAAAGGGCGAAGGCAGACTTTAATATGGCTGTGACCCGCCCCAAGTTTATGTTTAGGTAAGTCTGCCGGTTTCAACAAAATTTTGTCCCAGGCTTGGAGGCTGTCCCCTTCAAAAATCATGAACTACTGACCATTCAGGGTGCTTTACGCGTCCTCATATCTACCTAAGTTCTTTGCTCCCTGGACTAAGGGTCCCTTGCTCCACAAGTGACATTCAGCTAGCTGTATGAGCCAACTTTGTCTGTGGTATTCGTTATCATTTGACATCACGAAAAACTGATACAATGATAACCTTAAGCAGTTGAGACACACAAAAAGTATGCCATCATCTGCTCATAAATAAAATTTATGGGCAAGAGTAGAACTGGAAGGGATTAGCCAATAGACTATTTGGAAAAAAAAAGAAAAAGAAAAAATTTATGGGCAAGAGTAGAACTGAACGGGATTAACCAATAGGCTATTTGGAAAAAAAAAAAAACATTATGCAAGGTTTGACTCTGGAAAAAACGTTGTACTCCTGTGATAGTGGAATCGGAGGAGATAAGATCCAGCTAGGTGAATTTGTAGTGTTTCCTGTGGGTAATTTAATGGCTTTTTTTCTTTTTGATATCAGTGTCTGACTCTAAGTGAAACACATGAAGCACTTCTGGAAGACTGGTGGTTCAATGAACAGAAAGTTAGCCCTGATTTAAAGCAGTGGCTGTGCGTGGACCTTCTCAAAGTTTGCTGCCCCGCCGGTCATTTTGGTGCTGATTGTCAACCCTGTCCTGGTTTCCCCAAAGTTTGTTTTGGAAACGGAAAATGCAAGGTACGAATCAACATGTTGTATAGCTCATGAGTTATCAAGTTGACATTTTTTCAAGGTATTTTAAGTTTGATGCCGGCCACCTGCATTTAAAGATGCCAAAGTAAACAATGCTCTGCAATAGCTTCTTTCCCTCAGGTTTTCAATGGGTCAATTGCGCTGGTCACAGAATTGTGTTTTAATGCTTGATTCTTGTAGATCAACAAAAATAACAAGATCCTTCCAGACAGCAATTTTGTACGTTCAATATTAACCCTTTTCAAGTGCGATATCACCCTTTGAAAAGTCGGATTTTTGACGTTAGTTTCATCCGAGTTTCAAGTCGAGTAACTGATGCAAGTGTGTGTTTGACTGATGAAAGCAAAGTGGAAGAAACCAAGTGTGTCACTACCGTGGTGGATAATATCGAAAACCCGATTTTTCAAAGGATGATATCTCTGTTAATATTGAATGTAAAGAATTGCTGTTTGGGCGGATCTTATTATTATTAGCTAATCTACAAGAGTCATACATCAAAACACGATTCTGTAACCAATGCATTTGACTCATTTTGCTATAAGAAACAACTTTGACCTAAGTCAGCTAAGCTCTAGGCTACCAAAAAAAAATATGTCAGAAAATTTTGGTTAAAACTTAAAAGCCCAAGACCAGTTTTAATGCATATTGAGATCAGAGAAATAACCTTTTAGGAGAAGAATTATAGAGACTAAAATGTGGTGGTACGTATCTTCTTTCTTTCTTGTAGGTTTTAAGTACGTAGATGTTGCCAAACAAGTACTATCCTTCAAGAAGGTTTCAAGAATGTTGGGAATGTACCGCTTCTCTAAGAAGTGGGAAACTCTTTTTCTTCAATAGACAGCACTTTATAAAGAATCATTTTTTTTAACAGTCTTCGTTCCCATAACAAATCCCAATCAATCGCAATATAAAATACTTTTAATTTTACAGATGACTGATAAACCATTTAAAAAAAAAAATTGAAAATATGTTTTTGCTCATCCAAATTCATTGATGTTTCAATTTGTGAAAAAATGAATCAGAATGTCCAGAACAACTTAAGAACATTCAAAGTTATGAGAATATATGATGACATACAATGATTATTTTCCAGGGTGACGGGACAAGGAAAGGTAACGGAGCTTGCATTTGTGATGCTGGATACACAGGGGAATATTGTGATGCATGTGGTCCTGGCTACTATCAGTCATACAAAGATGATGATAAACTCCTTTGTTCTAAATGTCATCCAGCATGTAGTGGAAACTGCACAGAAGCAGGAACCAAAGGTGAGACTCCTTTTTCAAAATCTGTTCTTGTACAACCTCCTAAAGCATGGAGCTCGCCTCAACCCCGTGTGAGGATTACGGGTGGCCCGATGTCCCTCCTTCATTTGCTTACAGCTGCCAGGGGGTAAGATTGGCGCCTTTTTTCTGATACATGCAGACAGTAGTTTCCAGAACTCTGTGTTCTCCTTGCTTTCAAAGCAAAAAACGAAAAAAACAAGCTTCCAAAAGGTGTTAAGAACAGTGGCAAGGCAAGAGGCCACTTGCACTTGTTAAATTTTTGCTATGCATAGTTCTCCAAAGGTTTTAAAATAAATCATAGTAAACTGAATAATGACGTCCAGCACCAATCACAAGCAAGCATGGGTTTCTTTGATTTCCTTCAAATGTCTACCTACGGAACTCCTCATATATGAAAAAAATATAAAAGTCGAAACTATATCTTCAGAATCAAAGAATTGAATCTCATACATGTTATCTGTAGCCAGTAAAAGGCAATTCTACAATTAAATAAAATTTATTTCAACAAACATTAGTGGAAAATGAGAGATAGCAATCTGGCTGCCGCAGTACATCATTTTTCCGCCCTTGCGGTGCGTTTGAAATTCCTTTGAGTCTTTGGACATTTTAAAAATGGGCTTGTTCCAGATTTTGGCTCCATAAATACGCAATGAATCACCATGTAATCTACTCTTTTGTCACTTTCAGAAAATTAAATAAGAAGCACAAGGTTTAGAGACCCATTTTTTTAGTCTATGATTTCAAGTGCTCCTTTGCAAATCATGATTATGTAAGGGACCCAGTCAAGTACTTTGGATTTTGCTTTATTCCTTCCTTTCTAGTTTTAGTAGTCAGTGGTAAATAATTAGTACATGCATTTTTCCTTAAAATCTGCTCGGATATAAACATTCAAATGTAGATGAATATTTACATGCATTCTCTCTGGTAGCAAAAGGAGGTAAGATTTAATTTTTCTATCTTTGCAGGCTGTGAAGCTTGTAATGAGGGCTGGGCCATGACAGCAGAAAATGGATGTGTGGATGTCAATGAATGTGTTCTGCCAGATGTCTGTAAACACAATCAATTTTGTGTCAACGAAGAAGGCAACTACTCTTGTATTGGTGAGCAGATTTGTTTAATGATTAATCTTTTTTTTTTTTTGTCCACTTAAATAATTCCGACCTTCAATTCAATATTGTAGTTAGCAAACGCACCAGAAAGATGGTGCTGTCTTGTTAGTTGAAAATTCCAGTGGTATCATGCGGTCGAAATCTCCTGGAATTTGACAACAGCCATGCAACACCGATTTGAGCCGCCATATAGGGCATATCAAAGCCTCAACTCAGATACATTGACTCATGATAGATTAAACTGCAATGTAAATGAGGGCTTCTTAGAAGACTCTTTACCTTAGAATCATTTTAAGTGACTAATCAATATTTTAGTCTCGGCCTGTATTCATAGTTGATCAGCGACTTCCATGTCATTTATGCTCTGGAAGAGTTATGACAGAGATTTTTGTAGCTGACTTGCCACCATTAAATGACCTGAACACCATCATATCTTGTCTGAAACCTTAACTACAGCGGCACTTTATACAGACAATCACAATATGATCCATGTGCCACACTGCCATTCAAATCCTCTAAATGTTTATCTCTGGTTTCCTTGAAAAAGTATTTCTTGACTCGTGTCAATTTCTGGAATCTACTATTTGGCTTTTGATAATTTTTGGATTGACTATGTTGACTAAAAATACAACAAAAGAAGTCTTATATTCCAGTGCTAATAAATTCACCATCTCTCTCTCGCCGGATAGAATGTTGAAAACCAAACCCAGGAAGTTATGATATCGATTTACAACACCGGTCTACCGTCACAGTTCACTTTTCAACTAAAAAAGAAATCTCTCATTTCTTTAAAGTTTCTGCAATTTTTATCAGTAGATTTTGTGAAAATGTCATTAAAGTATTCAGATCGTTTACTCTTCCTAAAATTAGATAGGAATATAAATTTTGAAACACCAAAATTGAGATTCTACATTGTCCCAAAGTATATTCATCAATGTGTTTCATTTCGTGCTTGTATATTAGATGATATAGAAGGGTGGTGGATTGGACAGATTCAACCCAAATCAGCTTAATTAAATTGGACTACATTTTACAATTCGCAACTATAATTCCTGGCCTGTTTGTAAAAACACTTGTGTGCATAGGGAAACTAAGGATACAAGCGTTATTTCTAAACAGAGCCAGAAATTGCAGTTCCTAATCGCGAAATGAAGCCCAACTAGACATTGCCTAATTTTCTCTGATGTTTTAGTTTTTAAACCGAAAACCAAGCGACACTGAAACTTAATATTTTGTGAGGTTATTTTTCATAATTTAGCGTTAATTCATAGGAAGGCTAAAGGCGATGAGTTATGTATTACTCTATCAAAAAAGTCAAACATGAAAAAAAATTAAGCAATGTCAGATGCAAACAGCCTAATTCCATCCAAATACAGTTGATCTTAACCAGTTTGCTCTGATAATTCAATAATCCATCTCTTTCTCAGAATGTGATGCAGCGTGTTCTGGCTGCTATGGCGATGGGCCAGATATGTGCATCAAATGCGCCCCTGGCTATTTTCTGCAAGATAATTTCTGCGTTGGTAAGTGCTTAACATTTTTTTGTATCTTCTCTAAAACTTTCCCCGTCTATGTCTGAGATGAAAGAGTAACCGTGAGCAGCTCAATCACTATGTCATAAACACTAATTATTCTATTGTCTTATTATTAGCCTTTTTATTTACATATTTGTTTAGATTGTGTCGTTATTTCTTGCTGCATTTATGTGACTGTAAATAAGCTATTTTGTCATGTGTAGTAAACGTTCCATGTTCTAATAATGTTTAATTGATGGAAATAGAATTTCTCTTTCTTGAAAATAACCATTCAGATAAGTTTGATCATTTCTAATAAATGGAGCTCTTTTATGCCTCGGAGTTTTGCAATTTAGCTACTTTTTTCTTTGTTAACTTTTGCGAGAAATATGATGTTGCCATTGGTTTCCTCTGAAACAAACTCCCTAGCTCAACAGAACCTCTCAAAGTCAAGGTCGAAGAGAGGAAATTATCTACCCTTTGCTGGGAGTGCAACTCTATATACAGTCAAACTTTTCATGCATCAATAGGGAGCAAAGTAGCAGGGTTGTCTTCTTGTGTGGGGATCCCAAAGTTGCAGCCACAGCAACCTTGCTAATGTATTCCACTCCTTGTCTGTGCATGAGAGTTTGACTGAATATACAGGTGGACCCTCAGTAGTGTTCCAGGTTTTTACAGGACTGAAGCCTAGATAAAGAAAATGATTAATAGATTATACTCCTCTCTCCATCACCCAGCTCTTGATTCTAAGTGAAGTAGAGTTTTAATATTAATTTGAAACATGATTATACTAGCATACGTTTTTGTGAGAATGCATGCATGTATACCGCAGTTGTGGAAATCTTAAGATAGGGAAAACCTTTTCCCCATACACTTGAAGTCTGTAGGGTGTCTTAACGGTTTGGGAATTTCTGCACGCTCGGGAACACTGATTGCTCTCAGCATAAGGTAGGCAATCTCCTATATTATGGCATTATGGCCATAATGGCAGCTTTTTTTAGCTTAGGAGTTCGTTCCAGAGAAAACCAGGAGCACCATTAACGCATTGGGTCTCTCATGAAATTTTACGTGAGAAGAAGTACTTAAATGGCAAATCTCTTAGGCATGCAAGAGCTTCATTTCACCCCTTCATTTAGTGTGGATGAAGGAAATTTCTATTAGCATCGATCATGTATGTCTATTTCATTTTCTCAAGATTGGGAGCAACTCAATTATTGTCTGCTGCGTGACGAAAGTTAAGAGAATCAGTAGAGAGCATGTACATACTTGATTGGATCCTGTGAATTAGTTGTCACAGAATTGTGTTTTGAAAGTTGGTTCTTATGGATTAGCCAAAAATAATTGGATCTGTTAAACTGTCAAGTTTTATATATCATTCAATGCAATGAATTGACACTTTGATCGATAGTATTATTTTTCATAGCCTGTAAGTTTCAATCATCAACACAATATTCCGTGACTGACGCCATTAATGCACGCATTAGTTGTAACAAATGAATTAATTTTTAAAATTATTTCCATTTAATTTTCTTAATTTTTTTCTGGCAACTTATTTGTCAATATAAAAATCTTATGATTTTTACACTAACTTTCTAATCACCTTCTCTTTTCTTCTTTTTTCTGCTTGGTTTTTTTTTCTTGATCTTTTTTTTGGGCACGTTGGCAATTTTTTTAAACTTCCTTTGGCTATTTTTGATAGTTCAAATTTTTGTTCGTTTAGTAGAAGATTTCTTTGATGGATCGTCTAACCATTTGTGTCATCTGAGCGATTACTGGTCATTTCTGCGGCATGATTCCTATTGTCCCAAACTCTGAACTAGATCAGTATTTTGCTTGGACCGTAGATCTTTTAATTCTGTGTGAGGTATTTGGTCCTTTTATTTTCTCATATTTAATTTTTTTTATTTTTCATTTTAATTTCTTTACATATTTGTGTATTTTCTTTTATTGCTTGTTTTTAATCATGGCACTAACTCCTCCTCTTCCATACTTGGGTTTTTAAACTTATCTAACTTTCCTTCTGACTACGCCCTCGTGTCCCCTTCTTTCATTCACCCCCTCTTTTTTTTAAACAAAATTTCCTTTCAACTTATTAGCTGTGAGTTTGTAAATATCTGCCACATGAAATTTTTTTATGTTTAATATTTATTTGTCGATGATTTTTAATGAGGATATTCTGAATCTTTTGCTAAATGTCTTTATTTTTTCGAAAATTTACTCTCCATTTTTTTTCTCATAATTAGACCAGATGGGTCTGTAGACAAGGTATGCATCATAGCACTATGCAACAGGTTTTCTCTTTAAAACACCAGGAAAACAATTCATGCAGCAAACTGGGAAAAAGTCTGGAAATCAACTCCTAAAGAAGGTATACAAGTTTACAATTAACATTGGTTAAAAGTCAAAAATACAAATGACGCCATCCTTATAATGTAACTTTTTTTTGATCTTTGTTAAAAATACCTTTTAATATCTTCTGAAGGAGTTGATCTCTGAACCTCTGGTTGTGTGAATCGTTTTCTGCGCAAGGATTTGAAGGGAGAACATGTGACGTTTTTACCCAGCTCAGACCTTGTCAGTGACAAGTAAAAGTCCATTGAGTAAAAGAATTTCATCTTTAAATTTTAGCCATTGCAGGTACAATCATTGGGCTCCTGTAGGTTAAATTGCTATATTATTCTTCTTCAAAGGAATTCAATCGCAAATGAAATTTTCTTACTGTCAGCAATTAATATTTAAAATATTGTGTGTATGATATCATTTGCGTTCATTGAGTATCGTTGAATCTACCAAATATTATCTTTTACATATATAATGGTTTTTCCACTTCTTTTTTTTCAGTGATGACTGCGAGGCAGTGGGCACAAACATCAACCCTGACAAGGTATCTGACTTATTTTGGTCTTTGCGTTGCAACATGCATTATTTTTCAGAAAAACGTCATAGTTGCAAGTGTGATCGGCCTGGCAGTAGCAGTTTACGTTTCCGTCTCTGAGTACATGCTCAGTTCAATCAATAATGAGCCCCAAATGTTGAGTGGGCTGGACTTCAATAAACTCTTTGCCAAAACGTGATATTAGATAATTTTATTCGCCAGGTTGTTTTGCGAAAGATTGCTGGTGTCCATCTCATTATCTCATTATTTCAGTTATTCCAAGTGAATATGGTTCCTCTAAAGACCATTAGAGAAAGGAAGATAAGTGCGCCTTTCTCATCTGTAAAATTTTTTTTCCATCTTTACCGTTCTTATTCGTTCACAAAAAACTACCCTCTTTTGAATAATTTTCATCCCTGCCCTTTGAAACTAGCTTGCTATACACTGATTGCATATGTGTAAGCAAGAGGAAAACAAGAATGCTTAATTTGAAATTAATCAGAAAAAGTGGCTACAAATGGTACAGCAAAGCATGCAAAATGCAGGTGAAAAAAAAGTGCAAAGGAAAAAATGTTTACTATTGTTAAGTGTTGATCTTTTCATGTGCTTCCTATTAATATAAATTCTCTCATGTTGTCCTAAAGAAAAATGATACATGCAGATGAGGACTGTGTGAGCACTCAAACTTTCAAGGCAAGAGGAGTCATTCCTGCCAATTTTCTCGGCTAGAGGATTTAAGCGGTTACATTTTTACACCCTAAATGTACATTTTGGCCAAGGTACACTCTACTATAGGTATGGACAAACGGGGTGCTGAAGTGGCAGCGCTGAGAATCTAGGTCATTGAAAGACGTCGCAAGTCGCACCGTCTTTGCTGCGCAGTTCAAAATGAGGTTTTGACAGATCTGGTAGCTTCAATAAGCTACCAGATGAATTAAAAAAATTGATAAAACTCAAAATAACGAAAAACTTAACTGAGAACACGAAATTGACGAGACCCACTCTCAGAACAGAAAATAAACAAGTTTTCAATGTGGCATCGCAGTGTCAAATCTACGCATTTCGACGACTTTCTAAAATTCCATTTGTCCATACCTGTAGTAGAGTGTACCTTGCATTTTGGCTGTGTGCCAAGTTAGAATGCCATGATTTAGTCTTTTATGGAGTTAGGCATTGTAATTTCAAAATCGCAAATTTTCTGCTCTTAGTTTAAAGCAAGCAGAAACTTCAATTGGTCTCTGAAAAATAATGCATCATTTTCATTTTCATTTTCTGTGAGTTGGTTTGAAGTGAATTTTGACTATATTCTGTGATATGCAGTTGGAACCACTTTGTGACGTGACTCAGCAAAGATTGGATTGTGTATTTTGAAATTGGTGATTGTTGTCTCTTTATACATTTTGAGATTTCTTTCCATGTTTAATGAGAGCTCATTTTAGGTATTAAAACAATTTTTTCTATCTGTGAAAGGGATGGTCAATCTTTCGTAAAACGATCTATACTTAACCTGTTTTTATATTCTGCTTAATTTGTAAAAGTTTGGTTTTTACTTTCCTGGATCAAATTTTTATTATCATGTAATTGTATTCTCAGTCATTAGAGTAGATGTTTGAAAACATATCCTCCTTAACTCATAATAAAAAATAAGCCGAGTAATTAAGTGGCAACAGAGCTTTAACATTTTACCTGACAGTGATGTTTTGGGATTGTTGATAAATTAAGAACTTTCTCCCTACTGAAAAAGCTTGTCTCGTTAAAAATTTGCAATCTTAATTGAAAAAATTTGGTTTACTTTTCTCTGATAGGAGAACAGGCTTGAAAAACTAAGTAAGCGTTTTAAACAATTCTTTCTCCAAATGGATTAGATTTCTATCAGACAGGGGTGAGTCCATAAATTCATAAGCCCTAGCATCCTGCATGATCAACAAAAGCCAGGGCTCATGATTTTTGGACTTGCGCCTGTCTAACAGAAACCGATTTAATTGTAGGGCTGTATTTTTAAAATTTGAAGATAGAATGTCTCCTCCAAACAGCAGTATGTACATTTTTTTCAAGTATTACTGTTAGATCAATTTGTTGCTCTTGGGTCAAGAATAGTACAACTTGTATTAAAATCACATTTATTAAAGAGTTCATAATGGCCTAGAACTGTTGCTAATTGCACCAGTGCTTTCAAGCACTCTAACGTAACTCATGTAAATTATTAAGTAATTTTGTTAAAAAGGTAACACATAAATATTCAAATTCACCTCACCTAATCGTTCAGGTTTAAAGTAGGTTGTCAGTATATTTCATTACGAAGAAACCAAGTGATTTTCAAAAGTTTGATTTTCAAAATTGAAATGATACATTAAAACTTGACACATGTAGTCTTTTAAAAGCCTGTGGACACTGACCCCCATCGAAACTTTATCGTAATCATGCCTAAAAATTTTCGGATTGTGATTGAATTAAAAAGAACTACGTAAAATGGAACGTACTGTGATGATGCATTTTTTTTGCATTTTTTAAAAAATTGAGAATTTGTCATATTATTCAATTTTCGGGTGCACGGATTCAGAAGATTAATATTTCTCAAGTATTCGACTTTTCGATGGCGCCATTTATCATGAGTTTAATATCTGTAAAAATAAGACCCTGTCAGAAAAATTAGAACTTTAATTTAGGCTCTACATTTTTTTAAAAATATTTTTGAGCGTGCCACTTAAAAGTCCTGCAGTTTCCTGCCAACTATGCTCAGTAAAAGTATAAGAAGTAATAATCTCAGGGATCAGTTTTTTCAGATCCTTCTCCTTTTTACCCCTGAGAAGTATCTAGTCCATCCAGTTTATGCTTTTATTTGTCGTTTAAAAATAAAATTGTCACGTGTAATTTTGCAGCATTTTGTATTTTGTATCATATTGATAAAGTATCAGATTAGATGTAAAAATAATTTTGAACTGAAAATAGCAGCAACATTTTTCCTGAACTATATTCTTCCAAGCCTTTCTCTCTTATTTCTGTGTTTTGTGAACTTTGAAGACTTGAGCACAAGTATGCAACAATATATTTCATAGGGAAGTAGGTTTCGAATTTGACTTCTCCGTAGGATAATAGGAATGAGCTTGCTTCCAGCTTTTGCTAGTTTTCCCTGTAAAAATGTATTGTGATTTTGTTATGTTACACTTTTAATTCTTCTTGTAAGTCTCTAAAGATATAAGTTACAGTCTTGTGCACAGTGAACAGTATTTTTACATCCTAAAGATAAACTTCTCCCTCTGTGTACCCAATATACGGTATTCAGTAGCTGTGACAGGTTTGTCCCTTTAACCAAACGACATTGTATTAAGTAGCGCTGTCCTCAAGTTCTCAACAATTATGATTTCATTAACTAATCTCCTCATATAATTGATTGATTTGAAAATGGGAGCTAACAGTATGTTTGAAAGAAGTTTTTTCCATGGCAACGAATCGCATTTTGATTCCATCAGTCTGATTGCGGTCATTCTTTATTTATCGATGTTCATGGTTAAAGAGACATGACTTATTTCAGTTTAATGTGGCTCAGTTTATGTAATTCAAGGTGAATGACACTTCCTGATTCGTTTTGGATAATCTCACTTTCATCATTCTGTCAAGCACAATGGTAGAAACTAGTGCAGGATTCAAACTTTTCTCTAAAAAATGCTCTGATCGGAACATTTTCCCCTATTGTACTTTGTTCGATAAGTGCTATCAATACCATCATTTACCATTGAACTGATTTATTTTTTTATCAGCAGACCACCAGTGAAGCTAAACTAAAAAATGGCTAAATATTGCACTGAACTACTCCCTTAAAATGAAAGGGAGAAAATGACCACCCTTTAATACATTTTCTATCAACTTTCCCACTATCTCAAGGACTTTTTTACAAGGCGTATTCAGAATTCATACTTGTTATACAGCTCCCTCATTTCTTTTTCTGTATCTCACATGCAGCGTAAATTACACCTTTCTCAATAATTGTTCAATAATTTGTTCTATGTGGTAATTTCATAAGTCTTGATTTGGTTGTCAAACACACAGTTTGTCCTCGGTGGTTTATATTTAAATGTCTTCCTTCTTTTGAGGTACAAATTTCAAATCAAATAGGTTAAAAACCCTTATCATTAATTTTTGGTTCTGATCGATGCATCGGTCCCCAAATAGCTGTGATTGTGATAAATAGCAATTTTATCGGTTGGTTACTGCGATTATATCGGTGGCACTTTATCGTGATATTATCAAATTAAAAATTTCGATAAATGGCTAATAAATCGCTATACATTGCAGTTTTTGGTTTGACAAAATTGCCATCAATTTTCGTCGATAAAATTAAGATTAAATCGCCATTTACCGCGATTTTTATTTCGATAATATCGAGATAATTGCCAGACGATAAAATCGCGACAAGATAGAGCATAATCGCTCAGATGTTGATGATCCTGGCACTTTTATCGCCGATAAAATCGCAGAAAATCGCGATTTTTCTATTGAAAAATGCAACTTGGGTCGTTGCTTGGGTCAGCAGATACCTCACGGTACTTTGTGATGTCTAAAACCTTGCCGTCACAACTTCGAGGGAAGTGATACAAAATTTGCAATAACCGAATGTAAGTACTTTAGGTTAATTAATTATGAGAAGTGCAGCCAACCAGTTGTTTGTATTTTAAAATAAAGTTTTAATCTTTTTTTATTAAATTTAATTTGTCAGATGCAACTTTTTTTGGGAGTGGGAGGCGGGGAAGAAATGTGACATATTTGTGTAACTTATTTTGAGGATTTTCAGGCCACTTTGTTTACTTTTTGTTTAATTAGATTTTAAGTGCATGGTTAAAATATTTCATTCATTTTAAGATGTGCTTAAGAAGAACTACCACCAAAAGATAAATAGAGAGACCTTAATGATGGAACTTAAGGATACTCTTCATGAAAATCCTTATCAATCATCATTATTTTAGAACACTATAGTCAGAGAAAATATCAACAGTGAAACTGCAAACATAAGTATTTTGATTGCAGCCCTTTAAAATCTTTCGCAGTATTATTTTTAAAAGGTGACCAAACTATAAACATGACTTGAAATTTTCATAGATTATTCTTCACATAGAGAAGAAAAATCATATGTAGACAATAGGTGTGTTTATGTAGAAAATGAGGTATGGCAGGAAGTCTGCAACGCTGCGAATCGAGATACTCATCTCTGTAGTTTCAACATCGATATGTTTCAGAGATCTTGCTTTACTAAATCAAGCCATATAATTGGGTGAGGCCTAACTTACTTTCAGATATTTTCACTCAAATTTAGGGGCTCGGAAGACAAGGCACATAAGTGCAATTTTTGCTATTTTGAGAAAAATGTGTTTAAAGTTTCTAAATTATATGAAGCCTTCAGGTGGAAAGAAAGTTCGAGCCCACACATATTTAAAAATTGTATTTTCCCAGTGAATTTTTCACAGAATCTATTTCTAACCTGGATTTAGTTAAAATCACTAATATTTTAATTTTTCTGAAAACTGCTCTTATGCGCCTTGTCCTCCCAGCCCCTCAACTCATCTTTTGATGAATGACTAATTGAGAATTTTCTTGGCCTGATGATGACCAATGAATGGGTTGAGCTTTTTACACGGCAGATTTGTCAAACTGATTTGTCAAACCAGGTCTGGTTTGTGTGATTGATTACTCAATATGCTAATTGCTACTCATCAATCATTTATAGGCAGAATGATGTTAATCCATAATTATAACTTTGAAACCATGAGGAAATAAGTAATGGAAAGCCTATAAAGATGGATCTGACTATAATGGGGTTTTAATAAAATTGTTACCATCTTGAATTTCTAAGTAATATGGAATAAATATGGATGTATTTCTGCCAAACGGAACTATGTACATTAAGACATGAGCCCTGAGACCCATAAAAATATATGCATAACAGGGCTTGCGTTATAATGCACATAGTTCTGTTTGGCAGAAATACATCCATATGCTCTTCCACCATGATCTATTTTTCAGTTACCAACAGGTAGTTCTTCATTAAATTGTTAATTGTTTTTTTTTTGTACTTTTTTTTTTGTATGTAGTTCATAAGTTGAATAAATTTTTGGTTACAATCCCTGAATAAAACGTGAAATTTCTTGTTATTTGTTGTTCCGAAGATGGATCATAAAGTTACACTGTTTTGTCTGAAATGTTTAAAGAAAAATACAACTTTAAAAGATAACGTTCAATCTTGGAAGGACTGTAGCTACAAGGAGGGGGGGGGAGGAGAGATCAAAAGCATTTACTGCAAATTAGAATCCACTTTATTCTGCTTTATTAATGAAGAATTTTAAAATAAGCTCTGCTGCTATAACCTCCAAACTACTTGATCTTGTCATGATTTCAACTAGCAGACCGCTACAGTACATCATATTGTAGTTTACTGTGCGGGAGTGACAAAAAGTACATCAAAATATTTTGACAAAAGATTTGAATTTTCAATCAGTTTTATTTAGCTTCAGTCCACAAAAAATAATGGAACGTTTTTTGTACAAATTTTTTGTATAAAAATAAAAACTTTCAAAGAAATAAAAGTGTCATGCCCAAGTAGCACAGGTTTGCAATAAATTGCTATTACATGGTAAAATTATGGCTATTATATTGGAAAGTTGTGTACAATGTCTCTTCACCAATTGAAGCGGCTTCTTTTACTGAAATCTATCGGAATAAAATTGAAATAAGGCGCAATTCTTTCGGCACTGCAAATTGCCTACCTTTGGTACATATGGAACTCATTGCATTGATCACAGGGCTACAGAACAGCCAAACTAAATCCCATTCAAAGAGACTAAAATAGCAAGAGGCAGTCATCAGGTATGAGCCAGAAACATTCGAGTAAGCTGCTTCCAATGAAAAGGTTTCCGCAGAAATGCAAATAAAATTATCGTAACTTTAGACAGTGATAGAACAAGTAAAATTAGCTTAAATCAGCAGGGGCGAATGTGTTGACAAGAGCAACTTCAGATAAGTCAATAATCAAAGGAGATGTAAAAGTCACAATGCACAAATGCACAATGCACAATGTGGGGCGAAAAGAGGATTTATCAGAACATACATATGATTTAAACAACCATGGTAACAGAACTCATAGTATTAAAAACAAAAAAAATGTTTGGGCTGTAATTTATTAGAAACGTTACAATTAAACTAAATTAATGAAAACACCAATCACAGGATTAGAAATACAATTTACTTCAATAAATGAGAACAGGTACTAAGGCTCCTTAAACTGTACATAATTATCATTATTCTGGATAAATATGTACAAAGCAACAACACCATCTTTTGACGACATGAGTTTTTCTCGTACCATCAAAAACCAGGCTGAACACTAAAGTGTAGATTGCCAAACATAACCAAACAAAACAAAAATGAGTTTCTCTTAACTTTTTCCCCAGACACGCATAATTGGACGTATTTCTATCAAACGGAACTAAGTGCTATCGGGAGAGGAAGGGAGAGGGAGGCTCGGATTGGTGGGTGTTGCGGAACGTGATGCTCGTTCCGTCCGGTACTCGCAATGCTTTTCCATGGCGCTTAGTTCCGTTTGACAAAACGTACTATCCAGGATTCTAAAATCCTTAAAAGGAACTCAATTTGGCGCTTAGTTCCGTTTAACAGAAATACGTCCAATCAACAATCATAATGGTTAACGTACAGTACACATGAGGTGCACTCTCAATCATCCCTTGAACTATTTTTTCTCTCGTGTACGGCTCCCTTGCCTTCGGGTAGGTATGTCATTCAAGCCGGTTGAATACAGATTGATTCGATACAGGGTTCAATGGATGAAAGTTAGAGCACCATCACTTTTGCTGCCTTATTTACAGATGTCATGCCATCAAAACTGTGAGGAATATTCATCTATCCCTCATCAAAATGGCCTCTCAAACTAATCACACTCTTACTTATTATATTTTATCGCAGATTTAACCCGTATTCAACTGGCATTGAGACTCTCTCATGAGCATACATTAGATGTCCCAAAATTACAGGGACCGGTACTGTGATTAAAATAATAAGCAACTTATCGGACTGACCTTGGTCTCACTCGGGATAGGATGTAAAACGTATTCGATTGACAACAAGACTTTTTTGACCTAAGACCAAGAGCTTGGAGGATTATGATACATTTTCATCCTGCATTTCAACATCACTGCAACCAGAGCCTTCTTCCGAGGCACTTCCTATGTTGAACCCATTTTCCGAGTCGGAGCCACTTGAACCTTCTTCAAGTTGATAAATTAAACTTTCATCCTCGCTGAGGTCTCCTGGACTTCCAGACCAGAACAGTCCAGACTTGGAGCTCTCTGCAGGTCCATGACTAGTCGATGGTCGAATAAACACAAAGTCGTCATTTTTAAATTCTGGAAAAACAACAGATGAAATTCTAATCAGTTTTGTTAAAATATCTTAACTGAACTGCATTAAGCAGAAAGGAACCAAGCCACATCAGCTCTTGCCACATTCAAGAAGATATTTTAATTCTTTACATGAAAACGGTTGAGCTGATTTTTTTTTTTTTTTTTTGCAAATTTCTGTGAATTTTATGCATACCTAATAGGAAGCAAATTCCTTAACATTTTCAAGAAAATCTGTATAAGTAAATGCTCTCTTGTAAAAAATTATAATGCTTAGTTAAAGTAGGCAGTAGCTGATATGGCTCAGCTCCTTTCTGCTGGACGCGGTCCAACTTATTCTGTGAATTCATTTGAAACTTTTCTTTGTTTGATTTACACTCGATGAATACTAAACACTGTGGCAGCAGAAATGGCAAAGGGCATGATGGAAAAGTTATTTTTGCCCCCTCTCCCCGCATGAATGAAAGGAGGCATTTCGGATCATTTAAGCTGAGGAGCGACATGCATATTTCAGCAATAACCTGATGACACTATCCAGATTTTAAATTTCAACTCGGCATGTATCTATGGCGGAGAGACGTATCTCAAATTTAAAGTTTGGAAAATCTCCGATTATATTTTATTCTCTGCAAGGATTACTAATCAAAATGTTTTCTTGAAGCTTTCTATAATTTATTTAGAATACATGATGATAAGACTGTTGGGTGGTTTTTATTTAAGAAATAAAAATGATCGGATACCTATCGCAAACTGAAAAACGCATTTTTCGATTACAGGCATGAAAATGAGGGCCCCGTCAACTGGAAAAGGGACCTTGATTGACACTTTTTTGGTACTTTCCCAAAAAATTGAGAACCTCCTTGAAGGAAAATTTCAGTAATTTTTTAGTGACCTAATTCCAATCGAATTTGATTTTTCAATGCTGCGATCGATTCTTTACCACAGCTTCATACACGCCTTGCCACTGCGGTGACAAGAAATCGAAATACCTATGCAACGTCTCATTGCGTCGCAACCCGAGATATGTGGGGGTATATGGTTATTTTGCCACCAATGTACGTTTCATATCGATGGTAAAAATGCAGAAGTGCGTACCTCGATTTTTCATGGTTTCGAATGATCTGAAAACGCAGAAGTGCGTACCTCGATTTTTGGCGATTTCGAGTTAGCTGCATAGACGAGTTGTTGAAGATGTCATCTATCTGCCACCAAGAGATTATAATGGGCCTGTTGCAAACTTTTGCTAGAGCAAAACTAAGAGTTGTTTCCTACAGATAATGCCTCAAAAATCACGATGAGCGCATCGGCAAAGTCTGAAATGCACTCATAACTTCACAATCTGCGTAAGAAATTTGCGATTTTTTGAGCTTCCCGCTTCGAAAACGATACTACGGTAAAGGTGAACATTTTGTTAGAGGAGTCGTTCCATTGNATCTATCTGCCACCAAGAGATTATAATTGGAAAAAATCGGGAAGTCACCTAAAACGGTAGAACTTTTTTCGCGTATCTCGGGCTTACGTGCAGAAATGCATATCTTGTTCTGGCCCCATCATTTGATCTGGCCTTACGCACAACAAGCGCTCCTCAGCGTTTCCTGCCAGCAGCAATCAGCTGTTCTATGTTCTTATTTATTTTCAGGAATTCGCTGGTTTTGAAAAGTTGCTAAATGCATATCACTCCAGAGCCCTTCAGTGTCAATTCTTTGAAGGTACCTATAACTAGCAGCGCTAGGCGTTCATGTACATTATTCACTCTCTGGGCCAGAACAAACATGAACTGGCGGTTCATCACAACGGTCAGTTGTATTAGAGTCAATCGAGTCATACAATGCTTCATCTAGCGTACTGGATCAATGAAAGCTTCTAAACAAGTTTTAAGTATGAATAAACTCTATTTTAGATCTTAATGATCAAGAGCAGGTTCAAAACGCTAAATAATTGAAGAAGTGCGCGTATCTCATGATCAAATGACATTTTCCAATCATATAATGTTTGATTCGGCCATATGAGAACAATCTGAAGCTTCTGATAAGGAATTATAAGCATGAAACTATTTTTTCTGTCTTTGAATGATGAAAATCCGCCAGTTATAGGTTTAAAACACTAACTGCAAAAATGCGTATCGCATGATAACGTGTCAATTCTTAGTGGCGAAAATGCGAATCTCAGCATTTCTGCCATATTTTCTAACAGTTTGAGAAATTATTCAAAATGCTGATGGAGTCTAAAAGGCATGTTATTCTTGCTATCTTCAAGAATTACTTCCCTTCTACTGACAATGAGGAGGAATGTAGACAGTTTTTTTACTTTTTTGGAAAATCGTGTTTTCCGAGATACGAACTTCTGCACTTTCACCATCGATATCTTACTCTGAGCCATTAGTAGCGCTCGAATTTTGGTAGTTTTCATTTACCGCTTATTTTAGTTATTATACCAACCGTTTATTATAGTTTCTTTCTTTTAACAACTGCCCCTTGTCAGAGTAATGAGTTTCAAAGGTAATGCCTTAGCAGAATGAAAGAAGAAAAATTACCATGATAAATATGATCCTCATGACTCAGCCGTTCTAAACAAATATTCAGCATACTGGTTGCAAAGGAATTATCAGACTGTATTGATAAAGCTCTGTGAAATGACTTGGCAGCGTCTTCATAACGACCTAAAAGTGCTTCCACAAAGCCAACGGCAGTCCTAATTTTTGGACACGTTGGTTTAATTTTCACTGCCTGTCAACAATACATAAACATACAAATAAAAAAATTGATCTAAAGGAAAGATTAAATCAGCTGTAATCAAGCGAGACAATTTTACATCGGAATCAATAAAAAAAGAAAAATGAGGAAAGAACAGTCAGTTTCTGTGTCCTAGAAAACCGTAAAAATAATTAGTAAAATCTAATTACTTTTTTTTTATAGCTTATTCCGAGAGTTAAAGACCATGAAAAAGCAGGTTGACAAAAAGTTTTCGAAGTTTGGAGTACAGATAGAAAGCTTGATGAAAAATAACATCCATCCTTTCCCTACAATCAGTTTGCCACACAGAGTTTTGAAAGAACGTGACACGGAGGGTGGGGAGGTTCTAAATTTCTTTGAGGTACTGAGCTAATCACACGGTAATCAGTCAAGGCCTTGAATTGGAGCTATTTTATTTAAGGGCCTTCGAGGCATCAAATGAGTATTTGAATCTTACAACCAACTTAGTTATGCGTTTAGGTTAAAAAGAACTTCCTATCTCGAGGAAGGTCGTTCCGATGGTGGAAAAAGGAAAGGATAAAGGTTCAAGTTAAAAGTTAAAGCATTAAATATTCTCACAAATTGACAGAACGATCACATGAACATGGAAACTTACCTTTAAATGGTATTCTAAAGCTCGATCGTAATTTTTCAATTTTCGATGAGTGTGACCAAGATTGTTCAGTAACACACCCCATGTTTCAGCCACGATAACAGGATTCCGTTCATGTACTAATGCTAAGGCGAGATCAAAATGTTTTTCAGCTTGAGCGTACCTGTAGAGAGAAAAAATCACGAACTTAGCTTAAAATGTGGCTTTAATGAAGGAAGAATTTCACGTTTTTAAACTTCTATTGGGTGTGAAATTGTATAAGTATTTCAGGGTATTCTATGGAATACCTGTAGAGACTTCAGGACAAATTTGTGATAGTTTTGTCTCATAAAGTTTTTTTACCTGTTTTCACTGTAGAAATAATCCTTGATACTGATGAAGGTTTACACGAACTGATCAGTAGATATGATTTAAATCAGGAAAAATATAATTTTCCAACAGTCCAACATCATTCCAACTGAAAGTCTGTGGATATTATTTCATTTTTGAGTACATTAGTGCTGTTTAACAATTATAATCGAGGGACTGGCATAGTATGAAACAGTGGCGCCTGACTCGTTCTTGAGTCACAATGCTAATCATATTCTGACTGAAGTTAGAAATGATGTAAATTATGTAATGAAATGTTTAAATTAGAAAACAACTACCTGTGGTGTTGAGTGGAACTGTGAGGTATAACTCGTTGATGAAGAGAACCATCATTTTACTATTCAATATGTACTAGTCAGTCACCAGTGCCTGACCACGTCCCAAAATTAAGAACACTGTCGGTAACCGACGCCTGCGGGCCGATTATTGAAAGTTTAAAGTTATCAAAAGATATCGAAATGCGATATATTGCATGGTTAAAATAGGGCTATGTCTTGTTTTACCATGTTGACATAATTTCAATAGTCGACCCGCTGACATCATTATCAATGTTACAAAAATATTTTATTTTATTTTGCATTTGGGTTAAAAGATAACTTACTCTTTGCTTTGATAGGCTACGATTCCCATTTCATGGATTACAAAAGGATCATTAGGAACTATTTGACAAGCTTGTCCTAGGTAATTTCCTGCTAATTTAAAATTGTTTGTTTCAGTGCACTCCATTCCAAGATATAGCAAGGGCAAATGACACCTGTCAAGAAGAGATCAAATGAATACTTACTGTGCAGCAAAGCAAGATTGATAGTGACACTTTCAGCCAACAACAAGAATAGAGTAAAATTATTTAATTCAAGTCACTTAAATACTGATTATAAAATATACAAGGCACAAGAGGAACCTTTTGAGTAAGAAGTTATTAAGTCACCCGCTCTTTCTATTTTCTCCAAATTTTGAAATCAATTTTTAAATCTTACTTCGGTGAAATACAAAAATTATTGCAAAATCAACTCAACAGCCTTCAATAGAACGAATCGAGTAACCCAATAACATTGAATACAGATTTTTTTCAAGCTTTGTGTTGGCAGTATCACAAAAATAAAACTTTCAATGCGTTTTTCCTAAAACAATTATTTCGGCTTTGTTTCCAGCAATCGCCTAATTAATGACCTATTCATGCAATTTTCAGTTAACTCTAATTTATTTTCAAGGACAAGAGATTTTTAATAGCCTTATCTCCTTCACTGCATGCAGTTACGATGAGCAGAGGGGCTACATTTTTAATTTGAAAAAAATCAGTTTGGTTTGAATCTATGAAATGATCTCTCGGACAAGTAATAAAGTAAAAGGAACTTCATCGCAGAGAATTAGAAATTCAGTGAAGAGAAATGAGAATTAATCTTTCGCTGATTTGAAATATTTCCTCTGAGGATGCTACAAAAACTCCCATAGATTGTATTCTTATTATCATACTTAGCTAATTGGAAGAATTTAAAGATTGAGAGACACATGTTACAGACAAATGCAAGTCTAATTCAGTACACAAGTGAATGTTCGGTCTAAACTAAACATACCCGATTAATAATTGAGCACTCTTAAAATAGGCTGCCATGGCTTGATCATGTTCAGTAAAAAATCCAAACGAATGACCATATGCAATCCATGCGGGAGCATTCATTTTATCTACTGACGTTGCCTTGGCAAAGTACTTCCTCGATAATTCAACTTTACCTGAAACACAAGAGGAAAGAATTGAACATTACAACCAACATCATACATACATACATGAACACATATGCGTTGATACATTATAATCAACATCAATATCGATGGCGGCAGAAAGCTTCTGGCAATGTTGTCGCACTGTATTGTTACCCTGATTCATTCCAAATTTTCCTGATCGATGAAAGAGCATCCCAGTTAGTCCCCACATCCATTCCTATTCATCGCAAAGTACATCTTGGAAGTATTAAGATTGATCCAAAATTTTACTTGCAATGATCTACAGCACAACAAATAATGCCAAGATTTTCCTCCAAGACTCATTCAGCAATATCTTTCATCAGTTCATTCCTTTCCCTCTTACTTCAAAGCTCACCATGTAAAAACATCTGGATTTTATTTTAAGACCAAACCATTTTAGAGTAGGAACTATTTACTACAGTTATAATTCAGCCCAGAAGCAATCTACAGAGTTCTGACAAAATCACACCCCAAATCACTCGGTATCCTCATTTCTTTAAAAACTTAGAACTCTTAATTCCAATTTCTTTTTACAAAAAATCATTTAAGCAAGTACAAGACGTCAAAAAAAATTTGATCCAAATATCTTCAGCAACATCTGAGTAAGTCATCATGTAAGTCTTTAAACCTTCAAAATTTTGAAAGATAGGTACTTATTATACTACATAGATAGGTGAATAGAAAAATGGATCTGAGTATAATTATGATCAGAAAAATAATTTTAACAGCCATTATGTTTGTAATTAACACCTCCGTATCGGTGCTCTTTTGAGTGTCCTATAATTATCTGCAGGCCGATAATTGAAATTTATAGACAAGGCGATAGACAAAGAAGACATAGGGAGTATGGAGCTAACCTATTGGATGAAATGGGTGGTTCCTATAGATTAAGGGAGAAAATGATGGACTAACTATCGGGTCCCTCATGGGTTGCCGTTACTTAGTCTATTGCAACCACCCGCATCCACCAATATGATCTCTCCATATCTCTTTTGTCTTCTTTGTCTATAGCTTTGACTATCAATTTCAATAATCGGCCCGCTGGCATGTGGGGAGATTGCAATCATGTATATACCCTTAGAAAATGCTTTAAAGAACCTACCAGAGACAAGATAATAACATCCGACTGCATACCAGGCATTGGAATTCTTCGGCTCTTTGATTAGTGCTTCGCCTAGTTGAAATAATTCTGTCCAAACATAAAAAAGACAGAGTTAACATCTGATATTAATATACATTGCCATGACATATAAGAGATTTTTTACCCTATATAAAACTTGTGTGCTGAAATTACGAAAACAGATGTTTTCCTCAAACTTCTCTTCGACTGCATCTAAGAGCTTGGATTTTTTTGAGATCCATTTCAAGATAAGGATAAACATTTTCTACTTCATTAAGAATGATATAACTGTCCTAAATTACTCTAAGCAGGCAGAGATCCGTCTTGGGATACTTAAGAAATCCATTAGCTCAATTCTACTGCTGCAAAGTCTGTGAGTTTAATTTTTTAATTTGTATGATAGGTCAGATTTCATCAAATTCTTCCGATAAAAAGAAAAGAAAAAATAGGGGTAGAAACTTACTATTGCACAGTCGAAGTTGAAATAAGCAAGCAATATGGATCGGTAAACAAGTAGGATGCATTGGAGAATTTTCTAGAATTCTGGAAAGAAATGGAAAAAGAACATAAATTCTACTGGAAACAGTTGGTCACTTTTTAAACAGTAAAATCAATGCAAGGGGAAAGGCAAGTTTTCATTATGGGCACCCATGGAGTGAAACAAAAATGGGGTGGCGAGTGCGGCCCACTTCTTTAAATTGCATGCAGGTTAAAAAGGAGAGGACTTTTACATTCTTTTACCTGCAGAACAACAGCTAATTTGAACTCACTAGCGGCAATCAAAAAGGGGGTTCTTCCTTGGAATGGTAAATTTTACAAAAAGGGAATTTAAATTGTACATAAGATAGTATTCAAAGTCATTTCCAAATTAGCTCCTTTCCTTGGGGGTCCCTGAATGGTTCACGCTATGATTAAGATACTGATTTAAAGAAGTCTTGAACATTTCATTATAAAATATAGACAATTCTAACCAACCTTAAATAAAATTCAGAATCATAGCTCTGAAAGTAGATTCTTACAGAGGATTGCAATGATTTATTGCTACAAAAAATACAGAATACATAAACAAATACTTTGCAAGTTTTGAAAACTTTAGGTGCACTTACCATGAAGTTTGTCAAAATCAAAGAAGTTTTTCTTATGTATTTTGCACTCATTGCAGAGGGGAATCATTGTAATCCCTTGTAGGGATCCATTTCCAGAGTTATAATTGGACTACATTTTGCAATTAGGAACTAAAATTCTGGCCCAGTTTAAAAACAACGTATGTGCCATTAGTTTCCCTATGCACATAAGCGTTTTTTCAGATAAGCCAGAATTTATAGTTCCAAATTGCAAAATGCAGTCCAATTCTGAATTTTACTCGAGGTTTGCAGAAACTGTCAATTTTAGGATGGTCTATGGTGGTCTTATGGTGGATTCTAGGATTGTCAATTTTAGGTTCACGGCTTCTTAATCTTATTGTTAGTGTGAAACATAATCCATACTGGGCTCCTTAAAGAAAGGAGCTATTTCAGGAATGACTATGAATACGGCCCTATGTATCAGTATGACACCTGGAGATGTAAAGATCAACATTACATAATAGGAAAATCATCCAGGATTAAATAACTAGTTGGTAAACTGGGGGTGCACAGAATGAGCTACAACAAGACACCGACTTGATTGGATTGCCATTAATAGTTTTCTTCGTTTTTTATCCCATTTATTGGAGGGTATGATTTCCTCACAGTTTTTTTATGTATTTTTTAAACCGCAAAAAAAAAAAAAAAAAAAAAAATGAGTTATCAAAAATTCACACTCACTCTTCAGTGACACTGAGACAATCTGCAAAATAACAAGCATTATACAGTCTCTCAGCTTCTGCTATTGCAACATATGGATGTTTGCAAAGGTTGGTCGAAGGATAGGCTTTTGAACTGTGTGAGGTAGGACATATCTTGGCATCGATTTCTTTGCGATTATTTGATGGAGCACGATACTTATCGATGATATTCTGATAAATTTCTCTGACGAGAGCCTTTTCGTGATTGATCGGTTTATTAGCTAACTGCTCATCCATTTTTTTGATGATTGCCTTTTCTGAAACATTAAAGAAAATAAGCTGAATAATCTCTGGGCAGTATTAGTAAGAACATGAAAAGGGAATCCTAAAATTTAAGGATCTTTTTGAAAACGTCAAGACAGAGAATAGAGGATTTCCCTAATCTTTTCTCATCAAGGAAGGATAGTTTTCTGATTGATCTACTATTATTGAGGTAGAAAGATTGCAGTCATGGGTTACATACCGATGGCTAAGGAACGATACCGCCTATCTGCTAACTGACGGTTTTGCAGAACGAAGAGAAAACTTCGCCATTTTTGTAATTATAAGGTTAGATTTGCAATTTTTCATACATTGCAGCGTCATAGCAGCACTCCCTTACAGAATTGGAAAAAACTAAAATCATCAAACTAAAGTCGCTAACTCATTTTTGCCAAAATTGTTAGTTAGGCGGCATCCAGGACTGGTAGCGGCTACTTTGCCGCGAGTATTTAGCCCGGATATGGGATACCGGCTAAGCAATGCTCAAGGCTCCTGGATTTTGGGGCATGTTCATAGTAAGCTATACTGGTAGGTCGATCCTCAGCATATCATTTTTAGCATACGGATCCCGAGATATTCAGGCTAGACGGAGACCCGGCATATCTCGGCATCTGCACAGTAGCTGGATCCTGTAGCATCCCTCAAGAGCTGGATACGTCGAAATTCAGCCCGACATTCACCCTGAAAATCCTGTGCGATGGACAATGGAGACAATGCCCTCAATGAAAGCGCTTCTATGGAAGTTCCACGAACTGTGATGGCCAATCTCAGTGCACTCAGTAGCCGGCTAGTAGCCGATACCTGGTGGAGATTAGCATCTCAGCATATCAATGTAGCTGTCCATCCTCGTATGCTGGGATCCTTTCCAGCACGCGATGCCAGCATACCTGGAAGTTCGGCTACTTGGGCATCCGGCATCCCTACATATGCAGCATCTCGGCGTATGCCGGGAGTCAACCTCCGCTATCAGTCTCTAGGCAGCATTGTTCGTTAGCCCTTGATAGCTGTCTCCGAAAATGAGTGGCTTCACTTTTTGAAGACTTACTTGATCGGAGAAAATATTTTGGATTTTCATGGTAAATGAATTTAGATTTAATTTAACTAATTAAGCAAACAGTTTGTGACAGATTTATTGAGTAGATAATTTGGGAAGGAAGTTTAATATCAAATTTTATACCTTCTTGAGAAGAAATCATATGATGACTGACTAAAGCTGAAAAAGCTTCATAGCAAAATATATCTTGCTCCAAGGCTTTCTTATAGTTTTCTGCAGCAACGATTCTATTTTCCATTTTCTCGTGAATTTGAGCTTTCAAAACAGTAAGAGAAGGTTCAATCTGAGAAAAAGTAATAAAAGAATGAAAATTATTTTGCTGAGAGAGAAGAGAATGAACGAACAGGTTTAGCCCACATAAATTATCAAGGTATTTATTGATAAGACTTCAACTTTTTCTGGCAATTGAATGCAGAAGCTCAATTTTTTTTCTCTCCTCTTTTCTAAATAATGTGATTCAAAGTGAAACTTTTGACTGTTGGATATACAGAAAAATATGAAAAAAATTGATGTTAGATGAAATAATACATATTTTTAGTGGGACTACCTCATTAAGTACTTACAAAGGTAATTTTTTGTAGAGCTCTAAAACTCTGGGTGCAGGAGCGGCACTTTCAGTTGCGGTGTCTCAACATCTCTGCTAACATTTTATCCGTTAAAAGGGAAGCAAATGCGTAAGTCTTGTCGAAAGTCTTACACAATACTTTTTATGATTTCACAATGTTATAAACAAAATTCCAGACAAATTATCCACTAGTTTCCTTTCTAAAATTTAACTTCGCAGTGGTTATTGTAAAACATCGCAACCAAGGAGTGCTCTTCCAGACCCAGCGCCTCAATTAGCTGATATTGTAGCATCAACTCAACTGTCCTCAAAAGTCTTTGACCTTCTACCCCAAAAAACTTTTTCATCACATGAAAAAATGGCAGTTCCAATGCTACCGCATTTGGCAGGGCAGTTTTGCAAAATTCCTTCTGTGTGGACTGGGCGTTGGGCCCATTTAGGAAGTTGAACACCAACCAAAATCGACCAAATTCAACATCCGTCTTCTCAGTCATTGGCGATTTTACATGTCAAGTAAACGAGTATAGTTTGGTTTGACAGAATTTTTCTCCTCCTTTGGAATAAAAAATTGTTCAACTAATCCAGAATAAATTCAAGACAACGAGACAATTTTTCCATTATACAACAAATTGAAATCATTTTGGTGCCTGCTTTGCACCTGATGTGAAGAAGACTTTGGTCTTGCAATGAGCAGAATATTTGAATTTACAAGCATGAACAATGATAATTTTTAAATTTATGAATTGACTGTGAAAATTTTGATAAAAAAATGTTTTGCGATGTTTAAATGTTTACCATGTCAACTGGTTCATTATAAACATCATATTTTTGTGTAAAAATGATGTAAAGTGAATGGCAAGGGATGATAATAGCTGCCTCAAACCTCTGAAGGGAACCTTTTTCATTTTCTTTCCATTTTATTTTTAGAAAAGTTGGTCATGGATGATAGAAAAAAAAACAAGCAAACAAACCGTGACTTACATTTTTCTTTTGACCATATTTTTTCATCCATTTAGATTTCCTTCTGCTAGTGCAGGAGAAGGGAGCATCTGTAAGATGAACATTCTGCGGTTCTCCACTGAGTAAATCTAGGGCTTCAGGGTAGTCACCCACCATATATAAACACTTGCAAACGAGGTAAAAACATAATGGATTGATCTGCAAATTTGAAAAACTCTCGTGAACAATTAAATGGATTGCAATGAAAAAAAAACCAACCCTCAAAACAAATATGGATAATTCAAACAATTCTCTTGGTTAAAAAGAAAAAAATGAGAACATTTTGAATTATTAAATTGGGCTAAAAAAGTTTTAAAAAAACTTATGGTAGATACTTGCCAATCAGTGCAAAAATACATAATCTTTATGCAACCATAGAATCAATAGCATGCAATGCTCTACATCTTCTTAACATATTTTTTGGACCCTATGCTGAAAACAACATAAAAAATGTTAAGAACTAGTTGAATGCTCCTAGGATGCAAGAAGGGTACCTACTTTTTGAAAGGAAATCCTCTTACAGAAAAAGAATGTCCATCGTTGGACAAAGGGTTGTTCTAGGATTGGACTAAGTGATTAACATTGTTTCTTTCATTCTCTAGAGAATTGGTGACTAATATTGCATACAGATCTTTTCTCAATTCCAGTCATTATGTGAATGATATCTTATGAATCCGCAAGAACATGTGTAGGTATCCAGCACAATATATCAATATCTGGGTACTTAATGGGGCAGTGAAAATTTTTGTAGGGTTAAGGCATAGTTTTTTTTACATAAAATATTGTGAAAAAACCAAAACGTTCAAAAAACTATTTCTAGGGTAAGAAAAAGCTAATCAAAATCCGATCAATCAAAAGCTGGCAGTCAAGTTGGCACGGCAAAGCAAAGCTTAGCCGATCGACAAACGCCGTTTCCCTTGCCTGGCTACGTCATCAGAGCCTGCCAAAGATATTGTTTCAAACGGTTGCAACGGTTCCAAACAGTATTGTTGCAGATATTGTTTCCAGTTTCAAGCATTTTCATCACAGGGCTTCTTTGCCATGTAAGGTTAAAAAAAACTGAAATTTTTTATAAGCTCAGTTTACTCTAAGCTTTCAGAAAAATTGAAAAAATGGGTGCCACTAACCCATTGTGGTTATTATTAATGCTTGGACTCGACCAAAGAATCTATTGTGATGCCACAACAAACAGTATCTTTCAAAATAGATGAAACTGATCGAGGTTCACTAAACTTACTTCCTTCTTGTCTAAACCAGCCTCCCTGATGACATTTATGGCACGACGATATTGTTTCTTCAGAAATAAACATCTCCCTAGTAGATAGATACTCTCAGCAGATTTGTCTATTGATAGAAGACGCTGGGCCCAAAATAAAGCTGAGTCAAATGATAGCTGAAAAACAGACACATATTGTTAGCATATGTAAAATTCAATCTCAATTTTAGGGTGCTAGAGCAGGAAAAAAATAAGTTGAACTGGCAGAAAGTAGTGCCAGACCATACTACCACATAGTTTTAAACATGAGCGATTTTAAAGTTTTCAGGCTCACTATTAGGCTACTTCAATTTTCTCACACTCTTGACAGGGAAGTCATTGAAAAATGGGACAGATTTTTTAAACATGATCATCATTCTAACCAATGGACATTTGAAGACTTGTCATGAGTATTGGACAAAGAGCCAAATACTCCAACATTCAGTCAGATGGGGCATTTCATTTTAAGCACTGCGGGCTGATTATTAATATTGATAGACAAAGAAGACATAAGGAACATGATACGATCCCATTGGTTCTAGCAGATGATTGTTACAGACTAAGGGGAAAAATGATGGACTACCTAACTACAGGGTCTCTCAAGGGTTGCCGTTAGTTAATCTATTACTTACCTTTTTGGTCTATTTCAACCACCCGGTTCCACTAAGAGGATGGCTTTATTTTTGTGGTTTGTCTTCTTTGTCCATCAATTTCAATAATCACCCTGCTGAGGACAACATTCTGCATGACAGGCATTGAAATACAAAATACCAAAACTTGAGTAGTGTATACAAAGTCCCAAAGATAGCATTAGAAGTATGTGTCAAAGGGTGAATAGCTCGAGATCAACTGTGTGGCACTTAGCCCCTCATTGATGATAAGTCATCATTTGCTCTATAATTGTAATTTTGGTTTACATGCAATTCTATCACATGAAATCCTTGCAAAAATGAGGAAACGGTAACTTACCCTATTGATGTAGTACTTCACAAGTTTTTCTAGATGCTTCACTTTTTTTCTCCTCAACATCTTTGTGGCTGACAGTTGAGTCTTACTTTTTTGAGTACCTGGCACTTTGACAGTTTTGTTCATTTTTTGCTTTGGCGCACTCCTTTTACTTCCTGATTCACTTTTTGAGGGCTTGACTGAAAAATCGATGAGAAGTGCAAATATTACTATCACAAACAGAGCTAATAATTACCAAAGATTCTGCTCCTTTCCAACATGATGTCTCTTTAGAGCAAGCAAGCAATGTTATATAAAGGATCATTGATCTATTTTGAAGGGAATAAGACCTTCAGTACTTACACATCCACATTCTGTGCATATCTAGGAAAATAGGAAGAAAAAAAAATAACTTGCACAGTCCTACTTGCAGTTCAAACTCTGAGCGGTGTGTCTCGTTTATTGTAGATGGTCAATTTTCATAAATTTTGCTCTTTCGTACACTGACATGCTGTCAAGGGTAGTTTTTCAAAAGATCCTCTTCCTTTATTATTTTCATGGATTTGGAAAATTTTATGAGAAGAGATACATACTAGGATTCCGAACAACCAGCTCCTGTCTTTTTTTAGAAAAACTATTGGATGGTTATGGAGTTACAGCCAAGGGAAAAATTGACATCTTACTTTTCCTGGGTTTTTTCTTATCCTTAGTTGACGTACTTGGTTCAGGGGTTTCAAATTTACAAGACATCTGGAAGACACAAGAAGGCAAATATTAAAGCCAAATTTACATGATCCTGATTTTTGTTATTGAGGCACTGCAGGAGGACATGGTTTGTGTCACCTACAGGGCCGCATGAGCACAAGTCAGTTGGAGACACCTTCATTTTCTGTTTGAACGTTGGAAAGGGGCCATGACCTATCCTTAGTTTTGAGATAATAATTGAAGTTTTTTTGTTCCAAGTAATAAGTTCAAACCAGGCAGAGAGAGAAACTGTATCTTCAATATTGTGTAATCGTTGGCCTTTCAGCTGAGCAGATTGAGTCCAGCACTCTTGCCAATCGGTAAGGGTTCTTAGGAGGTTAGAATAGTGGATTTTATCATTTGTAAGGTTTTCTATCTCATCATCTGCTTTCTAACTTGGTCAAATTACATTGCGTGTACCTACAATTAAGAAGAGTAAAAAGTGACATTCTAGTCCTCTTGTTACATTATTAAACCACTGATTTCAAGTATAAGTTTCATCTATTACCACGGAGGACACATTAGAAAACGCAATTTGATGGACATCGAGCATAGTTTTAGAAATCGAAGATTCTTCCTCGGTTATTGAATGATTTGAGAGATGTGTACGTGCTCTAAGCATCAAAGGAAGCTTTCGAGGCTTGAATGTTAACTATAGATAGTGTGATAATGTTGACCCTATATGATTAGCGTAATTCCTCCATCCTGCCGTCCTTTTTTTAATGAGCCTGGAGGCTCATTAATTTTTAAACATTTCCACATTGATCACACGATAAGCCGCCCAGTGCTTGCTAATGCTTGGACGCTGAGTACCGTAAGCTCGCAATAGGGTGGTCTGCTACACTCGTACAGAGAATTTTGAAACGTTACTTACTGATTGCGGAAAGCCTCCTGAGCAAAGTTTCTCATTCGATTCCGCTGCGCTGAGAGAAAGATTATGAAATTCAAAATTAAATTTCAAATAAAACCAAATCCTAACCTAGTAACCTAGAAAGCGCGCCGCACGGCTGATAAACAAACCGGTAATAATTTTGCTGTTGCCGGGTCAACAAAAATATTATGCTTTTTTAGTAGTTCGAATTTTGACCACTCAAATTACATATATTTCTTTGTTACAATCTGCAGAGCGCGTCCCGAGTCGACAGAAGCTTTCCTTGACAACATCGCATTCGGATATGTTGTGTTGTCAGCTTACTAGTCGATAAGAGGTGATACCACGAACATTCCACATCTCAGTTTACTTTTGTACTCATGACACGTTAAAGTTTAGTTTTAAAAATGATTTCGTTAAAATTAGGTAAGAAAAAGTTTGTTCTTTCAAATGATCCTTTGATACTTACTTGAACTGATCCTTTTTCTCGCGCCGTTACGCATCATATAACCTACCCCTGCCTGTCACATTTCGGAAGTAGCCGGTAATTTCGTTCCTTAAAGTATAAACTAAATAGACCAGAGACGTAATTCGGAGTTTTAAAAACTTTTTGCAAAGTTCACTCGCAGCCTCGTCAAAAATCACATTGTTATAGTCTGTTGCGATTCGTTAGGATTGTGGCTGTAGTCGAATTGGCGTTAGGTTGATTGCATGGATGCATGGCCCGATCTTTACACAGGTCGTCGAGGCCGCAGCCTGAGATGACAAATTTTTGGGGGTGAAAAGATTGTGCAAAGAGGAATATGTTGCTAGGGTGCTTCCTTGATAGCTGTGCTATGGGAAGGACGGCGCAACAATGTGGAGATTCTATGCAGAAGTAATCAAGGTGTAAGATGATGCCTAATAAAGACCGCAACATAGCCGATGGCAGAGTCTGAAAATCTGCGAGAAGAAACAAGTCGGGCACACAATTTACGAATAGCAGGACTAACACCTACCCCTCCCCCCCCCCCCCAGCTAAGTCGGGATAAGTCGTAGGGGTGGCACAATCTTGACGGCTGAGGGGCGGCAATCACGTCAATCCGGTCATGCATGGACGTCAACATTTGAGTGAACTTTAGATGCAGAAGGTTATAGACCTAGAAAAGAATCACTGATATGTTGTCACAATGGTGAGAAATAAAATGTAGTCAGTAAAATGTTTAAAAAACTCACTTACACGTACAAATAGTAATTTACGGAAGTGTTTCGCCGGCTCGCAACCCAGGCATCCTCAGCTTGACTCAGCGTAACATTAATATTTTTACGTGCAAGTGAGCTTTTTATAAATTTTACCGATCATTTGTCTTGTGCGGGTCCTCAAACGTATCTTTGATAAAATGTAGTATTTCATGATTTTGACAGAAACCACTTGACCAGTCTAAGGAAGAAGAAATTACTCTGCAGTGAGAACTTGCTAGCGTTTTGTATGATCAGACCACTTCCCTACGGCATTTCGTTTTTCATAATTTCCTCACATTTTCAGTCGTGGATCACTATAAGTTTAATGTTACTTACTTCTAATTTATTTTTTGTGCATTCCGAGAGGCTGTTCTAAGTGTCACAGATATTTTTGCCTTGGCATTGAGTATGTGATGAAAGCAGTGATTGCTCTTATGTATCTCAGACCTTTCTCTTACAGAAAATTTGAATAGTTACTTTCATTTGTGTGTTGCAGCTCTAGTTTTACTTTCTCTCTCTGCATCAGCCTTATCTGTTAGTGTCACTTCCAGTCTAAAACCAAGTGATCGAGCCAAATTCAAGCAGATTTTCACAGCATCACTTGATTCAAATGATGTAGCAAGTGTGTATTATTCAGTTTTAGGACTGAAAGACCTTGGTGAGGCGATACCAAAGCAGCAGGTATACAGTTTTTAAATTATTTTGAGTAAATTTACTTGCGGTTTCAACTTTCATCTGGAATAATCCCTGGCTAAAATTTTTAAGCACAATTGTGCAATACACAAGCAAAAAACAAAATTGCTGCCACAATACTAAAGTGCTACAATACTTTACTTATGCGGCCACAAATTATCAGCTGATTTTAAGCGGCAGAACATGAGTGAGGGACAGAGGACGCTATAGGGTTGCCATACTGATAGAATCAATTGATTTGTTCTTGATTTACTTTCATTGTCAAGCTTGCAGCAAAATTTTTTCTTAAAAATGGAAATTTTTTTGAAGGTCAGGCACTTCATCAACCAGACTGGGTTTTTTTTAAAATGAAATTTGTGTTTGAGATGGTCGGTAGAATATATTTGTACCGTTCTCATCCCCAAGTCAGCAAGGACCACACCCATTTTCTTCAGGGTTCTTTTTTATTTTAGGTCTAGTATCTAGGTACCTCTGTCAAGATGAGGAAATTTTACAGGCTTCAAAAGAAAATTTTCACTTACATTTTTTTTGTTGCCTATGATTTTTTTACTAGCTTTTATGATACTTTTACAGTACTTAGTTCTTTTTTTCTGATGATAATTTTTTTTCAACTAAGGTACATTGGAGGACAATTCCATGAAAATTTGAATCACACCGCCTCAAAGAGAGGGAGATAAAGTGGAGTTTTTTACCTCATTATTTCCAGTAAATTTCAAAGTATGACCTGAACTTTTGTATTATTGGTAATGGTCCTTTAGACAAGGTTCGAAATTAAGAACCACAGTGTATGGACCTCATTCAGTAGAAAGGAACCAAACCACCTCTATTATTGGCAAATGTAATTGGGCGATTTTATTTTTTACATGAACTTGGTTGTGCAAATTTTTGTCAATTTTGTGCATAGTAGGAGTAGGTACCTACGAAGAAATTTTCCTAAAATTTTCAAAGGAATCCACACAAACGTTTTCTTGTTAAAATTAAATTACTCTGTCAAATATGGCATTAGCTGATATGGCCTTGGTACCTTCCTTCTATGTTTCCTCATGGAAATTTGTATAATTTCATGGATGCGCTAAAAATTTTCAAATTCAATCCATAAATTAGAAAATGAAGGTTTTTGTCCTCGTTGATTCTCAATTCCCTCTTACAAAAAAACTGGAGTCCTCTCTAGTGACATCAAGTGCTGAACTAATATTGGTATAATTAAGCTCTTGTTATTTACTAACATTTAACTCAAATGATTTAAGTTTATTTTGATTCATAATTTAGCTTACATCTATTATGGTTTTTTCGCGAGTGGGAAATTTAAATTAACTGTTCATAATGTAATTTACCTAGTTAAGTTTATTCTCACCTATGAGTTAAGTTTGAAAGTTTTTGATGTGTTGAACATGCTCTGTATGAAACACTGATGAGAAAACATGCCTGTAGTGCATAATTTCTTTCCTTGTCTACTGGTCCAATCCGTCATCAAAATTATAAGATCAAGAAAGTATTAAATATTACTCCGAGGTCTATCCCTCCTAGATAAGCAGACAATTTAATCATTCAATTTGTTTCAGGCTATTTGTGCACTTGTGGCGAATTCGCTGAAAACCACTACCTCTGTGGAGAATTCCTTTTATGCGAGCTCTACTTACCAAGCTTTAAGTAATTGCAAGGAAACCATTCATGTAGCTAATTTAATCAAGGTAAGCCAAAGTGAATAGATTATAAGCGAAGTTCTACAAATGAAATGCAAACTGGAATTAAAATATCAATAAATATGATGGAATACAAATGAAGAATTGTATCCTAGCACAGCAAGATACTGATTTTTTCCACAATCATATACATTTTTTATCAGGATTACTAGCTGAATTCGAATCCGTTGAAATAAAGGAACAATTCATAAATGAAAGAAAAATTGGTTGGCAATTTTTGTACGACAGTAGACAAAATGACAACAGTAGATAATATGAATGGAAGAATAAGTATCAATTCTACATAAAAAATTAGAAAAGCAATTGAAATGAAGTAAAAATGTAGAGAGAGTGGAAATTGCAACAATTTTATCTAATCTATTCCTTCTATAAAGGTTGAGTATTTTTCCCGAGCATTCGTAGATTTTATTTTGATTATAAGATAAACAAGATCAATCAAATTTGTTACTAAAATAGTGATTAGCATATAGACTGCTATATTTAACATATTTTTACATATGGCCTTTATGACAGGGGTCCTGCCGCTAGGTAAAGACTCTGTGTGGACACAATGGAAACAATACCCAGTGAGCTCAAAGTGGACTCCGCAGCTCCTCCCCAAGATCGGAGGTCGCAATTCTCAGTCCGCCCAAAAATGCCGGAATTTTAACTCGGCCTAATTTCATTACCCAGTATACCAGGTGAAAGGAATGATTGTGATCTAAGAATTTTTCTTGATTTTCAGAAATTCAAAGATGTCCTAGCAGATTCAACCTCTTCTGTACCTGATCTATATTTTGCTGCTCAAGGTTTAAAAGATCTCAACCAAGCAGTTCCTCACACAGATGTTGTCAAGACTATTCAAACAGCCTTAAAAACCGATGACACCCTAGTGAAGTAAGTTCTCAATGTATTTTTTTAATCATACTTTTAAAAAATGACTAATTTCTTGTGAAATATTGGTGATATGCTATTGAGTTAGGTAAAAGAAAACATAGTTTGTCAGACTTGTGTGAAAGGCAGTTTCAGCTTTAATGTAGGCTGACGCAAGGAAGGAGAAGTAGGGGGCTATTGACCCTTTTGCCCTGCTCAGATTTTGTAAGAATTTTTGGATGCATAGTATTTCTAAATTCAAAAGTATTGTGGAATTAAATCATTTATTGAAAATTAGAATTTTCATTAAATTTTAAAGAGGGGTGAATCTTTGAAATTTTACCTCATTTTTTATTCCTAAACTTTTGCTATTGTAAATTTCTTTTTTCTTTTAAGCCTGGGATATGTTTTCCACATCGCTTCATTCCTTGGTTCAAATGGAGCATTTGCTTATAATCGCATTGAGGATGCAATTGTTCAGGCTGACGAAGTAGACGGGAAATTTTTACAATTTGAAGGTGGACTCAGTATCACAGGTAAGTCCCATCTTCGTTTTTAATTGTTTTCGATTTTTCATCAGGCAAGTATTCCTTTCCAAAAATCAAGGTAAAATTAAATGCAAAGAATGTATTTAAAACTGTAGTGGACCACCAGATGAGGTGTGAAGTTGACCATTGTAATGTATGTTTACTCCCGAAAATTGAATGGCAAACATTATTTGTACTATGAAAATCATGGAAAGCAACACTTGACAAAGATTTTTACGATTTAACCTTTTTTGATGTGTAAATCCAAACTTCCCACTTACAATAAGCTATAGTCTTCTTCAGTTCAATTGCATATTAAACATTGCCGTAAGAGCAGTATATAAAAAAAATGTGGAAGACAGAAGGTATTCTTGATAATTGATCTTTAACAGGATCAGTCCAATTTTTGATGTACATTGAATTTCAAAAAACAAAATTTGTCCTTTTTTTTTTTTTTTTTTTGAGCCTCTTTAAGTCTTCTATCATTTATTTTCTCACTCTTTGATTTTGTCTTTATTCATCTTTACAGCACTGATAATTAACGGAGCATACAAATTGGGGACATCATTGAACAAAGCCCCTCAGCTTTCTCCAGACCAAGCTATTAAATTTGCCAACTATTTTCTGTCAAGAAGGTCCGTTCAATTGCCCAAAGGTGCCTACTTCCTTCTCAATGTTTTGAAGACATTAGCTGACAATAAGGTAATGAGCTCTTCCTTTTAACTACCCATTAACTTTTGGTTGAGGATTTTGGGACCTCAAATGAAAAAAGTTTTGTAATCTAGTATCCTTGTCAAGCCTGCAAAAAAGATGCAATCTTGGGATCAAATGTTCCTAAGTGAAGTAATAATATGATTATTAAGTACTGATTTCGAAGTTTATATTGCTCTCTGAAATTCTGCTTGGAAGTTGGCAAATCATGTTAAAAACCTGATTTTCAGAAATTTGTGCACAATTTGACAATTCTCGCAGCATGCTAGCATTGGACTAGTTTTCAGTTTATTGGACTTTTTCTGGGCTGCAATATACTGTTCTAATTTAAATTCTGTGCATGAACCAGCACAGAGAGTGCTCATTTACGGAATTTCTTTTAAATCGTGAAGTTTTTTTATCCATACATACTTGATTATCTCCAACCTGCCTGATAATAATTTTTTGGGGGTTTTCCTTGTTTTGTTATGAGAGTTGTTAAACAGCGACAGTAGATGGGGCGAAGATCACACTTTTGTGTCATGTCTTGGGTCATATTCATGATGGCGTTTCAATGCCGTCTTGGATTTTGCGGGATGCTAAGTAGGGGTTACTAACGAGTGTAATCTACTGATGAGGTCTAAAAAGATCCAAACCGGTATAGATCTCTCGATGTGACCTCAACTTACTATTCCAATGCAAACTGCCTGAGCTGAACACTCTTCCTCGTCAGTTTTGTACTGGTACTCATTAGAGTTAAACATTTTTTCGACTCTAATTGTAATTTTTGGAATTTCTCGGCTTCAATTTCCCTGCGAAATTGTGTGGACCCAGCACCATTTCTCCATCTTGTTACATACAGTTTTGGGCCATTATTTTTTTTTCTTGCTCAATCACTTCTTTTAATTCATCCTTTCAGTTCCAAATTCCTGTCGTTATCGAAATTGCGGAAACTGCAACAATCAGTTCCTCAAACCCTTCATTGAACGTTCATGTATCTGACGTACTTGGCAATGCCTTGACAGCTCCTCTAACTGTGACAGCAGAATCCGCTACACGGCTCTCAGATAATGTTGTTGTTTTATCTAAAAAGAAACTTGAACAGACTCCAGCTAACAGGTATTTCAAACTTTTCTCCTCTTCACTGTCATGATAAGTAGTGAATAACAGAAACAGAGAGAAACCTCTCCAAAAACCGTCTGCGAAATCAAGTTAAATTTTAATGTGTAGAAAGAAATTGAAGACCCTTTTTGCAGTCGTTCTCCTGTAGATTAGTCAATTCTGAAGTCAAATACCTCTATTCCTGTGTTCATAAAGAATATATTGAAGCATTTTTGTTTCCTTCTTTCTTATTCTAGAGAATGGTAGTACAATATGGATGGAAAAAGCTGTGAAAATAAATGTTTCAAGTACTTCCTTTTCAATTTGATCACAGCATAAATTGACCATTTAAGAAAAAGTACCTTTTCCTTACCTCTATTATGCTGTTTCAGTCTTATTTTTCTTGGTGTCTCATCAAGGCCATTTAATTCTTTTTTATCATCATTCATTATTTTTCCCGTAATCTTTTTATTTCAGTAAAATTTATGGTGTCAACATCTTAGATGCCAAGTTAGATGCTGGTCTGTATCGTGTTTCCATCAGTGCAGTCCCCAACAAAGCAGACCCTCGGTTAATTGGCAATGTTGGTACGACGGTCATCATTAAAGTGACATGTCCCGTCAGTGTCCAAAATGTACAAATCGGCATAGTAGATTCAGACCAGACCTCAGCTCCCAAGTTGAATGAGTAAGTTCATCAGTGAATTTTTCTTTGTTTGTATAATCACTTTACCTGACGAAAAAATTCAGTAGCAAATACATTTATGCAGACAGAATACAATCTAAAGTCCTATTATAGCTGTTTATTCGGTTTATCAAAGAGTCTTTAAAATTAAATTTCTTAAATCCGAGTAGTATTTTTAACATAGTTATTTGAATACAGATACTTTTTTAAGATGTCTTTCTTTTAAAAATACAGAACAGCAAGCTATGTTTGATCTTAACCTGTCTTATTTCTCCATCAGATTTAGTGCCCTAAATGTTGATCAAATATTCAGCTACTGCTGTATCGATTCATTTTTTTTGTCAAAAGTTATTCATGAGTTTATTGGTGCTCCGGAACTTTTATCTCTTGCTCATTTTTATGCATTGCCTGGATTGTTTAGAGTGAGAAATAAAACTTTTAATGTAACCAGCAATGATAAGTAGATCTGTAATCAAAAGGTTTTTTGGTGGTCTTTTTTTCTATTGTAATATTTTTTTGTTATTGGGTTCAGTCTGTAGGCAACCGTAAGTAAAAGAAATAAAACTGCGAGAATTTTGGGCCATGTATGAAGACTAGATAGTAAACGTAAAAAGAGTTAAACATAAAATGGTTGAATAATAAAACAATTAATCTTTCAATACTTACAAACAAAGTTTCAGAGATATTTTATTGTGAATCAAGGTATCTCAATCTTAAATCCTCTGTTCTACTTTTCTATTTGATTTTACATTCCCTGTTTTGGATGGTTTCAGTTTGGTTTTCCCGACACGATTAGGCTCTGTCTTATCAGCTGATGTATCTCAAAGATTGATCCTGAAATTCGGTTTGAAGAATAAGGCGTCAGGAAAAGCTCTTTCAGTCCATCAGGCTTTCGTCAAATTCACTAACCTTGCAAGTCAGCAGGAAATAACCTTCCTTGCCGAGTCATCCTCAGACAATAATTACAAATTTGATATCGTACGTATTCAATTTTTCCGTCATACCTTTCTTTGTCATTATCTTTCAATCACATTTCTCCTGATCGTAATAAATCTGTTCTGGTGGAAAGTTCAATTTCCAATTCTAGTCCTATTTTTCCCAAAACCCATGGTGATCCTGTCAAAACTGGGTTTGATTTGTACTTTTGGAGTGATCTAGAACTGTTTGTAAACCAGCCTCGCTATGTTTCACGTCGCTTCATTTTCTCATTATATTTTATTTATTTAATAGAAAAGTAATGAACATAACGCCTTGAAACTTTCTGTAAGACCCAAGATTACACAGAAGATTTGTACTTACAAAATTCCACATCAGAATGTTGCCTAGTTTACTGAAAAAGGAATACAACACGAGAGGCAATGATGTAGTTAGGTTAATTCTAGTTAAGGCTGTTCCTTGATTTTACTGTGCCTGTCTTCGATTTTGAAATGCTGTCAGTTCAGATTCATTACTTTTTTTAAAGGTATTTGAAAAAGCAGAAGATTTTACTTCTCTGAATTTTGGTTAGGTGTATGTTTATCTCTCTTTTTAAAAAATGTGATATTTACATCCTTTTTTGGTGTTCAATAACTTATTTCTAAAGTACTATAGTTTCTTAACAGTTCCATTTTGTAAAATAATATTCTTTTGTTATCAGGATTTCAATAGCAAGAGTTCTTTGTTTGAACATAAATCGGGAGACTACATGATTTCCTTGATTGTCGGAGACGCAATCCTTTCTGACTCCTTCTTATGGGATATGGCTAAAGTACAGTTGAAATTCCCATCTGACGCCCCTGATGCTGCCAAATCAAGTACAGATATCTACAAACCGAAACCTGAGATTCAAGTAAGTAATTCCATTGGAATTTATGTGAAGAGATTCTAAGCTAGTGTTACGACAGATACCTAGTCGAAAAGTAAAATTCATTGCACATGGATTTAAATATTTATTTGTCCACCTGTAAATGTTTTATCAATATCTGTCTAATTGGAAAGATAATCATTTTTCATAGTAATTATACTTCACTCATTTGCTCAAATGAAAATTAAACACCTTTGAGTGTTCTTCCTAGATCAGTTCCCTTTTTGTCTTTCATTCATGTACAATTAATTGCGACAAAGACTGAGGGGTTAAGATTACTTGGCCTTGTAACCTGCGGAGCATGAGATTGCCAATATTATCTTTTTTTCCGTAAGACTCTTTTTATTTTTACTCTTTATTTTATACGTTGTTACTTTGTTAAGTCAATAAATGTTTTGCTCTTTCTATTATAGCACTTATTCCGTGAACCAGAGCCGCGACCAAGAGCTGCTGTATCTACGTTTTTCACCGGTCTTGTGATATTGCCCCTTTTAATCTTACTCGGGCTGGTGAGTATTAATTATCATAATAAAGTAATTAAATGAACTAATGTGTTATTGAATTTCATCAGACTTTAGCGCATAACAGGATAAATATCTTGAAAACCCCCCACGATTATCAGTACACTAGTTCATACGAAAGTTAATGAAGGGACAAGAAGTCAAAAATTTAAGTTGTTTATACAAGGAAAAGCCATGTCAGGAGCACCAATTATTAAAGGAACAAGTTAGTTACCAAACCCACCAATAACCAAAGGCATAGTTGTAAAAAAAATTATAATAAATGCATGAGAAGTTACAACAGTATAAATGTTCATTTACTAAAAAAAACCAAGTCAAAAGTTTCTCATCAGTGAGAAATAAGTGTTTGTAGTTTACATCAGAAACGGTAACTTCAAATCTCCCGCTCGAGAAACAACCAAACTATAAGATGCGCAATGTGGATTGGTCTTGGTTTCAATATTTAATTAAGAAAATCGCAATCAACTTTCATCATAGAATAAATTGTGGTTCTCGATTATTATTTTCAAAATATTTTTTTGCTTTTGTTCCAGTGGGTGAAGCTGGGCGTCAACATTAAAAATTTCCCATTCTCTCTGAGTGCTGTTCTATTTCATCTGGGTCTAGGCGGTAAGTTTGCTTTTATTTTACATATTAGTCTCACAGTCCCTTTTTTTTGAACAACTGAAGACTCTCTTCATTACACACAAGATTTAAAATTCATAATAATAATTATAAGAAATCATAGAATGCCAGAAGCTATTCCATGTCCTATTTATAATTACTCTACATCTATGATGGAAACCAGTTGTCCTGAGTAGTAGATGAACTCGTCCACATATTCATCTCCTTCTTTAATTTACATGGGCCTTTCTGCACTGGCAGTAATTCTTATGGTTTGAATTATGCTAACGTATAGATCTTGTTGGAATTTTCTGTTCCTCTAGTAAACAAGACAAGACAAGATAAAGCTGTGTTGTTTGGTTGACGGAGGAAGGTGGCTTATTGAGCTGAATAATCGATTGGCTGAAGGCACCTCCTTGGTAGTCGATACCTGGTCAATAGTTATCTTGTCTAGTCTACCAGAAAGACACAAAATTTCAATATTCAAGTTGCTGGCTCTTTACGTTTGTTAACATTCTGTTCGCATATTGCGCGGTTTAAACAATTGAAGTCTCATTTCTGTTAATTCAAGGTTGAATTGTTGTAAGCCTCATTTCATGAATACGCCATCTGTATATATTTTGAAACCAATTTTTCTATCAGACAATTTGTGGTGGTGGCATAATGAGTAATGATGAGAGTAATGATGACACAGCACGAATAGAAGCTTCTTCTCCCTGATTTTCCTGTTCTTCAGTTTTTCTTGACTCTGCAGTTCCCAGTAACGCTGTGTGTACCATTTTAATGGTTAAATTGGACCAAGTTTATCAGAAAGGAACCAACCCACATCAAGTTGAAACTGAGAAAAAGAGGTTTGAAGTTTTGGCAGGAGAAAATATACGGCTGGTGGAACTGAAAAAAATTTTCAACTCAGTTTTTTTGAAAATGTAGGTTGGTTCCTTTCTAATGAAATTGGTCTGATTGTAGAAATGCATTTCTCGTTTGCGGTGTTTTAAAATCTCTGCTCCAATTCTATATTATCTAAAGGGAAGAAAAGAATTAGAGCGCTGAAAAGTTCCATAGATCATTATCCGCGTAAAGAAGAAAATGAGGGAAGTTCTCAACAGATATTGGTCTGCAATATCGCAAACCGAGTTATACATTCCTGCAGTTTCACTACCCATGTGCTCCAAATGTCAAGCCTACAATACATTTAATGTGCCAATTTTGAATTTTTGCACTAATGTAATTTAATGTATCATTTCAGCTATCTTCGGTCTTTTCACACTGTTCTGGTTGAAGCTTAACATGTTTGAAACACTCAAGTATTTGATTGGGTTGGCCATTGTAACGTTTCTCTGCGGGAACAAAATGCTCTCTCACGTTGCAGCTAACCGCAAAAGATAAAATGTGATCTTTAGTTATAATTTTCATTCTCAAGCAACCTCATTTGTCATTGCTTTACTGGTGTGTAAACTAATTGTCAACAGAATCAAACCGACTAGCTTGTAAGACGTCTTTTGTAAAGACCAGGCAATTTTAGAAACAGTACGTTACAATTCTGTTTTCAATTCCTACGATCTCTAAGAGGCACTAATAGCTACAATCACCTTTATTTTGATAAGTGTAATTTTTTTACTTTTAAAGTTCATAAAATATAGAAGTTTTTTTGTGTTATTTTATTGCTTTTTTGTGGTTGAGGTACCTACAGTTGCACCCTGTCTTTAAAAAGACTCAGTTTTTCAAAAACTTTAAAAAACAATAAGCAGAAGAGGAGAATTAGGTGTTGGTTGGCAAACTACTATGTACTGTCTCTTCAAAAATGCTCTTTCATCCCTCATTTTAAAGAATTTTGTGGGGTCCCTTAGTTCCCTGAGTGCCCTTTTGTTAGTATTGATGGGACTTTTGGAGGAGGATGAAAAAACGTGGAAATGATTGTTCTTTATAATGTAAAGAGACAACTTAATTCAAACTTAAATTCTCATGTACTCTTTCAGTCAAACTGGATAAAAAATTTTATGGGTACATGCAGCGCAGAGTTGGTAGAATAAAATATGCACTATGGGAATTGATGGAATTGCATTGATTTTTATTATATATTAAGGAACAAACAAAACAACTTGATTAAAAACAAAGATGAAGATGAAGGTTAATGTTAATGACAACAGGTAAAGTGACAAAATTTGACATTTCAGCTGAAGTTCCCTTTTCCTAAAATGCATCACAAATCTTTAAGATATTTGGTACTCGAGACATTAATAAATCATAAAACCTTTCATTTGAAAGGTTTTTCACTGGACAAGGATTACTGAAAACTTACAAATTATCATCTTTGTGTTCATAATTTTCAGCATTAACTATGTGGGACTTGACTCCAGGTTTCAGCCAGAAATAGTACAATATTGTTGAAGTTGCGAGGAAATTTTTTTGCTTTAAAAGACATAATAAAAGGGTGGCTGGAGGATAAAAAAGAGGAAAATCACAGCCTTTAGTTTGACCACCCATTTGACGGACATTTATTTTTTATCTAAAAATATCTTTGATAGACTCTCCTTTATGATAAAATTCTTGAAGAAGTCTTCAATGTTTTCTTTTTTTATTTCTTTTTTCACTCTTTTCGACCACTTCTGAAATATTACCATTAGTTAGAGACTGAGTTTCTTTGATCTCCTGGGGGCTATCTTCTTTCTCATTATTTTGATGCAAAATTTTTTTCATGGCAAACTGGAATAGCTGAGAATTTATCTTTTTTACTCTCCTCAATTCTTTTTGTAATTCTGAACATTCCTCATTGGAAAAATCTAAAGTACTTTTAGTTACATAGGTTTCAGGAGTAACTAGATCATCTTTCATCAGGACTTCGATACAAACTTGATTAGACCCACTATCCATATCAGAGCTTTTTCCAAATGGCCGTAAGATGATGAGTGGATGAAAAGTGGGTGAATTCATAGACTTTGGTACCATAGTAAAAAGAATATTTGTAACTGGACCCTTCTGGTACAGGGTTCGTAAACATTGGCCACTTCTTACATGCCAGAGCTTAACCATCTCATCATTAGAGCCTGACACTAATTTTGATCCATCAATTGACATAGATAAACCAGTGATTGCCTTGGTGTGACCAATTAGAGTGCCTATATTAGGGTCTTTTTCTCCAACAAGGTAGTCTTTAGTCCTTGGCGGTTCTCTTATGGAAAAGGAGTGTATCGTCCCGGAACTCGTACCGACAAAAATTGTAGCTTCAATAGGATCAAGTGTGACAGCTGTCAAACGTGAATCAAAATTAATGGAAACGAGTTGAGTTCCATTTGCAAGATCATACACCTGCAAAAAAAAAAAAAATCAAATTTTCTGCAATTAGGAAAATATTGACTCAAAAAGAGGGACATGAATGTCTCGTTAGGCAGCAGGGATTAACATTTGAAAGAAATGACCCTGTACCAAACTGATCTTGTGCAAACACTCTTGGCAGTTGCATTCATTCTTCTTAACATTGTGGCTACCTCTCTGGCAATCACTAAGTCTCATTAGTGAAAATAATTAGCAGTTTCTCAGTTTTGTTTTGGAGATTTCAAAAACAGTTCTTCACTTTCAGACATTAAAGAGGAATACCATTAAGGAGGGTTAAATTGGGTTACCATAGAATTTAGAAATGAGATCTCCTGACATTTTCCTGATACATTTTGGTAAAATTCCCTGACAATTGTAGATAAGTCAGATGGTTAAAAAAACTTAATTTGAGATAGTTTTCAGGTAAACTTTGTTGTTTAAAACGTCAAATCCCCTTCTAGAAAGCAAATTAAGGTGACTACAATTTTTTCCTATCAGTTTTCATCCTTTCCCCTGACATTTCTTGACTGTGGCAACCCTGGTTAGAACTTCTGAGTGTCGAAAATTGACAAATTCATTATATATTAGAATTATCGCTTATTTGGAGTCAGATTATAGAAATTCCGCATACTGCTTCTTGTCAAAATCAACACTCAAAATGTATTTTATTCATGTAAAATTTGGTACTCACAAGTGTTTTTTCAGAGATGTGAGAAAGTTGAGTTTGAAAATAAGAAGAAGATTCTAAAGCTGTAACAGCATATTTCGGAACAAAAGTTTGGATGTAACTCTTGGTCTCCTTGGATGAACTTGCTTCAAACTTTGGCTATAGTAGTCCAGCAAATTGTGTATTCTTAGTTTGAAAATCTGATCTTGGCACAGATGAAATTGGTTAAACAAAGTGAAAGCTGAGGGTATTCTCAGACTGAGGAATTAGAAGACTCACCTTACAAAAGCGATCAGCTGAGACTGATATTAATCTTGCTCTGGAGCTGCCATATGTAATAAATATATCAGAGACAGGCAAACTGTGGTCTGACCAATTGTATTTAGGATCTGACTGTCCAGCAAACATCTGATTTGATGATGTCGATCCCACTGTCAGGGAATTTTGAGCTACCAAATGAGACAAGGGCCAAAAACACACCATCCCATCCTCACCACCTAAAACAAAGTATTATCTTCATAAGATAGAAAAATGACCGTGAGCTCTTTTGAAGATGAGGCTATTTTTTTACAGAGAAGTGAGTCATTTACATTCTAGTTGAATCCTGACACAGAGGGAGAAAAAAATAATAATAAATGATAACTTAAAATACCAAGGTAACAAGCCATCAGTCATAAAATGAGGCGAAATAGCAATGTAAACATGAAATCTAGAGTCCCTTTATACCCAGAGTTAAGACAACTCGATTATCAGCTGACTGGCAGCCAGCCTTGGCTGGCCATGGAGGCCGAAACGAGTGCACCCTAACGAACGATATTGAGGGATAAGGATCAGGAATCCTGCGATGTCTGTCACGCAAAAACAACAACATCAACAAATTGATCAATTAAAAAGAAAATGAGAATTGGTTTGTGAATAATTTCTTGATCTATTTTCATTTTGGACCAATGGAAATAACAATTTACTCTTGATAAACCACAATTGGGTAATATTTTCATTATTCTTGTTCACATTCGAGGTACCGCCATCTTGGTGCACTCGTTTCGGCCTCCATGAGCGAGAACCAATCAGAATTGGATTTTTTTTTAGGCCACTTTCAGCCCAACCAAAAGTGAGTTGTCTTAACTCTGGGTATAAAGGGACTCTAATGAAAACCATCCTATAGAAGAGGACAGACATCCCAAAACGGCTTATATTTTTTATATTATATTAGAAAAGTTAATTCATTTCGATTTTACAAATTTTTGGGTTGCGCTTTTGCGCGTGTCTTAGGTTCGGATAAAACAAAAAAAAGGGAATACAAATTTTGAATTTTGTAAAATTCTAGGGAGGGCCTGATAATTTTCAAAAATGAGTTGTGGTTTTTTTTTATAATTTTACAGGATCCTAAGTAAGAGCCAGAGTGAAAAAATTCAGAGGGTTTTGAGAGGATAGGATTTAATATTATACCTGTTGCAATGAAGGAGCTATCCTTGGACCATCGAATCACAGTAATTGGCTGGAAATGACTGGAGGCAACTGCTAACAAACACCCTGAGGCCACCTGGAAATCAGTGAATTGATTAGAAACATATAAGCAAAGGTAATGACTTTGATGCAGAAACTGCTCTGCACTCTTCGCATGACTGAAATTAAATAAAAAAAGATGGCGAAAAATTGTTTATGATTAACTTTTAAAAAAAAAATCATTTCAGAGTAGTACCTATTTTGTTTTTGAAACTACGTTAATTTCAAGACTATGTGGAAGCATCACAAATTGTTGGAAAAAAGCCTTGAAATGCATCCTGATAGACCCACGTTTTAAAAAAACAAAACTCTGTCCCTTGGCCAAATGATCTCGCAATCCAGATTGAGTAATTTTTGATGCCCCGTGTGTTTCAACTCTGTAAAAATTGAACTTTAGTTAAAGCACATGAAAAAATGAGAGTAATAGTATGGAGAAAAACAGAATATAATGGCTGTTTTTCCATTTGTTCACAATTCAAGACCTCTCTTGCCCAATCACACACACCTCCGAGCATAAAAAAACTCATTTATACATTTCTTGCCTTTGCTTTTCTTCTACTGGTTGTGCTTTCCTCTTCGTCATTCAGCTGGCTGTCAAAATTAAAATATCAACCACCTTTGCGGGTTATGCTTTACTTTGCAGCAGGTGGCTTAGCAAAAATTAATATCTTGAACTAATAGGTTCCTTTTATTCTGGCAATTTAGGATTTCCTTCACCTGGGAGGCAATGTATAGCTAAGTAAAAAAATTGAAATCAGTTGACTTACTTGATAAATATGTAGTTTATCCTCAATACCAACAGCAATATAGAGCGCATCTGGACTTGCTTGCATAGAAGTGATGCGTCCAGGGCACAGAAGGCGAATGCTTGTTTCTTTCTCTTGACTGTTGATCCGCCATACAGTAATAAGCGGTTTTCCTTTTTCTACTGCTAGGAGGTAATCTTGACCTAGGAAACTGAGAGCGTGTGGATTACAAGGTGCAGCCCCTTTGTAGGACATCAAAACAGTTCCACCTTGTGGCTCCCAGACAACAGCTCCGCCTTTCCCATCACTAGATACCACAGCTTCAATGATACTCATTTTTCACCTAAAGTGGACAAGATCAAACATTAATCAAATACAAGCTAAAAAGATAATATAACTTCTATCAATTTGAAATCTTCTTTGAGACCACTTGGAAACAACATACTGCTACTCACATTGTACTGTTGCATAATCTGGATTTAGCACACATTGAATGAGGCAGGATCCTCAAACTTTAACTTTATATCCATACTTAAGCAATTGTATTTGCATTTAAATCTAAGAAGAGCATTTTCTAGAGCTTTTTTCTTATCCGTAGAATGCAATGGTAGTGGTTCCGGCTGGTTCAACCGGCCTAACCCCGGCCTTAACCAACCTCAACCCACCTTGGAAGAGCGGTCCAAGCGTTCCACTAGAACACATGAAACGCGCCAGTGGAACAGTATAAAAAAGTGATGCGTTCCGTAGTGATCCTCTGTAATTCGAAAAAAAAGCCTTAATGTGAGCCCCCATTAACAGTAGATTCCCATTCAAAAACGCTGGTCAGGAGGGGCAAATTTGCATCAGTTTGCATCGAAATCGGGTTTTAGCACTCGTACGTCATATCTGCAGCAAGTCCATAGTATGTTATGCTTCTATGGAATCATTAATTTTTTCTCACATTATAATAACAGGTCTTACATACAATAAAGTTTCGTTCATTACAAATGGCTGCAGCGGAATATTCATTTTTGTATCATTTACTCATTTGTTCCATGTTTTAGGGTCTTCTGCTCCCTGGTCCCTGGCCAGTGGCAACGCTGACAATAATGTGTCTAACACTATTCTGATCTGAATTGGAATATTTTGGCAGAGTAAGAAAAAAGGATGAAATGTAGAAGGACTTACATAAGTTAAAAGAGAACTGCAATGGAACTTTAACTGAAAATAGACGTGATACAGATTAAAAAAACACGTGGGGAGGCAAACGTTTCGGATTTTCAGCAAAACATAACCTTAAGGTGTACAGCACTGTTGCCAAATAGAATTCAGTTTTAATCTTAATTTAAAGTTTTATCTCTTCGAAACTATTCGAAATAGTCTAAAAACACTACAAACTACGCTGCCACTCTTTTCCAACCATCCTAAACGATAATCGTTCATGCATTTTTCCAATGAGATTAAAAAAACCACGAAAATATAATTTTTCAACCAAACTTGGCAGTCGGTTACGGGCAACAACAACAAAAGAAAGCGCTCTCTGTAGGGCTAGCTTTGAGGCTTATATCTCTTCTCCACTTATTTAGTGTAATATTTTGTCGATAGAGAGCTCTGCCTACACTGCCTGTAGCCTGTATTTATTAAAAACAGTGGTGAATCACCGATAGACATGGAGGGTAGAGGAGAGTAAGGGGTGCGTTGCGGTTGGCTGGCGGTGTTGCCTTTTGCAAAATTATTCTTCCCTGGAGGAATTCTTTCACTGTGAAAGAAAAAGCTGGAGGGCAACAGTGCTTTTCCTTCCAAAGTTCAATCCACTCCACTGCAAAGCTCCACCATACGTCTCCATTGGTGCGTTACAGGGCGCTAGAAGGGTGTCGGCGGGCCACGCGGTATCATCGCGGGATGTGTCCGCCAACGGTGGCTGACGTACGGAAACATGTGTTCGTGTTTATTATTCGCTCTCTAGGCAGTTTCTGAAAATTCGCCGGAGCCTTTGTGCGTGATCGTCCAAATAAGTATCCAGATCCTCAAAAATCCGCGAATATTTCTGTATTTATCTCTAATGTTAGTGTTGTGCGGTGTCTCTTTCACTGAAACGTTGTTGCTTTTGCAATTCGCTCATGAATTACATCGTGGAGAAGTCAAATTCTGTGCTTTTAAATCATAGTGATTTTCGTTATTTGCTGATAACATTTGTTTGGAATCATGGATTCTTACGGATACCCTTGGTCCGGTATGTTTGTTTATTATTGCTTTTCTTCACTCCATGTATTATTTGAGTATCGTTGTTTACATCTACTATTTTGCAACAGATTCTTCTTCCTGTATGCTGAATTGACATTTAGATTCATGCATGCTCTCCAGGAGTGATAATCCTCACTGCCTCATCATTATTAACACAATCATTTGTGTACTTATTCCTGTAAATTTGTTGTTGTTTATCCAACTGAGGCAATTAAGCCATGAAGATGTCGGACTCCTGTGGCGTAGTGTGGTGTTGCGCTTGCTCTATGATCAGGAGATCCCAGGTTTGATTTCCGGCCAGGGGACCCAAGTTTGATGGTCTCAAACAACGGTTAGCTGGGGCTGGCTTGATTAGGGACTGAGGGGGATGGGACACTAGGGAGAGTGAAGCGCAAGATTATCCTTTGTGGGATATTTGAAGGGTAAATAAAAGAAATTAAATAAATAAAGAATTAAATGAAGGTCATCACTATACCCAAAAGGTGATTCATCACGGTTTCTGGCAAGATTGAATTGGCATGTGATACATCGCATTGATTAAGTATGCCCCAAATCTCGGCATATTTTGAATTTTTAACCATGTCAAGAATGATAACCCCTGTGCATAAGCTTTTACTAAACCAAAATACTAGCAAATTTCAGAGGAGTGAGAGCAGAATCCTGTTTGGAAAAAATCTTGTATTCGATACAGAAATTGTTAACTGTATTGATTGCAAGGTTTTTTTCCAAACAGGACTCTCCTTTCGAGGGCTAAGTATCACATTTTTTGGCAAAAAATTCAAGATCTGCCAAGATTTTTAACATATTCGATGCAATACATCGCACACCAGTTTGACCAAGTCATAAACCGTGACGAATCACTTTAAGCCCTCAGAAATGTTAAGGCTCAATTTATTTTAGTTTGCCCCAGCCTATTTTACAATGGCACACATTAATGCCCAGAAGTCTGTTGTATTCACCATTAACCTGGCGTAAGGCTGAAACGCTAGTACTTAGTCCATAAATTTGAGAATAAACACTGTGTGGAAAACAGATGACTGATGAAATCTACCTTATTCCTGAGATTTTTCAAAAATGAAGGGAATACTTTCCTTGGCGTAGTTTTGGAGGGGTTTTAAATAGGTCTGCATTCACGTAGAGGGCGAAAAATTGGAACTATTCAATGCCTAAATTACTAAATTCATTCATGGCAAACAAAGGAAGAAAATGTACCTAAATATTGGGCTTTTATTCTCCTCTCCATATTGATTAGGTACCAGCTTTATGCTGTTTTTTTACTTCCACTGCCATTGCAGAAAGTCAGATTATTGAGCATCTTGTGCAAAGAGGAAATTCATAACCTGGTACTTGAGCGCCATCAGGTTTTGCTTAGATCCATCAACTGTCTCTCTTCTTTTATCGGAAACCCAGTAGTGCGCATCATGAAGTCCATGAAGCGAAGGCAATTAGGTTTTTTCATAGTGAGGAACACTATGCACAATCTTTGCAACACCAGAAGGTGCTCACCAGGTTTTTAATTTCCATTCTTCACATACCTACCTATACTTATGACTCAGCATTGATCATGAAAACTTACGAAATGAATTATTGATTTTATCCAAAGTTCTGGGAAAAATAGCATAGATCTATAACGAATCTGATCTATATTCAAATAATGGGATTGTGAAAGTTTTTAAAATAAAACCACTGCAAGACTTCCTTCCATCATGTCTAATCAGTTAAATTTTACCTCATTTTTGTTCTCTCACGATAAAAGTCAAACGATGGTTTGTGAGAGGTGATGCCAGGTATTGCTAAAAATCTTCACTGTTCCCATTTAAAGCCTTTTAACATATCCACATTTCCTTACATAACCTGTCACCCTTGCTCACTGTTCTCCGGAGCATTGCAAAAATAAACATACTCACCGAGACCGGTTTATTTCAAGTTTTGTTTGTGAAAGGGAGGGGGGGGAAGGTTAGGCGGCATAATACCCGCAAGGAAGATCACTTTCGGAAAAATGATTATTTTTTAGTCCCATGGAGATTATGGTTAAGGGCATTGCAATAGGTGCAAAAATACTGAACTCGGTCTTCAGAATTTGTTTTCTTCGGGGCTTACTTTTCTAGTAAATCGCGATCGAATGAACAACTAAGTACTTATTGATATCGTTTCGTACAGTCCTGCGCTTTAACCGCCACAGGTAGGTCCATAGGGGAAGGGGGGGGCAAAGGCAAACTCAAAGGGTGCAGATCCTCTCAGCCACGCGATCGGTTGCGTGCGAAAATGGGGAGGCCCCCAAAAATGGTTACGATAATCCTTTGGCTCCATGCGTAAGCGTAATAAGTGTATTCTGCCATGTTAAGGAAAAACGCCGTATGAACCCTCAGCCGTTGTCAAATTTCATTTGATAAAACATGAATTTCCCAATAAACTTACGAATATTTTTCTTCTAATTTTCCGGATAATTTTTTTCGCAATTTCACCTAAAGGTCCTGAAAAACTCAAGAAAAAAAAATTCATTACTTTCCTTAAAAATGAACGTTTCATCGAAAGAAACTTGGCAACTCTCGGATGTTCATACGGCATTTTTCCTTAGCACGGCAGTATTGTCCTCTGAATGAAAATCCCATGTTTTTTAAAACGAAATTTTTTTTCGCACTGTGGTGAATCGTGGTTGAATCGTGAATCGTGGTGAAAATTGCATATTTTTCGCAATACTTCGGTAATTTGTATACGTAGATTAGGTATTAGGTATTTTTAAGAGATCCGAAGTAAAATTCTTCTAGAAAAAGGGGATCCTTAAATGGAAAGGCCAATAACTTTCTGCATTCTTATTCCGCAAACTCATCGGCAAATGGAAGGTGATGAGCGCAATGTTTATCATCGCATTAAAGCCAGTCCAGCCCCCCTCCCCCTCCCTGTTTTACGTAATATGAGCCCATGTGCTACGTGGTAGAAATAATTATGAATTCAAGAGTACAACCTTTGCTCGGTGCGCCCGGTCTGTTTTTTGTGTTATTCTAATGATATTATCAACTTATATGCAGAATACCAACCTGTCTTCGCATTTTCCTGTCATCGCGGGAGGGTGGAGGGGGGGGGCGGAGACCTCTGGCGCCAAATCGAGCATCCAGCGAATGATGAGAACGTCTTTTTTTTCGGTCGGGACTTCGTCGTCCTCGTCGGTCGCGTCGCACAGTGGATCGAGTCGATAGGAGAGGTCGGACAAAATTTGGACACTTTAAACGCATATAACTCCGTTTATACAAATCGCTGAGGGTCTAAAAGTGGTTTCATTGGTTTCCTCGTGAAATTTTCGTTCTTGAAGCATCCCTTAACATTTAAAAGGTGACGAAATAAACATCATAATGGAGATATTGCATGTGTGAGGGATTTGCGATTTGACAATTGAATCAAACGTAAAAGTTCGCGAGAAACACGATGGTGCCACTGGTTTTCTCTGAAATCATCTCCCAAGCTCAAAAAAAGCTCTCAAAGTGAGGCCAAAATGGAGGGGATATCCCGCCCTGCCCTGAGAGTCCACCTCTACATCAAAACAAACTCTCCATGCAAAGTTAGGGAGCAAATACATTAGCAGTGATGCCGTGTTTTCAGTTTTGGAGTCCTTAAATAAAGTGGCAACCGTGCTAATGTATTTGCTCCCTATCTTTGCATGGAGAGTTTGCTTTTATGTAGAGGTGGACTCTCAGGGTAGGGCGGGATATCCCCTCCATTTTGGCCTCACATTGAGAGCTTTTTTTGAGCTTGGGAGATGATTTCAGAGAAAACCAGTGGCATCATCGTGTTTCTCGCGAACTTTTACATAAGAACCAATGAACAAATTGCAAATCCCTCACACATGCAACAACTCCATTTGCAGTTACCTTTAGTCGAAATTTAATGTCCGACCTTTCCGATTGACTCGATCCACTGTGCGCCGCATCGCTGTTGATCGGAAAATTCTTGCATTTCTCACGTCGGAGCTTCATGCGAGGTTGTCGGTCGGTGCTAGAGTCCCTTTATACTGAGAGTCAAGACAATTTGAATCCATTTCTGATTGGTTCCCGTATTTTAGGCCTCCACAGTGTCACAAACGGGAATAAAGATTACATTTTCACCAATTGCAAAGATTATGATCTGGAATGGACCGGGGAATTACGGGTTCGGCAAGGAACAAACGGAATGAGAGGAGGAACGGAGAAAGGCATTTGAGAATGGGCCGATCAAAGATTACGAAAAACTTTCAATTTCTGTAATCTTTATTCCCGTTTGTGACATCCATGAGCCGAATTGTCTTGACTCTCAGTATAAAGGGACTCTAGTCGGTGCCAGTGGCGTGGCGTGCTTTGCGACTTATCGATTGTTATGTCATTTAAACCTATGGAAAAGGACCGATAATCAGGATGTTCGCAGCGAGCACCGTAGTAATCGATTCTTTACCATAGGTTTAAATGGCAGAACAATCGATACATCTCAAAGCACGCCACGCCACTGGTCGGTGCTCCCGTTCAAATTCTCCCAAGAAATCGTCAGAGGAGCCCCGAACGATGCAGTCAAGCCCAATTCACACTAGGTATCAAACTTTTCTTCAGTGGCGTGGCGTGAATAATCGATTATCGATATCTCGCCATTTGAAACTATGGTGAAGAATCGATTACTAAGGTGTTCGCTGCGAACACCCTGATAATCGATCTTTTTTCATAGGTTTAAATGGCATAACAATCGATATATCACAATTCACGCCACGCCACTGCTTTTCTTCCGACAGAATTGAACGAAAAGCTGGATGGAAAGTTGAACGCCAAAAAATTTGATTCAATCACTCTCCGTTCGACTTTCCAACGGAAAGTTTTCGTTGTATTCAAGAGTTGAATGAAAAGTTTGATAGCGTGAATTGGGCTTTTGTCGTGAAAATGCCGCTCAAATTTTACCGAATTATCCATTTTTCACATCAACGAGCTGATTATTGAAATTGATGGTCAAAGCCCTTGACGAAGAAGACGTAGG